GAAAACTCCAACTTTCCACATCCAACAAAAGGACCAGAGGCTACTCCCTTTGCAGCCCCTCCTCCTTTTCTACATGGCAGATGAGAAATTGAAAGTACTTCTGGTTGGTCCCCTCCCACACCCATTCAGGGTGGCCTGGGCCTAGTCTTCATATGCCTAGGAGTGTTACTTTGTAACTTTACTTCAGCCTCTGATTGGTCGCTTTCCACAATCAATCAGACAGGTTGCAGGCCACTACTTTATTTACATAGGGTATACACCAAGTAACCAATGAGAAACCTCTAGAGGGTATTTAAACCCCATAAAATTCTGTAACCAGCATTCTGGAGCCGCCCACTCAAGCCCAGTCCTGCTGTGTGGAGTGTACCTTTGTTTCAGTAAATTTCTGCTGTTCTTGCTTCATTCTTTCCTTGCTTTGTTTGTGCATTTTGTTCAATTATTTGTTCAAAATGCCAAGAACCTCGATGTAATGCACCTGTAGTCCCAGCTATTCAGGAGGCTGAGGCAGGAGGATCCCTTGAGCCTGGGAGGTATAGGATGCCGTGCGAGCTAGGATGGCACCACTGCACTTTAGCCTGGTCAGCAGAGTGAGACTATCTCAAAAACAAAAACAAAACCCTAACCTCCCTAAGAGTTAACCATGTATGATTTTGTGTCTGGATTATATAATATTTGTGAGATGCATCCATGTCATTGCATATATGAGTAGTTTCCTTATTTTTATTGCCCATAGTATTCCATTGTATGATTATTTCATCTCCCTTTGATACAGATTTAGGTTCTTTCCAGTTTTGGCCTATTTTAGTAAAGTTGCTGTGAACATTCTTGCATATGTCTTTTTGTAAACATATGTTTTAATTTCTCTTGAGTAATGTCTCAGAATGGAATTGCTGAGCCATATATTCGACGTATGCTTAGGTTTACTAGACAAAGGCAAGTTACTTTCCCAAGGGGTTGTATCAATTTATATTCCTCTAGCAGTGTATAAGAGTTCTACTTGCTCTACATCATCACCAGTACTTGATGTTGTCAGTCTTTCTCTTTTTAGTCATTCTAGTGGCTGTATTGTGGTCTTGTATTTTGGCCGTTATTCACATTTTCCATCATTGGTGACCAAAGATGTTGAGCACTTTTTCATAGCTTGTTGAAAATTTGGATACCTTCCTTTATGATGTGCCTCTTCAAGTCTTTTGGCCATTTTTGAGTGAATTGTCTTTTTCTTCTTGATTTGTAGGAACTCTTTATATATTCCAGATCTGAGTTTTTGTCAGATGCATGTGGGGGTAGGTATCTTCTCCCACTCTGTGGCTTGTATTTTTGCTCTCTTCATGGTATCTTTTGATGTATGGATGTTTTACATTTCAATGAACCCCAATTTATCAATTGTTGCCTCTGTAGTTAGTATATTCTGTGTTTCCAAAATATTTGCCTACCTTGGGGGTAGATGTCTTGTCTAGATGTCTTATTGTTTTAGCATTCATAATTAGATCTATGCTCTACTTAGAATTTTTATTTATGCTATGAGGTGGCCTCAAGCCTCATTTTCTTCTCTATGATCCAATTGATCCAGCTGACCCAGCAACATGGATGGAAAAGTTGTGGTGGTATCTTTGTTGGAAATCAATTGACCCACATATATTGCATCTATTTTTGGATTTTCTATAACCTCTCTTATTGGTCTATTTGTCTACCCTTAACCCAATATCACAGTGTCTTAATTGCTGTAGCTTTATAGAAAGTTTTAAAATCAGGTAATTTAAGTCATTTGTCTTTGTTCTTCCTGATTGTCTGGGCTATTTTAGGTTCTTTTCATTTTTACATGCATCTTAGAATAAATAGACTTGTCAATTTCCACAGAAATCTGCTGGCATTGCGACTGGGATTTCGTTGAAACTACAGATCATTTTGGGGAGAACTGACATCCTACCAATATTCAGTCTTCCAGTCCAGGAACACGGCACACCCCTTCATCTATGAAGTTGCCCTAATTTCTCCCAGCACCTTGGCTCATCTTCTAAACCCCACTGCACTCCGGCACTGAGTGGATATTCCTGTGACTGCTGTAGGGAGTTCGCTGTCTAGCCGCAGCACTTCAGGGGAAACTCAGGCACAAGGCACGAGGGAGGAGAAGACAGGTAGAGAGATCTGAGGAGCTAAGGAGGCAAGGGGGCAACGAGGTCCCCAGCCACAGTCCTACCCCTGCGCCCCTCCTGAGGAAAGCCTGCTCGGTTGGAGGAGATCTCTGAGCCAGGAGTTGCTCAGAGCAGTCACGTAACCTCCCTGAGCTTCAGTTTTCCTAGTTGTGCAATGGGAGTGTGGTCTCAGCATGAAGAACACATGTGAGGAGGGAAGAATGTACATTACAGGGCACCTATTAGGTGCTCAATAAATAATAGTGGCATTTGTTTTGCCCTCAAGGGAAGACTGATCTCACCAATGTGGACACAGAACCAGAGAGGGTCAGACCCATGAGGCCCTCTGTGCCAGGCACACTTTTGTCCCTTTTAAGGACAAACTGAAAGTGCTCCTTAGCAACAAAGAGATGAGAAGAGAAAGGTGATGTCTGTCTAGAAAGCTGGAATAGACAAGCAGCTGGTGCCCCAAACCAGAGGGCTGGGCTGTCCCAGGCTGGTCTCTCTTCCTATTTGCACAGACTTGGGGATGGGCTTTTAGTGCTAAAAGGAACTAATGAAACCTCTGGTGACTCCTGCTTTATTTCCCAGTCACTGATTTTGTGCTGACAGAAGCAGTTTCTTGCAGATTATTCTTAAAGGGGCAAACACTTTTCCTGCTGAACATTTTAAATACAATTTGATGGGAAAGAGTGATTTTAAAATACACTTTATTAAGCACTTTCCTTTTCATTTAAAAAACACTTTTATAGCCCTTGTCATAGGCTAAGCACCTTGCAGAATGTACCTCATTTAATCCTCACACTAACCTGTTCTTATCATCACCATCTTACCACCTAAAGGGAAACTCATTTGCTCATGGTGGGCAATTAGTGGGCGACAGAGCCAGGATTCAACCCGGGCAGCCTGGCTCCGTGGCCTTGTGGTTAACCTGGCCCTGGTGGCCTGCTTGCGAAAGGTCTTTCTCAGATGGCTGGCCTCCCCTCCTGGGGACATCATTTTAGAAGTCCCTGGGGCTTCCCCTCCTGCAGCCCTCTGCAGCGCCTTTGGCCATGCTCCCAGCTTGCTACGGAGACCTCATTAACCAGCAGCTCCTGGGGCTTGGGGGTGGAGCACCTACCTTCAGAATCCCCTCCTCCCTCCCACATCACATCAGGGGACTTGGCCTACAAATAAGGCGGTGCTATGGATTCCTGGCAGGCAGCGGCAGCATAGCTACCAGTTAGCCGGGGGCATGGCCAGGACTGGCATAGGAGCTCTGGGGCTGCAGGTTTCTGGGACTCAAAGGGAGGAGGCCCCAGGGCAGCCTGGTGCCTTGTTTCCCTTGCAGCTGGTTCAACATAGTCCTTCTTTCTAGCTGCTGGAGATTAAGAGAGTGAGACCCTCAGGTTGTGGTACCAGCCTCAGCATTCAGGATACAAATAGATACACACCTTGGGGCCTTTGCACTTGCTGTTGCTGCTGCCTGAACCACTTTCCCCAGAAACCCATGTGGCTCACCCTTTTACTTCCTTCTAGTTTCTGCACAAATGCCACCTTCTCAGAGAGGCCTCCCCTGACTACCCTGTCTAAAATGGCACACACTCTCCAGGCCCCCAGCCCTGACTGCATTTTCTTCTTAAGTGGTATGAAAACATTCTCTGCGTCTGTTGCTTTTGTGCTTGCTGTCTGTCTCTCCCCCAGGAGACTATAAGCTGCCTAAGGACAGGGACTTTTGACCTTGTTCATCATTGTATTCTCAGTGCCTAGAACATGCCTGATGTAGTATGTGCTTGATAAATACTTGTTGATGACTGATTGGTGAGTGCTGTGAAGCTGGATGTGCTTCCCTATGTCTCTGTGCCTGGGCCTCCGAGACAGTGACTGTCATCCTATCTGACCAAGGATTTCAGGATAGGCTGTGTTATGCTGCGGAAACAAACAGCCCCAGAACCTCAGTGCTGAGTCGACTCCCCTGCCTCTCTTCTCTCCTCGTGATAAGGGAGATAAAGCCAGTCACATCTATAGGTTGTATGTCCCTGGATTTGCCCCCTCACCTCACATATGGCACTTAGAAACAAGTCTGGCCACTTGTCCCACCCATGGGCTTTAGATTCTGGCTTGTGACAGCTGTGTCCTCTTTTGAAAGGAAGCATGGAGACATAACGGTTTACCAGCAGGATGCAAACTGGGTTATTGACTGAATAGCTATCCGTGAACTCAGTGCCTAATTAGGAAAGATGGCCCCCGCAGGAGCAGGAAGAATCCCTCCTTCCTCTGTGCGGGAGCTCACAGTTACAGGGCCCAACCAAGCTGCAACAAGCTAGGGGCTAGGTGTGGGGATGGAGCCCATGGAGGCAGGGCCAGGTAGGGCTTCCTGGAGAAGGCGGTGCCTGGGCTGAACCCCAAAGGATGGAGCTGTGAGGCTATGAGGGGTAGGGAAGCTGCAACCTCCAGAGAGGAAGGTGCTGCAGGAGGAGGGCACGGAAGGGAGGAGGAGGCAGAGGGACTGAGCTTCGGAGTGGTGCCCTCAGCAACCAGAGGATGGAGTGAAGCTTCTCTGCAAACTCTATGGAGGAAAAATCATCCCCTCCCTGAGGACCCACTCCAGGATCCAGTCTGAGTCCACAGCTCTCTCCTCTGGAGTGGGTCACCAGGAGGCCGGACTAGAAGGGGTGGCGAGGAAGCCCAGACACCAAGACCAAAAAGAAACCAAGAGGACCCAGAGCCCAGGGGACGCAGGAGGATTCCTCCACTGTTTATCCTGAAGCAGGGGCAGGTGAGGGGTTAACAGGAGATGGGTTAGCAGCTTTACTGGGAAGGAACCAGCCGGGTTTCTTAAGGCCCTGAGGTGGCAGGAAAGTGCTTAGAAGAAGGGGTTGTGGGGGCAGGGGGGTTGTGGGTGGGGGAGGGTTGTGGAGGATGAGCGATTAGATTCCGTGGGACTCAATGAGCAGGAGGGTGAGGGTCTGGGGCTGATGGGCAGCTGGGAGGTCTACAGAGAGGCTGCCTGCTTTGATTACCTGGAGCAGTTCAGGGGGCAACATCTCAATTGAGAGCCCCTCCCCCTCCCCCTTCCCCTTCCCTCTTTTCTGATGGAGTTTCATTCTTGTTGCTCAGGCTGGAGTGCAATGACGCTATCTTGGCTCACTGCAACCTCCGCCTCCTGGGTTTGAGCGATTCTCCTGTCTTGGCCTCCTGAGTAGCTGGGATTACAGGCGTGCACCACCACACCCAGCTAGTTCTTTGTATTTTTGGTAAAGACAGGGTTTCATCATGTTCATCAGGCTGGTCTCGAACTCCTGACCTCAGTTGATCCACCTGCCTTGGCCTCCCAAAGTGCTGGGATTAGAGGTGTGAGCCACCATGCCTGGCCCAAGTGAGGGGTTTCTCTTAATCAAGGAACAAACAGAGCATGGAACAATCTGGCGTTTGGGTATGACAAAGACTGTTGTGTGTCCTTTGCCAACTAGACTGTTGCCAGTGGGACACATGAAAAACTGGTAGGAGGATTTGGGTGTCTAGAGGATGGGATGGAAGCAGGGGACACCTCTTCCACAAACATTTTATTATGAAGATTTCTGAACATAATGGAAAAGTTGAAAGGGTTGAACAGAGAACACATTCATCTGTCCATCACAATTCTACAACGAACAGTTCACGAGATTCTTTATTCTACATATCTCCGTCCACCCATTCATCTTATTTTTCGAAGCACTTCAAAGTAAGTTGCAGACATTCGTGCACTTAACCCCTAAACATTCAGCATGTGCACTGTCAACTAGAGCTCAACGTTTGTTTCCAGTTCCTTTTTTGTATTTGTTTAGAGATGTTTAGAGATGATATTTGCATGAAGCAGAATGTACCAATCTCAAATGGATCAATCTCAGCTCACTGCAACCTCTGCCTCCCGGGTTCAAGCGATTCTCCTGCTTCAGCCTCCAGAGTAGCTGGGATTACAGGTGCCTGCCTGTATTTTTATATTTTTAGTAGAGATGGGGTTTCACCATGTTGGCCAGGCTGGTCTTGGACTCACCTCAAGTGATCCGCCTGCCTTAGCTTCCCAAAGTGCTGGGATTACAGGCATGAGCCACCACACCTTGCCTAAACTTTATCAAGATATAAAACATTATCATTGCTTCAGAGAGCGTCCCTTGGCCCCTTCCTGGAGAATCTCTGCCAAGGAACTATCCATGGTCCATCTTTTGTAAGGTAGCTGCTCAGGTAAAAACCACATTTCCCCGTCTTCTAGGCGGCTTGGCGTGCTTCTGTGATTAAGTTCTGGTCTGCGGAGTGTAAATAGATGCACCAAGCGGCAGCTTCTGAACACATTCCTTAAAAGACACCCGGTGTGCTCTTGGCCCTTCTTCATCTTCCCTCCGTGCCATTGCTTGGAACAGAGCTGTCGTGGCTGCGGTCTTGGACCATAAAGAAGGGGACACACCCAGGTATAGTGAAACAGTGAGCTGAAAAGTCCCTGAGTCCTTAAACTCTTCATGAGTCACTAAACTGCGATATTGGCACTTGGGGGAGGGGAGTGGGGGTGGGCGGTCTGGATTGCTTACTCCAGATTTTCATGTGAGAGAGGAATAAATGTCTACCCTGCTTCAGCCTCTGTCAATAATAGCCTGCATTCCAGTCAAAGTAGTCTTAATTACAAACCTGTCCACCTTGTAAATGTTGTACTATATACGTGTATTACCTACTCAAAAAAGTGAATCATAATACAAAATTATATGTAAATAAAGAGTCTGCTGTAGAGACCATGACTGCTCTTCCCAACCAGTAGTGGAGGGATGGAGTCACAGCTGGTTCTGGGAGTTAGGACATAGGATTGATGTCACATGGCACAGACCCAAATTAGCAGGAGCTTACACAAGATAGTGGTGTATTTCTCTGCACGTAAAAGCCTAAGCCAGCCAATACTGCAGATTAGTGACCCGGCTCCCACCCTCCCATATGTGATCATCCCATATCTGTTCAATGACCATGGTTTCTGAACACAGAGCCTTAAAATCTCCAGGGGACACTGGCACCCTCCAGGAGACATAGGCGGCTCTCTGGTCCACACTATGACAAACCCTCTGAGACCTGCTTGTAACCTGGGCAGGGGCTTCTCCTGCCCAAGGCAGAACTTTCCACACATGGGGGCTGCCAGCATTGGGCATCCCAGGACCGGACCAGCTTCCCAACCTGTGTCTGTGCCCTGGCTCCAAGCTGCCATCTCTGTCTCCAGACAACCCCCCAGGCCTCTGGGGCCCCCCACCCTGGGCCTGGGAATTTGGAGGCAAGTTCTCTTATCTGGCATTGCAGCAGGCTACCCACCAGCCTCTCACTGATGTCCGGGCCTCTCGCTGATGTCCAGGCCTCTTCCTGATGTCCGGGCCTCTCACTGATGTCCGGGCCTCTTGCTGATGTCCAGGCCTCTTCCTGATGTCCAGGCCTCTCGCTGATGTCCGGGCCTCTCACTGATGTCCAGCGATATTGATGCACCAATCTTAATCTCCCCAGGCCGTCCTCACGTGCAGCTGTCAGATTTCACAGCTGCCCTCTGGGCCTTGTGCCTCAGATCCTGGGTATCACATTTCTGTGCCCCCAACCAAGTCGCAGGATTCTGAGCCTTGGCTAATAGCTTTCATTCTGGGGCCCAGGGGCCATCAGAGGGGCTGCTTGTATGGCAGATCCATTCCCTAAAAACCATCCCTGGATTTGGGACTGTCATTAGACTGGCAACAATAACTTTAGTAATAACAATGATAGAGCTACTGCTTTCTCAATACCTATCAGGCGACAGATGCTCTCATTATATCTCTCTGAGGTAAGGTGTGTTTGTCCCCATTTTACAGATGAAGAAACTGAGGGGGCTGGGTACAGTGGCACATGCCTGTAATTTCAGTACTGTGGGAGGCCAAGGCAGGAGGATTGCTTGAGCCCAGGAGTTTGAGACCAGCCTGGGCAGCGTAGTGACACCTTGTCTCTACAAAAATTACAAAATATTAACCAGGCATGGTGGCGTGTACCTGTAGTCCCAGCTACTCAGGAGACTGAGGTGAGAGGATCACTTGAGCAGAGGAGGTGGAGGCTGCAGTGAGCCTCGACCAGGCCACTGCACTCTAGCCTGGGTAACAGAGCAAAAGCGTGGTGGTGCATGCCTGTAGTCCCAGCTACTCGGGAGGCTGAGGCAGGAGACTCGCTTGAACTCAGGAGTTGGAGGTTGCAATGAGTCAAGATCTCGCCACTGCACTCCAGCCTGGTGACAGAGCAAGACTGTCCTAAAAAACAAACAAACAAGAGCGCAAGAGAGAAACCGATGCTCGGAGGTGTTAGCAGACACTTCCATGGCCACATAGCTCAGACAAGGGTGGAGTCCAGGCCTGGCTCCCTCCAGAGTGTCCCAGGCTCTGCAGCTGTGTCCTTCCCAGAGTCATAAGACCTAGAGTCCATTCTGGCTCAGGCACTCACTGGCTGCATCACTGCAGGTGAGGCCCTTAGCTTTGCCGGCCTTGGTTTCCTCACCTGTAAGTGGGAAGGATGATGTATGGGGCACAGGAGCATATTGAGCCCTTTCTCAGTCATACTGTGACTGCCTCTCTTCCCTGCATTCCTGGGCTGTTGGGCAGGGCCTAACCTGGCCCTGTGCCTGGCACCCCCACCCCAGACCTTAGCAAAATGGAGTTGGTCTGAGCCGCTAGTGCTTCTGTTGGTAGACATGCCTCAGAGGGACCCAAAGGTGGGAAAAGTGTCACAGGGGACGGGGACTGGGAGGTAAGAACAAGGAGGGTGCAGACACTGGTGGGCAGGGTGGGACAGAGATTGGGGGCTGAGCAAGGAGAAGCTTTAGAGTAGGGCAGAGGCACCCAGGGCAGGCTGGGGGAGGTGACCTCCAGTGACACACTTCGAGGGAACATGGGGAGATCCAGGGGCAATGGCATGGGGTGTGGCTCCTGTGTAAGCCACCCTTTGGCGGAGGGTCCTCTGGTCCCGGCTGGCTCTAGGTCACATCTGCCCCCCACATTGCACCCCCCCAGGCCTGCCAGCTCCTTCTGAGCCTTTGGCCCTGCCCCTCTCAGGCCTCTGGAACCTCTCAGCATGGTTCTGGCCCTAGTGCTCTGGGCAGCTCCTGCAGACACCTTTCCCCCACCACCCCGATGGCACTTGGGGAGGGGCGTGGGTGGGCAGTGGGTGGCAGGGGAATGGAGGGAAATGAATTCCAGATGAACCGTCAGCCCTCAGGTGCAGCCGGCATGGGGGCGGGGTGGCAATTAGGAGAGCGAACTCTGGGCTGTTTACCGGCTAGAGCAGCTCGGGTGGTTATTTACTTTTCTGAGATTCTGGGAGGGAATAAAATGAGCACAGGGCCTCCAGGGGCCTCAGCAAACAGCGGAGAGGCGGTGGTGTGTTAACCGATTCTGTCAGCCTGCTCCGCCACTTCCCAGAGGCAATTGCTGTCTCAGGGAGCCCTGGGACAACATGGAGGGCCCAGCACTGTCCAGCCAGAGGGAGCGGCAGGGGTGAGAGAAGCCATGCCACCACCCACCACCCCACTGTCCAGGTGGCCCAGGGAGGGGAGCCACACAGCCCAACCGGAATGGGACCACAGGGCCTGGGTCCCAGGACCAGGAGAAGGAGCTTGGAAGGGAGGCATTTCTGGGTGGGGTGGGGTGGGGTGGGGTAGCAGGGGCTGTTCAGTCACTGGGTACACAGGGCCAGGAGCACTGGGGCCATTCTCCAGCTGATCCCAAAGCTCTGGTGTCCAGGACCCTGACAGACCAGAGCTCCAGACCTGGGCCAGCCCTTACCCTCTTGGGGTCCATGTTTCTCTGACAGCTGCTCCTGTCTCCAGGGGCACTTGAGAGGTTACGGAGCACAGTCATTTCCCCACCTCACTTCTGGAGGCTGACATGATTCTGTTTTTAACGGAGTGCGACATGGTCGAGTGAGGCGCTGCTCTCTTTGGGCTTCAGTGCCCTCACCTGTGAAATGGGTGTGATTACAAAAGCGCCTGCATCCCGAGTGGTCCTGAGGGTGCATGCGCTCAGCAGTGTCGACTCATTTTCTACACATGTGTGATGGCCATCGCCTCTGCCCCAGGACACAGGACAAGTTTATATGGTCCTTGCCTTCGGAGACCCAGTTCTCAAGGTATAATCTGAGGACCTCTGGAGATTCCCAAGACCCTCTTAGGGAGAAGGCCTCAAGGTCAAAACTGTCTCCCTCTGTCACCCAGGCTGGAGTGCAGTGGCGTGATCTCAGCTCACTGCAGCATCCAACTCCCTGGTTCCAGCGATTCTCCTGCCTCAGCCTCCCGAGAAGCTGGGATTACAAGCACATACCACCATGGCCAGCTAATTTTTGTATTTTCACTAGAGACAGGGTTTCACCATGTTGACCGGGATGGTCTCGATCTCCTGACCTTGTGATCCACCTGCCTCAGCCTCCCAAAGTGCTGGGATTACAGGCGTGAGCCACTGTGCCTGGCCAAAACTTTTTCTTAGTAACACTAAGATGCTGTCTGCCATTTTCACTGTGTTCATCTTTGCCACAGTTGCTGCAAAAGCTACCTGCTTCAAAGTGCTGTGGCTTAGCAAGGGTCTTGGTGGTGGCACCAGACACTCCTAGTAGCCATGGCGGTCTTCACCACCGCACACCTGCAGGCAAGACAGAAAAGCCTGTTTCATTACGAATGTTCTTGATGAAACAATCAAAATAATTAACTTCGTTAAATCTCTATCCGTGAGTACACTTCTTTTTAGTATTATGTGTAGAGAAATGAGAAGCACGTGTGAAGCATTTCTGAAGAACGCTGGTTGTCTAAAAGAACAGCATTTGAGGTTGTTTGAGCTGTGAGCTGAAATTGCCGTTTTTACCCCCGTGGAACAGCATTTTTACTTGAGAAAAGCAACCGTAGACCAACTATAGTCATTCGGTCTTGGTTATCTGGCATACGTTTTCTCGGAAATGAATGAAGTGAGCATGTTGCTTCAAGGAAAACAACTGACAGTATTTGGTGCCAAGGACAGAAATTTGAGCTTTCAAGCAAAAATTAGAATTTTGGAAACCTTTTATTTGCTGCTATGAGCTTGACAGCTTCCCAGTGTTTCAAAGAGTTTGACTTCCAAGTGATCAATGCATGCATGGTGTTATGAAGTCATGCTTGGGTAAAGATCCATTCAGAATATAAGACAGACCGCTGGATTTCAACATGGCAGAATATGAAAAGTTTGTTGAGGAGATTTTAGGATCCAGGCTGCGGGTCACCCTCAAGCATCTACAACTTGATGAGGCTTGGTGTAGTATCAAAGAACGTCCGCCACAGCTGAAAAGGCCCGTAGGATTCTCCTCTGTTCTAACTCCATGTCTGAGCAAAGCCAGGTTTTCTTTATCTACTTCCACCCAAACAACAGACTGCAGGAGATTGAATGTAGAAGCAGATAACAGAGTCCAGCTGTCTTTCATTAAGTCAGACACGTAGGAGATTTGCAAACCTGTAAAGCAATACTGCTCTTCTCGCTTTTGTTTTTGAAAACTGTTATCTTCCACAAACATAAGTTACTTATATTAACATGAACTGAGTTTATTAGTTTTATTTTAAATGAATTGATAAATGCATATTTGAAAGTTTCTCAGTTTTAATATCAACTATGACAACTATCGATAAACCCACATAAACCAACACTCTTTGGGGTCCTCAATAATTTTTAAGAGTGTAACGGATGCCTGACACCAAAAAGTTGGAAAACTACTGATCCAGTACATGTGGGAACAACAAACAGCTATTTGCAGGTGGGTGAGTGTCAATGTGGGTCTGTACAAGGCAGAAGGGAGGTGAAAGGGCAAGCTGGGGGCTCCCTGGAGGAGGTGTCCTTATAACAGCTAAATGTGACTGACAGGAGATTGTCAGTTGCTGGAACTGAGAGAGAAGCTGGCATGAAGAATCTGCAGAATAGCAGGGAGATCCCCACAAACCCATGAGCAGCTGACGGTGCAGACATCTGAACAGTGATTTGAGCTGTTGTCCCCAGGCAGAGATACCCAGGTATTCATGTACTCATGGACCCAATGAGACGAGGGGGCCCAGGTCCACATGTACCCAGTGTGGTCAGATTTAGATGCCCTCAGCAGGGACCCTCCCTCTGACCTCTAGCAAAGAGGCCTGCAGGACATCCTGGCTGAAATCAGGGAAGGGGCCATCCACCGACACTATGTCCACCCCCCGGTCCAGCCCCCAGGCCTTCACACCAGGGCCAGCACAGGTCCTGCCTTCCTCCCACCAAGGCCCTCTTTCCCCACGCTTCATCCCTTTCTAGTTTGCAGCTAGCCTGGGCTGGTGTGAACGGGCAGGGTCACGGGAGGAGAAGAAATTCTCAGTGGCAGGAGAGGAGCCAGGCCTTTTCCTCACTGAGTCACTGGGGCCTCCACCTTCAGCTGGAGCATAAGCGGGACAGACCATGTGCTTTCCAAGTTGCTCTCGGCCCCAGATCTGGCATCATACAAGCCTGGCACAGTTGTAGGATTCCTTGCCTCTCATGGTGGGGCCAGCCGAGTTATAGTAATCTGCACGTCAAGAGGGAGCAGACAGGAGGAATCCAGCGAGGCCTCAGTGTCAAATCTACACACTCTCACCTCTCTCCAACCTCCCCTGCGGCTCTAGGAGCCAGGGCTCCACACTCACAGCCTCTGCTGCCTCACCTCCCACCCTCCCTGCCTCCTCCGCACGGCCTCCAGCTCCCACTGCTCACTCCAGACACTTTAATGAGTCTCCGGTGACTGCCGACCTCTCTTGCCCAGGGCCTACCCTTGCACAGGGCCATGCCCTTGGCAGTGTTCTGACCTACTTTGACCCCCTCAACTTAGCCATGCAGTGCTTCCCAGCCTCCACCCACCTTGCCAGACCCCCACCTCTCCAATGCCTTTGTGAATGCCTCGCCTTCTTGCTGTCCAAATGCTCCGGGACCACCCTTGGCCGCTGAATCCACTGGTAAAGTGAGCAGCTGCAAGTCAGAAGACTTGACAGACAGTGGCGTTTTATTTCTTGCCTAACAAGAAGTCTGGCTGAAATTTGCAGGGGGGTGAGTGTCAATGTGGGTCTGTACAAGGCAGAAGGAAGGTGAAAGGGCAAGCTAGGGGGCTCCCTGGAGGAGGTGTCCTTATAATAGCTAAATGTGACTGACAGGAGATTGTCAGTTGCTGGAACTGAGAGAGAAGCTGGAACTGAGCTGAGAAGCCGGCTCAGCTGCCCAAGGACGTTACACAGTCATCTCTGGCTGCAAGGATGCTGTGAGGGTGAGTTGCGAGTTTGTTTCTTGGGCACGTAGTGTAAATGTGGGGTGGTGGGGCAACTAGCCTGGACCTTCTCTTGGAGAACTAATCCTCACAGGGTCCCCACGACACGGATGCCTCCTAGCTTGGTTTGAACTACCAGCCTCTCTCCGGGGCTCCAGTTTAGCACTTCCAACTGCCTGGGACAGTTTTACCTTCAAACCACAGCCTGAATCCAACCAACCCAAACGAGCCTCTCCTCCTAGGTCCGTAGCCCTGCAGTCCTCCTGGCTGCCCGAGTTGGAAACAGCAGCCCCTGTTCTCTCTGCCCCACCCCCTGTACACCTGCTACGATTCTGCCTGGGCAATGTGGTCCCCAGAGCAGAGGGCCTGAGCCTGCTTTTCCAGTGCCCCTGACCTGGCTCAGGCCCAGGACATCTTGCTGCCACTACCCTCCTCCCACTCCAGTCCCTCCTCTGCCCTGGGCCAGATCTGTCCAGGGCACACACCTCTCTGACCGGAGTACTTCCTGGAATCTGGCCACAGCACGCTTTCTGGTCTCTTATCCTATTCTATATACAGATCCTCCATATCTCTGAACACCCTAGGGACACAGGTGGGTCTCCACTGCCTCTGGAAAGCGCTTCACTCTCCTCTCGCCACCAGCCAGCTTCCCGCTCACTCATGACCCATAGAATGTGCTGCCTCATGGCTTTGATCCTGCACAGCCTCCCTGAGTCCTTCCTCTGCCCCTCCTCCACACATCCACTGGTGAATGCTCCCTGCACAGTGCTGTGGACAGGTCAAGCTCCTGAGCAGATTCCAGGTCAAGCTATGGGGGAAGGCAGCCTCTTCACTAGTTATTGGCTGTCCTGGATTAGGTGCCTGCCTTGATCCCATCAGCTGAAGCCATAGGGATTACGTACTCCTCAGCAGGCTGACCTTCCAAAGGAGCTTGGGGCAGCGCCACAGAGAGGTAGGGGGCAATGACCGACAGCAATCCTGGACCCCTCTCTCCAAGACCTCTGCTCTGCCAGGGCCCACTTCAAATGCAGTCTCCTCCAAGAAGCCTCTCTAGACCATCTACCCTACTATTGAGCCAGAGCCCCGCAGCTTGGCTCCTCCTGCCCCGGCGCTGTGGACACCTTTCTGTAAGAGTGTGCACACCAGTGGGACCATCTCTCCATTGTTTACCCTGCTGGCTGGTTGCTGAGCCTCCTCACAGCCCCCCTGTGCAGTGAATACACTAGGTGTTCAATAAATGTTGGGGAAGTGACATGAACAGAATGCCCGACTCGGCAGGGACTGGAGAGTATTTGGTTGCAAACCCAGGGCTTGTGTGTCAAAACCAGCTCTCAGACTGGTTTTGTTGGGCCCCCACTGAAAACGGGCAGATTTCCCATCCAAATCTGCATTTGCAGTTTCCCTTGCACAAGCTGGCTTGGGTTCCCCCAAGGCGGAGCCCAAGGTGAGGACAGACTTGTGTGTCTGGGAGGCGAGCCCCAGCGGCAGGAGCAAGGGAGGTGGGGGAGTGAACAGGAAGCAGGAAGAGCGGAAGGTTCGGGACAGAGCCAGGACTGCTGTGGCACCTGGGTTCCTTCTGGCGGCAGAACCGGAAGCCACGCCTCTGAAGTGACCATGGGAAGGAAGAGACTGGGGCACTTGTCCACCAACTCTGTCTTCCATTGGTTGAGCGCTGTCCAGGGCGTTTGCCTTCCTAGAACTCCCCGGATCCCCATCACAAGGGCTGGCTTGGAAAGAAGTCCCGAGACTGAGAGCAGCGCTGGGCTCTCGTGCCTGCTGGGAGAACCTGCGAAAGTGGAGGTGGAGCACTCCTTTTCAAAAACAATTTTAATATTTTTGGTAGAGACAGGGTGTCACTATGCTGCCCAGGCTGGTCTTCAATCCTGGCCTCAAGAAATCCTCCCACCTCAGCCTCCCAAAGTGTTGGGATGACTGGCATGAGCCACCCTGGGAAGCTCCCCTTTGAACAGGTGCTGCCCCCACCCTGGCCCCGTGCCTCATCTTCATTTCCCTCCATCCCCTGCATGCTGCTGAGTTGGTGAATCTGGTAGGTTCCCTCAGATCCTTTCATAGAGGGCACTGGGGCCCCGAGAGGGAAGGCCCAGAGACCTCAGCCAAGGTCTTGCAGCCATGCACACCGGGCTGGGCCCAGGACCCTGACTCCTGCTAGAGCGCTCCCTGCCACCCACCCTCCTTTCCTTCCCACCTCGGGCTTGTTGTGGGCTTGACTTCTCTGCCTCAGGAATGAGGCCCTCAGACAAGGGCTGTGGGCTGTGAACTCTGGCCCAGCCCTTTCCCCTCTTTGCAGCTGGCTCGGGATAGGAGCCAGTAAATAACATGCTGCCCATCGATCGAGGTCACTCAGGCCAGGGCCGATCGATGGCTGCAGACAGCTGGGCAAGCAGGTAATGAAGTACCAGCTCCTTGGTGGGGGCGCTAGCGGCCCTGGGATTTAATCCCCTTGCCTCCTCCACTTCGCTCCAGCTTGGGTGACAGGAGGGAAGACAGATGAGGCTCCGAAGCTGGTGGTGGGGGGGCGGGAGTGAGTGGGATCTAGGAATAGGGATGGGCCATGGGGGTGTGAAGTTGGCAAGGCTCGCTGAAAGCGCAGCCCCTGTTTCTCTCATGGGCAGCCTCTCCAGGCAGGCTTCCCGTGGGATCCTCCCCCAAAAGCCTGTATCCCCCATCCCCCTCCAGGCACACAAAGCACATTTCACCCTGTGTGCTTGTCCGTGCGAGCGTAAAGCTGTCTACTCCTCCAAAATGAGGGCTTTGGAGGGCAGGAAAGGGCACAAGAAACTAAACATTGTCGAACCCATAAGATGCGCTGACTCAGTGTCTTGCGGCTTTGTATCTGTCATCCTATTCGATGTTCATGGCCGTCTGGCTTGATAAATATTATTATGTTCATTCCAATAGATGAGGAAACAGACTCAGAGAGGAAGAGATAGTTAACAGCTAGAGCAGTCCAACAATGGACCAGACCAGGTAGCCTCATGGTGAGGTGGTGAGTTCCCTGTCACTCTGGGTATTCAAACAGAGCTTGAAGGGCTAGCTGTCAAAGGGCTATGGAGGAGATTCTGCAGAAGGTAGGCTTGGACTACATGGCCATGGGGTCCTTTCCTACTTTGCGCTTGCGTGAGTCTTTGGGAAAGATGGACTTACCTGGGTTTCAGGGGGTCCTGGGCCCCAAGCGGAAGGATGGCTAAGTGAGAGTGGTCACTAAGCTGGTGGCTTTCAAACCATGTTTGCAGACCCCTGGGGAACTCTGCAGGGACTTAGAGTCCACAAATGTTTCACCTAAAGTTCATTTTTGGCCAGGCGTGGTGGCTCACACCTGTAATCCCAGCACTTTGGGAGGCCAAGGTGGGCGGATCACTTGAGGTCCGGAGTTTGAGACCAGGTTGGCCAACATGGTGAAACCCTGTCTCTACCAAAAATACAAAAATTAGCTGGGCATGGCGGCACGCATCTGTAATCCCAGCTACTCGGGAGGCTGAGGCAGGAGAATCGCTTGAACCCGGGAGGCGGAGTTTGCAGTGAGCTGAGATCGTGCCACTGCACTCCAACCTGGGCAACAGAGCAAGACTCTGTCTCGGGGGGAAAAAAGTTTGTTTTCAATACCACTTTTTATGATGATATAGTATCTAAAAACAAATACAGGCTGGCAATTATGTTATACAATTTTTAAACCACTTGAAATCACTAGAAAGGTTGCTTTGGGTGGATCTGAGGCTAAAGATTCTCCTACATCTGTATTTATTTGAAGAGTCTTGCAAGGAGGGAAAATATTGAAAAACAACCCCTCTTTTAACTCACAATTCCTTATCTGTATGAATAAGTAATAGCATACAACACAACACAAGGCAGAAACAATTCGGAGGCTGAGCCGGATGCAGGGTGGAAACTGTCACCAGTAATCCCTTATGTCTGTCTCATAGTCAGCAAAACAGCCTTGTTCTCATCTTATCTAATCTTATTATAATGTTCTCTCCTATTATAAGAATGTGGTGTACATGTGAACATATCAGGCGTTTGTACTCATAGAAGATGACTTTTATCTGTTTTACACATTGTGATTCTGCTTAGACTTCATTTGAGAAAAGAGTTTTACTGTTGAACATCCTGGGATGCCCCCATGGCGAAGTGGCTGAGGCTGCCACCCCCAGGTTCTTCCTAAGCAAGGTGGGGTGGGGTGCAGGACCTGGGCTGGCAACCCCTGCCTCTCATTACACTCAGGATGCCGCCTCATGATGCCACCCATGGTGGACGCCTGGCCCTGGGCCCCAAGCCTGACCCTCTGCTGTGGGTGCAGGGGTGAATGGGGCAGCTGGATCCCCTGGCTGGCTCTTCCCCAGGAGGGCAGTGTGGGGAAGAAGCATGGTGGTGATGGAGGATGCGTGGCAGCCTACCTGAAGGCCTGTGCGGCACTGTGCATGGGAGGTCACGTGAAAGCAGGAGTGAGGCAGGAGCAGGGAGCCACAGGTAGAGCAGGTGTGAGACGATGTGAGTCCTCAGCTGGGGCTGAAGGGACGCTGGACAGGATCAGGTCTCTGCCCGGGGGGGAAATGCCTCCACTACTGTTCCATGGGTCTGGCCGAGAGATGCAGAAGCTGTGCTGCCCTGGGCTCTGCACCATCTCCCTGCTGGACTTCCCTCTGGGCCGCCGGCCGGCCAGTGCTGTGTGTGCAGTCCGATGATGCCTATGGCCTCATTTCTATCACATGTGGCTGCCCCTATGGACGTTGACCCTATACCAAAATAACCCACTTGGCCTCACCAGGGAGACCCAAGGCCCCCCTCTCCAAACAGGCCCTGGCGATGGCCCTGATAAGCCAAAGTTTGGGAGTCAAAACATCAGCATTATCTCATTTCATTCACTCCTCTCCCTACCCTTGAGCAACGCTGGTCTTAGGTCTGCTGCCCCAACCCCCAAGCGGCCACCCACCCCAGGGCCTTTGCACCTACTCAGTCCTCCCAGAGCTTCTTTCCTGCAGAGTTTGCACAGTGGGCTGCTTCTTAGCCTCAGATCACACCTCAGGTGTCACCTCCCCAGACAGCCTCCCTTGACCACCTCATCCAGTGTAACCACCCTGATGCTGTCACCACCCCCCCATTCTGTCACTTGGATTCTCTTTTTCCCATGGCACCTCGCATTTTCTGCGATGATCTTGTTTACAGCTTTTCTAGAGTAGTTTGTTTTCTGCACCAGAATGTCAGCTCCACAAGGAGCTGTCTTGTTCATTCCCACGTCTGCTGTCCCTAGCCCCATGACTGGCACACAGTAGGCACCCAGCCAATGTTTGTGGAATCAAGAAAAGCTCAGAGGCTCGAAGCTGTGTATGCTTTGCAGGGATGATTTCCTGAGAAACGGGTGATTTTATTTTAAGCAAGGAAGCATGGAGGCTTGAATGAGAAAATAGAGAAAAGGGCTCAGGGAGAGAGCGGGGGTGGCTGGTGGGCCATGATGTTTGGGGGTGCCCGAGTTCTGGGCTGTGTACAGATCTGATAGCTGATTTGAGGGAAAGCCACATGCAAGTGGAAGCATCCATATCTCAATGACGCAAGAGGAAACCCAGGGCAGAGGCCACAGAGAGGGGAGAAGACAGCGTGGGCTCGGGAGCTGCCTGAGCAGGCCAGCATCAGGCCCTGGTCCCCAAGGCAGGGGAGCCTGGAGCTGGCTACCCACTTAGCTGAAAGAAACAGGAAAGAGACATTCAGGCACATTTTTAAAAAAGATCTTTTAAGGTCTCAAAATATGATCCAACCACGTTATTATCCAGTGGACATCACATTCCTCAGAACCCAAAAGGGACCTTTGTCTCTCCTTGCAGGGGCACACCCTGCTAAGGAGGGGCACTGGCATTGCTGGGGGCCTGGGAGGGTTTCCTTAGAGCTGTGGCTTTTGGTGAGGCCTGGAAGGATGAGGAGTTTTAGTTGGTGAAGGTGGGATGGCACCCCAAGGTGAGAGACTGCTGGGACCTGGGCCCACAGGGGACCCAAAGCTCTACCAGGTGTGGGGAGGTTTGGGGGACTCAGGCCTGGGTTCCCGCCCACCCTAGGTGGTCAGGGAGGTGTGCAATGCCAGGGCTGAGAGGAGCTGACAGGATTTTGTTTTCTTCTCCCCTCCTGCCTTCTCAAACACAATCATGGTTTCATCTGGGCTCACCCCGCCCGCCTCCCCATGTCTAATCTCATTTAGAACGGCAATTAAATTTTAAAGGCCCATCAGCATGGTCCCTCAAATGCCAGGTTCTTTCCAGATAGAATTATTTAATAGACTGGATAGCAACTGTGCGGGCTCCGGCTGGGGCTGCAGACCCACCGAGGCAGAAAATTAATTAACACAGCAGCCTCCCCCCACCCTCTTGCAGCCGGGCCTGGCCTGCCTCTGCTCACTCTCTCCTGTCCACCTCCGCTGCCACGATCGGCTTCCTGAGCAGGGGCATCGGGGCTTGGAGGGGGAGGGCAGGAAAGCCTCAGGAGCCTGGCAGGTGATCTCGGAGTGTTGGGGCCTGCCTGGAAGCCCCATTCTGCCACTTATTAGTGAAGCTGGTGGGACGCATTACTTCACCTGTCTGGCCTCAGTCTGCTCATCCATGTAATGGGATCACGAGAGGCTCACAGAGGCAATGTATGCATAGCACTAGGCGTGATAACCAGCTCATGGCAGGAGCTCAGTACACAGAAGTTCCTTTCTTCTCCCTCACAAATAACCACAGCTTGTATGCTGGTGTCAGGAACACCTGGCTGGGGGCAGGGAGGGGAAGTGGGGAGTGGGCCTGAGCGTTTGTGGGTCTGTGGGCTGACTGCACCTTGGGCATGTGGCATCAGGAAATCAGATCTCTGAGGTTTGGTGTCCTGGGTAGAGTCTCACTCCCTGTGTGTTTTTGGGCAAATCTCTTAGCCTTTTGGGCCTTCATTTCCTCACCTATAAATAGGGACAGAGTATCTACTGACTTCACAGGGTCATGGTGGCACCTGGTGAGGTGATATAGCTGAGTTCCTGGCACAGCAGTAGGTGCCATGACAATTCTGCCTGTGTCACCCACTGGGTGCCGGGCAGCCCTCATGCAGGGCAAGCTCAGGGGAGAGGAGCAGCCAGGGCAAGCTGGAGAGAGCAGGTGAGGGTAAGGCACACACCGAGGAGGTGAGGCTCAAGACCCTGAGACAAGGGCTTGTCTGAGGGCAGTGGCTCACCCTCGGGCTCCCTCCCACCTGCCCTCCAGATCCCATTCCTGCTCCTTGGTGGGGGCTTAAGGATGAGGATGGTGAGAGGGGCTGTCTGTGAGAAGGGAATCCCGACCTGGGATCCCATGTTCATCTAACAAGCACCTATCACGTGTCAGGCACTGCTCTAGGTGCTACAGGTGCTGAGGACACAGCAGTGACCACAAGTATGCTGTCCTGGCCAGGTGTGGTGGCTCATGTCTGTAACCCCAGCGCTTTGCGGGGCTGAGGCGGGTGGATCACTTGAGATCAGGAGTTCCAGACCAGCCTTGGCCACATAAACAAAACACAGAAAAAATTAGCCAGGTGTAGTGGCACACACTTGTAGTTCCAGTGTTACTCAGGAGGCTGAAGTGGGAGGATTGCTTGAGCCGGAGAGATCAAGGCTACAGTGAGCTGTGATTGCGCCACTGCACTCCAGCCTGGGCAACTGTCTCAAAAAAAAAAAAAAAAAAAATCCTGTTCTTATGAGGCTGGTGTTAGACAAATGCTAAGATGACAGTGAGTGCTGGGGACAGGAAGTGGGGCTGTGAGCAGGGTGGTGGCAGGAAGGGAGCAAGCTTTTTAGATGGGGTGGTCAGGAGGGCCTCTGTGAGAAGGTGACCTTTGAGCAGAGGCCTGAAGCAGGCAAGGAGCCTGTGGCTATCTGGGGGAAGAGCATCCAGGCAGAGGGAACAGCCAGTGCAGAAGCCCTGGGGCAGGAGTGAGGTTAGCTGTTTGCAGAGCTGCAGAGGCTAAGCGGAAGTTCAGTGCTGGAGGGAGCAGGAGAGTGGATCAGTGATGCAGGAGGGGCACAGGCCTCATGGACACTGTTTCACTCGCCAGAAGTGGGCAGCAGGGAGGGCTCTGAGCAGGACAGCAACAATTTTGCCAGGGTTTCTGAGGCTTCTGGGGGTGAAACTGAGAGCAGAGGGCAGGTGAGGAAACCAGGGACCATGAGAAGGCTACAACTGTCCAGGGGGAGGTGGGATGGGGGTCCTGGGGGAGGGTGGGGACAGTGGAGGTGTGAGAAAGCCTGGGGTTCTGCATATGTTTTGAGGGTACAAGGGCCAGGATGCAGAGACCCAGGGCTGAGTCTGGGGTGGTTTCCCAAGACCTGCCCATCAGGCTTCTGGCATAAGGCTCCTCCATCCGGCACATCCCACTCCATGGCTCTGTTGAACCCCCTTCTCCTTGCTGGAAACCTTCTGGAAACCCCACGGTGGAGGGGAAATCTTCGTGGCCAGCGGCTCTGGTAGGGGCTTCTGCCTTTGTGGTCCGGCTGCCCCGCTGGTGCAGAAGGCTGCTTTGGGGTCGGGCGGAGGCTCTGCCTCCAGAGCTGAGAAAGGGGAACTGCGTGATTTCTGCTAGAGTGGGAGACCCTTAAGGCTGAGAAGGGGTGATGACTGCCAGAATGAGGAAGCGCAGCCTTGGAGGGAGGCGCCCCTATCCTGACCGCCAATGGCCTGGGCTCAGAGACCAGAGACACCTCTCCCGGACCGCTGCAGAAGCGGAGCTCCCAGGATCCTGTCCCGTCCAGCCCGGGCCCCCTGCACCCAGCTGGCTGGCTGGGCGGGGAGGTGGGTGCGGTGCGCCTTCCCCACGTTCCTCTTCCCCAGCCTGCGCTGTCCGGGTTCAGCTCCGCGAACAATCGCGCCACCGGCCCTGAAATTCAGCGAATTGCCTGGTGCCCTCAAGCCTGCCATTTCCCGTGCGCTCCGGAGCCCCGGCGAATTATCCGATGAGAAATCAGCCCTGTTTTCCCTTTTCCTCACAAAGGAATAAACGAAAAGGTTTTCAAGTTGCTTCTAAAGAGGGGGCTCGGCCTCGCGCTCCAGCACAAACGCGGCGCGCGCGGGCGCCGTTCCCAGGCGTCGGATCTGGGCCCCGCGCCTACTCACCCGCCCACCCGAGAGAGGGAAGGATGGGGCGTGGGAGTGGGGAGTGCGGACAGGGGCGGTGCCTGCCGAATGGCAGTCCCAATCCTCCTTTCCCTACCCAGGCCTTTGGGGTCATATGGAAGTGCAGGTTCCGGGGTGGCCAGGAATTCCCAGGCCAGTTCCTGCTGGGGACTCGTATCTGCGTTAGCCAGCCCACCACATCCCTGTGTGTTCTGAGGTTTACTTTATAAAATAGGTTTTTACTTTATTTTATTTTGAGACAGAGTCTCACTCTGTCGCCTAGGCTGGAGTGCAATGGCGCGATCTCAGCTCACTTCAACCTCTGCCTCCAGGTTCAAGCAATTCTCCTACCTCAGCCTCCTGACTAGCTGGGATTACAGGACTGCGCCACTATGCCCAGCTAATTTTTGTATTTTTAGTAGAGACGGGGTTTCACCATGTTGGTCAGATTGCTCTCGGACCCCTGACCTCAAGTGATCTGCCTGCCTAGGCCTCCCAAAGTGCTGGGATTGCAGGCATAAGCCACTGCGACTAGCTGACTTTATAATCTAGGTTTTGAAAGACAATGGCAAGTTCAGGGGCAGAGGAGAGGAGGGCTGAATGCGGTGGGCAAGGCGGACAATTGCCCACCACCTCCTGGGGCAAACAGGTCCGAGGGCTTCTCTCTCTAAAATTCACAAATGCTGGCTGCAGAGGAGCAGAAGGGAAAGGCTACAGGGAAGGGGACCCAGCATGGGTGAAGACCCTGAGGTGGGAGACAGCAGGTTCCTTCACGGAGCCAGGAGAAGGCTAATGTGTTTGGGATGCAGAGTGAGGGGCTGCAGGGGGAGGTGAGGCTGGAAATTCTGTGAGTTTTAACACACGTATAGATTCATGTAACCACTACCTCAGTCAGGATATGGGACAATTCCACTAGCCCCAAAACTCATCCTTTGTAACCCACTGTCCCCAGCACCTAACCCCTGGCAACCACTTGTTCTGTGTTGCTACAGCTTTGCCTTTTCCAGAATGTCACATGAATGGAATCATGTAACATGTATCCTGTTGAGACTGGCTTCTGTCACTCAGCATAATGCCTCTGAGATTTGTTCAAGTTGTCGCATGGCTCAGTAGCCCCTTTTTATTGGGATTGCTGGGTCATATGATACATGCATATTTAACTTTCTGAGAAACTGCCACACTGTTCTCCAGAGTGGCTGTGTGATTTTGCATTCCCACCATCAGTGCATGAGCGTTCCAGTTGCACTGTATCCGACCCGCATCAGGTGTGTTTTAGATGGTTTGTTTTATAGTTATGTCATGGTATCTCGTTGTGGTTTTAATCTGCATTTCCCTAAAGGCTAATGACACAGAGTACCTTTCCATGTTTTGTTATTTTCATGTTATCTGCTCTCTATTCTGTTGCATTCTGTATATCCTGTTCAGTGAAGTATCTAAAGTCTTTTGCCCATGAAATAATTGGGTTGTTTGTTTATTGAATTTTGAGAATGCTTTACATATTCTTGATACAGGTCCTTTGTCAGATACATGATTTGCAAATATTAGCTTTCCAGTCTGTAGCTTGTCTTCTCAGTCTTCATAGTGCCTTTCACAAAATAAAATTTTCCAATTTTAATGAAATCAACTTTATTAATTTTTTATTATATAAACTGTGCTTTTTGTGTCATATCGTAGAAGTCTTTGCCAAACTCCAGGTTGTGAAGATTTTTTTTTTTTTTTTCTTGAAATAGAGTCTCACTCTGTTGCCCAGGCTGGAGTGCAGTGGCGGGATCTCGGCTCACTGCAACCTCTGTCTTCTGGGTTCAAATGATTCTCCTGCCTCAGCCTCCTGAGTAGCTGAGACTACAGGTGCACGCCACCATGCCCAGCTAATTTTTGTATTTTTAGTAGCGATGGGGTATCACCATGTTGACCAGGCTGGTCCTGAACTCCTGACCTCAAGTGAGTTACACACCTGGGCCTCCCAAAGTGCTGGGATTGCAGGCATGAGCCACTGCACCTGGCCGTGAAGATTTTCTCATGTATTTATGTGTTTTCTTCTAAAAGTTTACAGTTTCACTTTTTTTTTTTTTCAAGACAGAGTCTTGCTTTGTTGCCAGGCTGGAGTGTAATGGCTCAATCTCAGCTTACTGCAACCTCTGAAGCAATTTTCCTGCTTCAGGCTCCTGAGTAGGAGCACGCTGCCACACCCAGCTAATTTTTATATTTTTAGTAGAGATGGGGTTTCACCATGTTGGCCAGAATGGTCTTGATCTCTTCACCTCATGATCTGTCCACCTTGGCCTCACAAAGTGCTGGGATGACAGGCATGAGTCACTGCACCTGGCCCCCCCATTTTTTTTTTGAGACAAAGTCTTGCTTTGTTGCCCAGACCGTAGTGCAGTGGCACAATCATCGTGTACTGCAGCTTCACACTCCTGGGCTCAAGGCATCCTGAGCTTCAGCCTCCCGAGTAGCTAGGACTGCAGGGGTGCATCACTGCACTGGCTATTTTTTTAATTTTTACTTTTTGGAGAGGCAGGATCTTGCTCAGTTAACCAGCTTAGCCTCGAATTCTTGACCTCAAGCGATCCTCCCACCTCAGCCTCCTAAAATGCTGGATTACAGGTGCCAGACACCTCTCCTCGCTTAATTTTTTCTTTTACAAAAATGTTTTGGTTATTCTAGTTTCCTTGTCTTTCCATATACATTTTAGAATCAAATTGAGGCAGGAGAATAGGGTCTGGAGGCAGGGAACCTAAGGCCGATTTGGGCTGACTTCCTAGGACTGAATGAAAAGGGAAACCCCACCTTCTTCACCCCTAAGTAACAAAATGATCAGAGGCTACTCCCTTTGCAACCTGCCCCCAGAACCCTGCATCTCGGACGAAAAATGCAAACTACCTCCCACAAGCAATCAGACATTGGCACAGGGTGTAACTTTGTAACTTCAGCCTCTAATTGGTTGTCTTTCACAACCATTCAGACTTCTCCATTTACACGGGATGCAACCAAGTAACCAACGGGAAACCTTTAGAGTGTATTTAAACCTCGAAAATTCTGTAACCAAGGGCTCTTGAGCTGCTGGCTCATGCTGGCTCCTGCTTTGTGGAGTGTACTTTTGTTTCAGTAAATCTATGCTTTCGTTGCTTCATTCTTTTGTTGCTTTGTTTGTGCATTTTGTCCAATTCTTTGTTCAAAACGCTAAGAACCTGGAGGACATATAGTTAAGATCCTCCACCAGTCACAAACCTACTTATATCTGCCAAAAAATTCCACTGAGATTTTGATTGGTATTGGGTTAACTCTGTAGATGAGTTTTGAGAGGACATTGAATTTCATTGAGTCTCTCAATTCACGAACAGGTAGATGTCTCTATTAGGTTTTGGATTTCTTAGCTCAGCATTTACAAATCTTGTATAAGTTTTGTTATATTAATGCCTATGTATTTCATTTTGGGAGAACAATTATAAAAGGTATTTTTTAAAATACTTTAGTTTCCAGAGTATTCATTGCTAATATGTAGAAATAGGATTGCTTTTGTGTCTTAACCTTATATTCTGTAACCTTGCTAAATTTCTACTCATTCTAGGAGCTGTTTAAGTAGAGTCCATGTTTTCTACATAGACAATCATGTTGTCTGTGAACAGGGATTATTTTATTTCTTCTTTTCCAATCTGTGTTGCCTCTTGTGGGAAGTAGAAAAGTTCCTCTTCAAAGTTTCCTTTCTTGTTAAAGAATAAATCATAAGTGTTAGATATAATAGTTTGTTTTAAAGACTTTCTTCAAAGCCTTCTTGCTTTTTGCTAATAACTCCTTGTTATGCCCTATCAGCTGTTAGACATGCTCACAGGCAGGTAATATATTCTATGCCCTTGTGCTTTAACCAAAATATTTATGCTATTACTTTCCTAAGTCCTTTTGCAAGCAACTTCCTGTCCCTTCCTTATTTGACTTCCTCTTTTCCTTTTGTTCTCCATTGCCTTTACCTATTCAAGAAAGTTTTAAGTAATTAGCCAATCAAGTTCAGTTTTAGACTGTGAGGTCTAGCTCCAACCAAAGGAGATTTAGACAGAGCAGTAAGGATGACTCCAAATGCATAAAGGATAAATATGTCTGTTTTTTCTTTGTTGTACTCTCTCGTAGCAATATAGCTAACAAGAGCACCCTTTCTGCAGAAAGTAAAATTGCCTTGCTGAGAGATCTTTTGTCTCAGTGCTAATTTATTTATTTGTTTTTTTGTGTGGCACCAAGCATCTGTTTCCAACACCTCTTATTTCTTTTTCTTGCCTCATTGCACTGGTTAGGACTTCCTGTACCTTGAGACTCTCATTCCTTGAGACTCTTGTTGCACTGGCTGGGACTTCCTGTGCCATGTGTAATGGGAGAGATGAGAGTGGATCTCCTTGTCTTGTTCCTGATCTTAGAGAAATGCATTCAGTCCTTCACTATTAAGTATGATGTTCGTTGTAGGTTTTTTCTTTTGGTAGGTGCCCTTTATCAGATTAAGGATGCTCCTTTTTATTCTTAATTTATTGACAGCTTTTATTATTAATGGATGTTATAAAGAGATGTTGAAATTTGTCAGGTGTTTCTTCTGCCTCAGTCAATATGATCATGTGATATTTCTTCCTTAGTCTGTTAATATGGTGAATTACATTGATTGAATTTCAAATATTGAATCAGCCTATATTTGTGGAATAAACTCCACTCTGTCATGGTGTATTATTCATTTTATGTATTACTAAATTCTGTCTGCTAATATTTTGCTGAGGATTTTTCTGTGTTCATGAAGGATATTGGTCTGCAGTTAGCTTTTACTGTACTATCTATGCCTTTTTTTTTTTCTTCTAGTTTTGTAGTTTTCTGAAGATGGAACTTGCATTACTATGTTAAGACCTTTCTTTTTATTCTTTCTGGTTTTGGTACCAGAGTAATGGTGGCTTCATAAAATAAATTTGGAAAAGTTCCCTCTTATTCTGTATTCCGGAAGAGATTGGTGTTGTTTCTTCTTCTTTTTTGTGACAGAGTCTTGCTCTCTTGCCAGGCTGGATCAGTGGCATGATCTCAGCTCACTGCAACCTCTGCCTCCTGTTCAAGTGATTCTCCTGCCTCAGCATCCTGAGTAGCTGGGGTTACAGGTGCACACCACCATGCCTGGCTAATTTTTTGTATTTTTAGTAGAGATGGGGTTTCACCATGTAAGCCAGGATGATCTTGATCTCCTGACCTCGTGATCCACCTGCCTCAACCTCCCAAGCTGGGATTACAGGCGTGAGCCACCACACCAGGCCTTGTTTATTCTTTAAATATTTGATTTAAATGTATTAGTGAATGGTTGGGTGCAGTGGCTCAAGCCTGTAATCCCAATAGTTTGGGAGGCCAAGGTAGTAGGATCACTTGAGCCCAGGAGTTTAAGACCAGCCTGGGAAACATAGTGAGACCCTGTCTCTATTAAAAATAAAAGAAGTTACCCTGACATGGTAGCACATGCCTGTAGTTGTAGCTACTACGGAAGTGGGAGAATAACTTGAGTCTGGATGGTTGAGGCTGCAGTGAGCTGTGATTGCACCACTGCAGTCCAGACTGGGCAACAGAGCAAGACTGTGTCTCAAAAAATAATTATATATATGCTAGTGAAGCTAACTGGGCTAGGAGATCTTTTTTGGAAGGTTTTAATTACAAAGTTAATTTCTTGAATAGACACAGTACCCTTCAGCTTATCTGCTTCTTCTTGTGTGAGTTTTGGTAGTTTTTGGCTTTCAAGGAATTGGTCCATTTTATGTAAGTTGTTGAATTTATATGTGTGGAGTTGGTGATAGTGTTCTCTCATTATCCTTCTAATGGCAGAGTCTGTAGTGATATATCAATTTTCTCCTAATATTGGTAATTTGTGTCATTTTTCCTTTGCCAATTTGGCTACAGATTAATCAATTTTATTGCTTTCTGCTCTTAATTCCTTTCTTCATGCTTTGGCTTTATTTTGCTCTTTTTTTTCTAGTTTTGTAGTTTCTCAAGATGGAACTTGGATTGATATGTTAAGACCTCTCTTTTTTTCTAATGTAAATGATTTAATGTTATAAATGCTCTTTAAGCATTGCATTAGCTGCATCTCACACATTTCAGTATGTTGTACTTTGATCTTTGTTCAGTTTAAATATCTTCTAATATTCCTTGAGACTTCCTCTGGACCATGGATTATTGATAAGTGTGTTGTTTTATTTCTCTTATTTGTAGATTCACCAGTTATATTTTTGCTATTGACTTTTTTTTTTTTTTGAGATGGAGTTTTGCTGTTGTTACCCAGACTGGAGTGCAATGGCATGATCTTGACTCACCGCAACCTCCGCCTTCTGGGTTCAAGCAATTCTCCTGCCTCAGCCTTTCCAGTAGCTGGGACTACAGGCGCGCGCCACCATGCCCAGCTAATTTTTGTATTTTTAGTAGAGACGGGGTTTCACCTTGTTGACCAGGATGGTCTTGATCTCTTGAGCTCGTGATCCACCTGCCTCAGCCTCCCAAAGTGCTTGGATTTTAGGCGTGAGCCACCGCACACGGCCGCTATTGACTTTTAATTTAATTCCATTACGGTTAGAGGATATACTTTGTATGACTTCAATTTTTAGAGTGCTCTGTGTGCACTTGAAAAGAAGGTGTATTCAGCTGTTGATGGGGGACGCATTCTGTAATGCTAATTAGATCCAGTTTGTTATAGAGTTGCTCAGTTCTTCCACAGACTTGCTAATCTGAATACTTGTCCTACCAATTACTGAAAGAAGAGTATTGAAATATCTAACTATAATTGAAATCTCCAACTATAATTGCAGATTTGGTCTTTTCCCCTATTCAATTCTATCAGTTTTTACTTCAGGCATTTTGAAGCTCTGTGGTTAAGTGCATTCTCATTTAAGAGTGTTATGTCTCCTTGGTGACTTGATCCTTTTATCATTGTGAAATGCCCCTCTTTATCCCTGGTAATTTTTCTTACTCTGAAATCTAACTTGTCTGATATTAAAATTGCCATTCTAGCTTTTTAAAAAAATTTACATTTGCAAGGCATTTTTTTATTATTATCCTGTTGATATCGTTATACAGCATATTGTCGGGTTGTGTTTATTTTTTAATTCTGATAATCCCTGATTTTTAATTGATGTGTTTAGATCATTTACATTTAATGTAATTATTGATCTTTTTGAACTCTGAGCTTTCATCATTTGATTTCTACTTCTGCCTTCTGTTATTAGTCCATTTTCTCCTTTCTGTTTTCTTTTGCGTTGATTATTTTTTGTATTTTATTTTAATTTACTTATTAAGTTTTTTACAAACAGCATCTCCTTGTATACTTTTTAAAAGTGATGGATCTAGTGATTGCAATGTACTTACTAAATTTAATCATATCTACTTAGCAAATTTTGTTTGAACAAGGTCATCAGGCTATAATGTGATGAAGAGAGATTAATTAGGATCAAGAATACCAGATTTAGCGAATAAAAATACAGATGGTCCTTGAAATATTTTAGGAATTTCATGGAATTTTATCTAAAAAAGAGATTTAAAAATAGATGCCCAGTTAGATTTAAATTTCAGATAAGTCCTGGATACTTGCTTAGTGTAAAACTGTGTCACAGTTGGAACATACTCACTTAAAAAAAGCATTGTTTATTGGAAATTCAAATTTAACTGGACCTCTTGTATTTTATCTGGTAATCCCAGTTAGGTTGCTATTTTGAGTGAAGATGGCTAGACAAAGCTCGGTGGTAATAAGATAGGGACAAGTGCAGGAAAGATTTCGGAAGCCAAATCTAGAGGATTTGGTGTAGATGGGACATTGGGATGAGAAAGAGAAGAGTATAGGTGGATCCCATAGTGGTGTATGACTTGTGCCCTATTTGGACAGAGACTGGTACCCCTGCTGAGATGGAGAACACAGGAGGAGTGGGTAAAGGCAGTAGTGGGAAGTTTTGATGTACTAATTCTGTGGTACCTTGGAGATACCCAAGTGGAGGTGAACGCCAGGTGGCTGGATATCTGGGTGTTTGCTTCAGGGAGTGGTCTGGCTTGGACACTCACAAATGCAGATGTCCTGAAGCTACCAGCAAGGGCAGACTCCTAGGAAGAGAGTACACCATGTGAGAACACATGAACACAGGACCCTCCCTGAGAAGCATCAACACATAGTAGCCACACCAGGAGGAGGGTCTGGCAGAGAAGGCTGAGAAGAGATGTTCCAAGTGGGAAGAGGGAAGCCAGCAGAGCATTGGGAGGTGGAACAAATGTAGGGACTGGACAGTAGTGCCAAATACTCTGGAGAGATAGGGAAGATTAGTTCCAGAAGTTAGAGGGAAATGGAATTGCTGCTGCTATGGGCAACTGGGGCTCAATCCCACTGGAACCCTCTGAGACACCTCAGAGTTGTCCTTTAGAAGGACATTTATCTACCCATTCCCTCATCCAAGGAAGACAGGAGGGGTACTGGCTCCCACTTGGGTCTGTTGTGTCTGCAGGATGCATGAGTCCCACTCCTGCCCTCCTGCCAGCAGAGAGAGTGGCAGGCTGGAGTGGGATGCTTCAGTCTGGAGGAGGAGAACAGTCTGCACAGCTGCAGTTGAAATCCAAGAAGGGCTGATGGAATGAGGACACACAGATCATCTGTTACAGTCGGGAAGCTGAGGGGATTCTCTTCTACTGGCTTCTCTGGCTCTGGGTGGAAGGAGGGAGGTGCTCTGCTGAGGATGCGGAGAGGCGTGGAGAGGTCAAGGGGCAGAGGGCAGAAGGTATGCAGGATGGACCTTGTATTAGTCTGTTCTCGCACTGCTGTAAAGGAATACCAGAGACTGGGAATTTACAAAGAAAGGAGGTTTAGTTGGCTCATGGTTCTGCAGGCTGTACAGGAAGCATGGCTAGGGAGGCCTCAGGAAACATAGAATCATGGCAGAAGGTGAGGGGAAGCAGGCACGTCTAACATGGCCGGAACAGGAGGAAGAGAGTGAGGGAGAGGTGCTACACACCCTTTAAACAAGCAGATCTTGTGAGAACTCACTCACTATCAAGAGAACAGCGAGGGGAAATCCTCCCCCATGAGCCAGTCACCTCCCACCAGGCCCCTTCTCCAACACTGGGGATTCCAATTCAACATGAGATCTGGGCTGGGACAAAATCCAAGACATTTCAGACCTGTTCATTGTAGAGTGAGAGAGGCAGAGAAAAGCAGGTAGATTTTTGATCAGATTGAGGCTAGCTGAGGCTGGTGACCTAGAACCCTTAGTGGTGACAGCTCACCACCTGACTGTGCCTCTGCAGCAGGTGAAGCTTGGAGAAAGAGCTGGGGTCAGCCAGGGCTGGAGTTCCACCAAGCAGCTAGCCCGACCCTCTCCTCCTGATATAGGGGCTGGGCTGTGAAGAGTGGGGGCTCTGAGAGAGCCTTCTATGAGGCTCAGAAGTGAGTGTTCCCTGGCACCCTGTGAATGCAGTGAGTCTGGGCTGGAAGGGAATCTTGGGACCATATGGCACACCCTACCTTGCCTTGTGAGCAAATCCTGTCATCCCAACCTTCAGAGTCAGAGAAAAGGAAAGAAAACACAATTCAGTGTGGAGCACTTATCAAGGTCAGCTTCCTGGAGGAGGTGAGTTTTTTACCTAGTTTCCCACTTTCACAGATCTTTTCAGCAGGAGTAGGGGAAGGCATATCTAGTTGGAGAATTTGCTTTTTGTTCAGGCATGGTGGCTCACGGCCTGTAATTTCAGCACTTTGGGAGTTTGAGGCAAGAAAATTGCTTGAGGCCAGGAGTTGAAGACTAGCCCAGGGCAACACAGCAAGATCCTGTATCTACAAAAAATGTTTTAAAAAGTAGCCTGACATGTTGTTGCCACCTGTAGACCCAGCTACTTGGGAGGCTGAGGTGGGAGAATTACTTGATCTCAGGAGTTCGAGGCTACAGTGAGCCATAATTGTGCCACTGCACTCTAGCCTGGGTAATGGAGCAAGAACTTGTCTCTCTCTTTTCTTTTTTCAAGACAAGTCTCTCTCTGTCACCCAGGCTGGAGTACAGTGGCACAGTTACAGCTCACTGCCACCTCAACTTCCTGGGTTCAAGGAAATCCTCTCACCTCAGCCTCCAGAGTAGGTGGGACTACTGGCATGCACCGACGCACTCACGCTTGGCTATTTTTTTTTTTGGAGAGATGGGGATCTTGCTATGTTGCTCAGACTCTTGTCTCTTAAAAAAAAGAAAAGGAAATGGCTCTGCAGTGGTTTGGAGGTGAGACTGAGGCACACAGAGTCAAATCCTCTTGCCACAACTGTGAACCTGAAAGGCCATCCTGTTGTTATAAGTACAATTTTGACGCTGCAAAAGAAATAGCACTTGAAGAAGATAAGTCCTCTCAGCCGGGCAGTTTACTGCTAGTTTATCCTTATGAAGGATGCAGCCGTAAGGATGAACAACGGCGGTCCCATGCTTGGACAAGTGGGGAAAAGGTTCTTATGCCAGGCGGAGGGTCATCCCTACTTGCTGTGTTGTCCCCTATTGGCCAGGGTTAGACCACACAAGCTAGACTAATCTCGATTGGTCCGAGCTGGAGTGGCAGGGTGGCTGTTTTGGCGGGAAGGTCGGTTCCGGGCAGGTCAGAGCAGGTGTTCAGGGGTGATCAGGTGACTGGGATGAGTCAGGATGGAGCCGGGGGAGGAGGAGCAGATGTGAACTGCTGATTGGAACAGGTGGAGAAAATTCTTTACTGGAATTACAAGGAAGTGAAACTTTAAAATAGAGAATTAAAGAATAAGAGAGCTGAACATACTGACATACTGATTCTTTGAAGCGAAACTTGGGGTTCACTAAAACACTGCCCAGGGTTCAAATCCCCTCTGTAGCAGGCATGTGTTTAGCCCTTTGAGCCAAGACTGTGTGCTGGAATGCAACTGGTGGAGACAAGGGGTGGATATCCCCTGACCACCCAGCCCCTGTAGACCCCAGCTGGCCCCTCCATGTCAGACAGCACATCAGGCCATCTTCCTGGAGGCTCCAGGTCCTTCCAGAGTCCTCACATCCACCCAGCCCTGACCCAGGCTCCTCCCGCTGCCTTCTGCTGAAGGCGTTCATTCATTCTTCACCACCTGATTATCAGCCACGATGCTTCTGGCTGCAAGTAACAGAAAAGCCACTCAAAGTGGCTTAACCAACAGGAGCTTTTTATTACTTCTGTTTATTTAACACCAGCCTCACGTATTTCTGAGGGTTTTGCAGAGAACTCACTTTTATTCTCATAGCAACCTATGAGGTAGGCGCTGCTGTTATGCATCTCACAGATGAAGACATTGAAGTGGCTGGTTTAAGGTCACAGTCTTGCTTAACAAGCTCTCGGGAGGTTGAATACATCCAGGGCAGGTCCAGAAGTTTAGTACATTATCTTGGGCCCAGTTTTTGCTCCTCACTCCACTCTGCTATTCTCAGCCTGTCAGCCATGTTTTTCCTAATGGTTGCAAAGTGGCTGCCACATCACACGCTCACACCATAATATCCAAAAGCAGGAAGGGAGGGCTCATCTCCCAGCATATAGCTCTCTTTTTACCAGGAAGTAAAATCTTCCCGGTAAACTCCTTCTAGCTGACATCTTTTTATGGATTATTGGCTGAAATTGGTCACAAGCATACATTTAAGCCAATCACTGGCAAAAGGGAACAATGGGCTTCCACAGTCAGCTTTGACATCATGTGTGGCCTCCCTTCCCTGAGCCTCCCCACCAGAAGAAGGGATCTTGTCTGCTGGGTGGGCGACCAGCAGTGGCTATCACAAACCAGCTTCCCAAAGGGCCAAACCCCTCTGTTTCACAACATTTTGAATCAGTCAGGGGACCTCAAACAAATGTTTAGCAGAGTCAAAAATGGCTTATCCACCTGCATGGGCAACTAATGGTATATTTGGGAGAAATTTAATTAGAGCAACTTGGCTGTAGCACAGGCCTGGCTCCAGAGCCAGGTTCTGAGTCCCCTCCAAGCTGCCGAACTGCCACTGTTCCTCATGACTCAGCCCACAGTCCCTCCCAGCCCCTCGCTTCCTCCTGCCTGGCCCACCACGGCATGTATGTACCTCGGGTGTTCGCCTCCTGAATCCTGGTAAGTGGGTTATATGTCTCTCTCCTCTGCCATCTTCCTCAGTGGGGTCCTTAGATGAAGGAATGTGTCTCATTGATCCTAGCGTCCATGAAACCTGCTGTGGGCACACAGAATAACAGCAATGGCTGAGAGGGCTTATAGTTATTGACTCTTTGGATCTTCCTAAGGACCTGAGGGTGTGTGGCAGAGGCTGCTCTCGGTCACCGATGTCCTCTCCCACCCTCTACCTGGGCACACCACTGGGCCATGTCTCCTGGCTTCCCTTGCAGCTAGGTGTACCTGTGTAACACCCTTGTCACCAAAGGAAGCTGAGTGGCAGGGATGTGAGCACAGCTGGCCAGGCCTTCAGAAAAGCGTCCGATGTGGCTCCAGCAGGGCCCTAGCCATGGGGACCACGGGGACCACAGGGACAACAATGGGAGGGTCCCTGGGGAAGGTGGAGCAACAAGACAGAAAGAGCCTGGGCCCTTCTGTCACTGCTGGGTGGGGAGCTGCCTGCTGGTGTAGGCTGCCCTGTGCCAAAACGGTAGTGGGAAAGACACTGCAGCTGGGCTCGAGCCAATGCAGTCCATGTGCCATGGGCCTGAGATGCAGCTCAGCCCACCCTGGCTGGTGCAGGTGGAGGCTGCGATCATTTCCCACAGGATTGTCCCCCAAAGCAAGGAGTGGTGGGGGTTGAGTAACTTGCCCACGGTCACACAGCCAGTAAGTGGCTATGCCAGGTGACCCAGGCAGTGTGGCTGTGGCGATCTGTACCCTCTGCAGGCTCTGATAGAGGCAGAAGCAAAGAGGTGGGCAGTCAGGACCTATGGGTTGTGTATGAGGTAGGGAGGGGACTCGGAGAAGAGCGAGTTCAGAAATTGAAGCTGAAGTCAAACCTGTGCTCGGAAAACACCCACAGGAAGGAGCAGGAAGGAGAAATGAGGTCTGAGGAGGAGGTGCTGTAGTCGGTGAGGGCCAGGGAGGCCAAGGGAGGGGAGAGAGGTGTCTGGAGTCAGCTGTTCCAAGAGGCTGGGCCCTGTGGAGCCTAGAGGGTCCCTGGGTGTGGCCGCCTGAGTCGGGGTCTGTACAGGTGTGAACGTCACTTAGAGAACCCATGCCCATAGGACTCAGGGACCCTGGGTGGGCATCTGGCTGGGAGGTGTTAAGTGGCCTGCCAAAAATCCTGGTGTGTTTTTTCCTTTTAACTCCAGAAGATGCTTTGTGTGGTAAACGTCAGCTCCAGAATCACATCTGGAGCCTGGGAAACCCAGGGCAGCCCCGCTAGTCCCCCAGCTCGCCCTGGCGTCATTGTGCTATTATTTTAAGTATCGTGCTCACCAGGAAATACTGCCAGCATGTAAAAGACTGTGTTAATTAATTAACCAGGCACTTCATTGAGAGTCAATGGTGTAATTGTTGTTCGTGGTGGATAAATACTAATTGAATATTAAGAACATATTTGTGCAGAAGGAGCTGCTTCGGGAGCGAGCTGTGCCCTTTGGCAGCCAGATGTTTGGACTTGTTATGGAGGCTGAGTCATCATCGGGGGTTCCTGGCATTTGGGCTCCGCTATTCGGTGTCTGAGAAGGAAGGCAGGCTGCTCGCACAAGGACTGCCTGGGCGGTGAAAGGCAAGGAATCTCTGCAGACAGACCCAGACTGGAGTTAGGGGCTGTATTAAGCAGATGACAAGTATGTGTTAAGCTTTGGCTTAGGCATTCCAGGTGCGATTTAAAAACCTTCATACCGCTGGCTTCATCCTGGCCAGGGAGGCAGGCAGGGTGGGGGTGTTGACTCCATCTTACAGGTGGGGAAGTGGAGGCTCCGTGAGTGAGGCCCGTGACTTGCTCAGGATCACAGAGACAGCCTCCCTGCTCCTGCTGTGACAAGGGGTGACACTGGTACATCTAGCTGCAAGGGAGGCCAGGAGATGTGGCCGAGTGGTGTGCCCAGGGAGAGGGTGGGAGAGGACATCTATGGCCGAGAGCGGCCTCTGCTATACACCCTCAGGTTCTTAGGAAGGTCCAGTGAGTAAACAAATGGAAACCCCAGCGTCTGGCACCGGGTAAAGCCCTCTAAGCCACTGATGTTATTCTGTGTGCCCACCCCGGGTTCCATGGACACCCAGGCAGGCAGCTCAGGCTTGGGCCCCCAGACCTCAGGTCAGCCACGGGAGGTGATCCTCTCCCCCTGGTTCTCTGGAGTCCCTGTGTCCCAGGCCTGACTGGTGCCCAGGAGTCAGAGCCTTCCCAGGGTTTCTAGCTCTCACGATGGCCCCGCCCTGTCAAGGCAGTCTGAGGCTGCGTAGTTAGGAATGCAGGCTCTGCAGTCAGAATTCTTAGATGAAGAGCTCAGCACAACCTCCTACGTGCTGAGAAATCTTGAGCAAATTACTTAAACTCTCTGTTTAAGTAATCTGCCTCGGTTTCTACATTAAAATGGAGATAATGAGACGGCTCACAAGCAGGACAGTGGATGGCTCCCAATATGTGGAAAGAACACAGGCTGTCCTCTGGGCCAGGTGCCCTTGTGCAGTGAACAACCTGACTGACTGTACATGGCAGCCCTGTCTAGAGGGTTGTAATGAGAGGAAACAAAACATAACACAGTAAACACCCAAGGCACGTTAATCATCTTCCACAGTTTTCTGATCCCACTTCCCTCAGGAGGGGGCACGACTTTGCTACCACCCACCAGCTGCCAGCCCTTTTAGAAGGGCCGATAAGACACGTAGACCAGGAACAAGAGAGGAGATGGCTCCTGTCACAGCAGCAATGGCAGTGGAATCTGCAGAGCCTGCCAACAAAGTGTCTGCCGAAAGCCCCGGCCCTGGAGCCATCAGAGTGGCTGAAGTCAGACCTTGCCACTGCCCCCTCCCCTCCAGCCTCTTAGTCATTAGGTCCTGCCAGGAACTAGCCCACAACTGTGTTCCACTCTTAAGTTGGGCCTCCCCAGAGGCAGGCCTTGAGACAAGGATTCAAATCCAACTGGATTCCAGTTTAATTGGTGGATGTGGGGAAGGAGACAAGAGGGAAGGCAGCTGCCAGGGCAAGTGGAGCACGATGCGGCTGGGAACGCTGGGAGGCGGCCAGAACCTGCCCCACGCTTACCGCACCCAGGGCTTCCCAGCTCCCAGCTGCTGAGGCTGCCGCGTGGGGGGGCAGTGCAGACTCCCGACATGGCACTCTGTGAGTCGGAGCGCCTGGAAGGCGAGCAGCAGGGCACAGAGTGGAAGAACGGTGGAGGAGACACGGGCAGCACTGATGGGGTCTGCTCCACCACAAAGCACCTTCCCGTTCTTGGCTCACGGACGAGGGGCTCTTCCGGCAGGGAAACTGGAAGTGGAGGTGGGGCCTGAGTCATCAGGCCGGACCTTGCCAGGTGCCCGGGGCCATTATCTGATGTCCTGTGGTTGTTATGAGTTCCGTCTGAGGGGAGGGAGGTTGGTTCTCTCCCACCGTCGCAGAGCTTGCAAGCACAGAGGCTGTGGACCAGGGCTGTGCTCTTAGCCATTGTTCTGCAAGGGCCACGCTATTGAAAACCCACCTGGCTCTAAAGGGTCTACAGGGAGCAGCCTCTGTCTCCCGCCTGCCCTGCAGCCCTCTAGTTCCTTCCTCTGCAGACACCAGAACCACCTCCGGGGTGAGGGGCACCACGTGGGCCCTCCTAGCTTAACTCAGCCCAGCAGCTTGGGGATGGAGGCTCTGGTCTCAGGTCGCTGCCCCGTGCCTTTCTCCCGTTGCAAGGCACTCCCGAGTCTGCTGTGCAGCCGGGCAACCTGGTCTAACCTCGCCCTGCCTGGTATTCATCAGGAGCTGGTCAAACCCCCAGCAGCTTCCCTCACAGATCCCCACAGGGGCATCACCAGCTGGCCAAGTCCCCTCCATGCAGGGAGGGAAGAGGGATGGAAATGGAGGCGGCTGCAGGGGCTCCAGGCTGAGGAGGGAGGCAGAGCCCTTGAGGATGTCCTGTCTGCTGGGCCACCTGGTCCTCAGGGAGCTTCCCTGCGCTCAGTGCCAGCTGGGAGCAGCTCTGTGTTCTCCACCTTCCTGACAAGGTTGCTGAGGGGGAACAAGTGCACACCCATCCTGAGGAATACCAGACGGATGCCAGGAACCTGAGGTGGGGTGTGAGGGAGAGCTCTGTGCCCTCCTCCTGCAGGGGATGAGCTAGGTCTGGGCATCGGCCAGGCTGAGGAGTGTCCAGGTGGCCAGAGCCAGGAGCCATTGTGTCTCTCCAGAACCCTCTCTTGCTCCTATCACGGCCCATCTCACAGAGTGGGGAATGGAATGAGGCTCCCAACTCCCCTTGGGATGGCTCCGCATAGCTCAGACAGCCCCTGTGCTGCCTATGGATGACGTCCAGGAAGGGTCTTTTCCTAGGTGCCTCGTGGGGGGCTCAAGCCCAGGTCTGCATAGCCTGGGGGGGTGGGCCTCTGCGTGTCCCACGGCAAGAAGACAAATGGGAGAGGCTAGAACTGCCTGGGGGTATTGAGCCCTTAGGCATGTCAGGGTACCCCCTCACCCCAAAACGTCAGCCTGCATCCCAGGCCCCCACAGGTACCAGCAACGCTCTCCTGGGAAGTGGATGACATCAGAAGTGCCCCAGGAAGCCACCACCCCCAGGGCGACAGACGGAACTATTTATATGGAGGAAGCAGGCCTGTCACCTCCAGCTCCAAGTTGCCTCCTGCCTCCCCGCTCTCTCTCTGCTGCTGCTGCCTATATTAGGAGCTTGGCAGATGGAAGGAGCCAGGACCTTCCCCCACGCCCCAGGCTCCCTGCACATGCCAGTGCCACCCTGAGCTAGCAGGGGCCTGGCCCACCCTTTCTGGGCTGCCTGTACCTGCCTCCGACCCAGTAGGTAAGGACCCAGAGCTGGCTGACTCTAGGGGACAAGCCAGAGGGATCCACAGAGGAAGGGGGCAGAGAGGGTGGGATGAGGGCTGGAAGACAGGGAGGAAGGAAGGAGCGGAGGAAACAGCGTGGAAACCCCAGGAGACCAATAAGCAAGGAGGGGAGGCAGGTCTGAGAGAGAGGAGTGGGGCAGAAGGAAGAACCGGGGGTCTGGGGGGTCCCCAGCAATGTGTGTGCAAATTAGGAAAAGGCGCCCTCTGCAGGCTGATGAATTAGAAGCACGAATAAGTCAGTGGTGCCTCTGTGTGAGGAAAGGCGCCCTTTTTCCCGGAGGACTTGGCCTCATGCCCAGTCATGGAGCCTGGGGAGCAGGGCATGGGTCTGCCTGTCGCCCCTGCTTCTTGTCATGACCTGCACTGCTGTGCCTGGTAGCCTTGCAGCCCTGCAGCCCTGCTCCTGAGGCCCCAGCAGGACGAGTGGCTGAGGAAGACAAGCCTGCCTCGGGGCCTGATCTCCGGGCTGGGGGCCACTGTAGGTCGACCCCAGTGCTCTGCCAGGTTCTGACTCACCAAGAGACAGCTGGTTTAATGATGCTGGCAATCAGACCCCAGGCTCACTAAGAAAGTGCACAGCGTGCTGACCCAGCCAGGCAGAGAGACACCTGTGAAGCTCTAGCCTGGTCCCCCACTGGGTGACAGTCCAGACCTACGGGCCAAATCGCCTGCCTCGGTGGCCGCTGCTGATGTCTCCCAGCAGCCCTGGAGGGAGGATAAGCACCTGGCTCAGCATCCCAAGCCTGCCTGGGGCCCACCCTCCATCCCCCATGTCTTCCTACACCCAAGCAGATGGGGCCTCTCACTATTACGGGCTTGGGGTCCTTCAGCTTTGAGTCCTGGTTGTGTTCTGTGGCTTTGGCACTCAGTAGGTGTCAGAGACTGAAGTGCAATTTGCATTTTAATAAAGAAAGTTGTATTTCAGTCATTTGCATTTAAATAAGGTGCTGCTTCCTCCCTCCCTTCCTCCCCTGCTGGTGGTGGCACCTTTGGGAGAAGAAGAATCCCCAGGCCTTCCGTTCCCTGAACTCCTCCTCATCCAGCCAGCCTCAGTGGGGGGTGATGGGAGGGGAGGGAATCCACCCTCCTACTCCCAGGACTTGATCTCTCCCTGCAAAGCTCTTTTGCGCAGGCACACACACACACACACACACACACACACACACACACGAATGAACATTCACACACATCACATGCACATGCATACACAGTGCACACGTGCACACGCATGCATAAGCACATACAAACACACAGCCACCAAAGGCAACAAGATGTCCCACGTGCCTGGTGCTCCCTCAGCTACCCAGCCCCTGATCAACAGCCTCAAGGGTCTTAGGCCTGGGTGGTGACTTCCTTGGACCCACTGCATCCAATTTTTGCTGAGTTCTTTCTCTGGACTCCAGTGGGGGCCCCTATAAGTCAGGGGGCTGGGGAAGGCCACTGGTCCAGCATGAACCCTGTGTCCCTAGGAGCCCCCTCCTCACTCTGGCTGGGCTCTGGGGCTGCAGGTCTGCATACTGAAGCCACCTGAACTCAGGGCTGCCAGCTTCCTTCTTCCTCTACCAACATTTTTTTACCCAGTGCTCTGGCTTACTGGCGGTTCCCAATTGGCTGCCAGCTTGCTTTCCTGGCTAAAGCTCTGTCTTCTGAATCAGCACCGCCTTCATCTCCCTCCAACGTCTGCAGACTCTCCACACTTGTAGTTTCTTCAAGATAGCACTCTCTTTACTCTTCCCACCCCCACCCAAGATGGAGTCTATGCCTCCTCTTCATCCCTGCTCCCCTTCTCCGGGGTGGTGCTGTGCAGCACAGACCCACATCCTGCACTTCTGGTGCTGGTCCTTACACCTCAGCTTCTCCACCTCTACATGAGACAACCGTGCCTGCTCCTTGACTTGTGGGGATTAATCAATCACAGAGTCACGTGTTTGGCACTTGGTAGAAGCTCAATAAATGAAGGCTGGTGTCCCAGAAGAGCCCTACCCAGAATTCACACAGCCTGATTATACTGGGCATAATAATATGGCACCTATAGAACATCAGGACCACCACAAGTCAGTTTAAGCAGACTCTGTCATCTGGCTCAGTCCAGCAGGAAGTTACCACAGCCTGGCACACAGTGAGAAGACCTGGGTGCCGTGTCACCTCACCTCTCGGAGCGTGGATTCTCCATCTCTAAAATGGGTGGGATAACATCCACCTCACCTCCCTCAAAGGGCAGTGGAAGAGGCCGATGAGCTGCAGGGCACTGGGAAACTGCAAGGCAGGAGGGTAGGCCCCGGCCGGCTGGAGACCCCACCCCAGAACAACAGGCATTTCTTTCCAGCAGGCAGGAATCCCAGCTCCCCGGTCTCAGTGTACCTGTGCGGACAGCACCCCTGCCCTCACAGCCAAACCCAGGAAGCCAAGCTACTGTCCTATTTACAGATGAGGAAACAGACTTCAAAGTCATTCCACCACCTCAGTCCCCTGGCAGGACATGGAGAAGGCTGGAAGTTGTGCCCACATGAGAGGACATGGTGGTGACAAGCCCTGGGGCGTTTGGATGTAGGGCATTCCCGGCCAGGGCCCAGAGGCAGGAGCATGCCACCTGTGCAGGGACAAGGAGGCTGCCAAGAGGCTGTCTTCTGCCCTGGGGCACTGGTGAGGCTGTCCTCTGTTTTCTGAGTGGGCTGTGTTGGGCAAAAGGTTGGAAAGTAGGGTCTGGGGCAAGAGGCACCTAGGGGAATGGAGAGGCTAACCTAGGACTCCCCAAGCAGGAAGGGCAAGGAAGCTGGCCCCTGGGATGTGGTCTCCGGGAAGAAACAGGGAAACTCAGCCTGCAGGGCAGCAGGCCAGAACTTGGCCAGTGGAGCCGGGTTTGCCCCAGGCCCTCAGGTCTCTCCCTAACGATTTATCCCCAGATGACTTCCTGGCATTGCCATCCCCACAAATGCTTCTGGACTCATAAGGTAAGGGCTTGGAAACATCTCCTCCCATGTCCTCTGCCCCCTAGAAAAGAATGTCCATGCAGGTGTGTCCCCTAGCCCAGCCTGGACGGACAGTGCTTCCCTCCCCATTTGCATCCCCTTCCTGTGGTCCAGCCCTGGCCAGCCTGCTGAGAGTGAGTGGGGGCCCTGTTGCCTCAGCCTTCCCAGACATGTATAGAGGGAGAGCTATGTGGGGTCGCCTTTGCCTTCCTGGCTGAGGGGCCAGAGCCATGGACAAAAGCCCAGCACTTTGACTAAATCGGCAGTGTTTATTGCTCTCTCACTGTGTCCCAGGCCATGAACCAAGCATACCGTCTTACCTTCATAATAACCATATGAAGCAGGTGCGATTGTGTTCCCTCTTGCAGATGAGGAAACTGAGGCTCTGGGAGGTTACAGGAGGTACCCAAAGCTCCACATTGAGCATGTGATGGAGCCAGCTTCAATCCCAGGCCAGCTGGACACAGGCTCTGCCCTCACTGCTGAGCCGAGTGAGTTCTGAGCGGCTCCCTCCCGCTCCTTCCCCTGCCCTTCCTCCCACTGCCTGTGATTGAGCTCCCCATTTGTGTCTGGCCCTCTCTGCACAGAGTATACATTGTAGAACAGGGAGCCCTTCCTGCTGCTGTGCCATGGGCTCTTCCCCTCCGGAGTCTGTGGAAGCCTATGGACCCCTTCTCAGAGTAATATTTTTAAGTCCACAAAATAAAATAGCTAAGATTCAAAGGAAAACAATTATGTTAAAATGAAGCTATCAAAATATTAGGAAAAAATTGCACTGGAGCAATATATGTGCCTCTTTATTAACACACTGAGATTGAGATTGAGCAGTGGGGCTGTCTCAAACCACATCCTCTCAAAGTAAGCTTGAGCACGAGTGAGACTTCAGGTGTTCTGCTGCAATTATAATGTCACTGAAACCATCTGCACTTCCTATGGGTGACGAAGTCCCAGACTCTGGGACCACCTCTGTGGTTTGCTGCTAACGCACACAATGGAAACAGGTGCGACATTCAAATAAAGAGGAGTGAAAATAGAGATGTGATTCTTCCCCGTCCACATTCCCAGGCTCCCCGAATTCTACCCAGGGATCTGTATGGGATCCACAGACCCCAGCCACTACCACTACTCCCGGGGATGTAGATGTGGGGAAGACAGAGAAAGAGGAGGGCAGGGAAGGGGCCAGTCTCTGAGCAGGAAGAGAGGGAGGAGGAACCAGTGGAGGGAGGTGAGGAGGCCAGCGTGGCAGGCATGTGTGAAAGGGGAGAGCATGGTGGCTGGGAGTTTACAGAGTGTCTGGCCACGCTAAAATTGTGGATTCATGCTAGGAATGACAGGCTTGGGACAGTGGAGACCAGAGCAGGATGTGGTGTGATTGATGGCTTTGGAGGGTCCCTATCTAGAGGACAGTCTGTGGGGCAGAGTTAGAGGTAGGGGACCAGTGAGGGGTGATTGGTGTCCTTCAGGCCCCAGCCAGGATGGCAGCAGCATGGCAAAGTGGTCAGGTTTGGGCATTTTTAAAAAATGGCTTTATTGAGATATAATTCACATAGCCTACAATTCACCACTTATAAGTGTATAATCCAATGGTTTTTAGTATGTTTGCAGAGTGCAAGCATCACCACATTCAACTTTAGCGCATTTTCATCTTTCAAGAAACCCCATCACCGTCAGCAGTCATTACCAATTTCTACTCTCACTCTGGCCCTGAACCCTTTCCCCTCCCTCACACCCCCGGCCCCAGGCAATCACTGATCACTGAATACTTTCTGTCTTTGTACGTTTGTCTATTCTGGACCGCTCCACACCATCCCCCCATTTTTTTAGATGGAGTCTCGCTCTGTTGCCATGCTGGAGTTCAGTGGTGTGATCTTGGCTCACTGCAACCACTGCCTCCCAGGTTCAAGCGATTCTCCTGCCTCAGCCTCCCGAGTAGCTGGGACTACAGGTGAGCACCACCACACCCAGCTAATTTTTATATTTTCAGTAGAGACGGGGTTTCGACATATTGGCCAGGATGGTCTCGATCTCTTGACCTCATGATCTACCCGCCTCAGCCTCTCCAAGTGCTAGGATTACAGGCATGAGCCACTGAGTCAGGTCTTCTCCCCTCTTATCTAACTGTAATTATAGATCCTTTGACCAACCTCTCCCATCCTCTCTCTCCGAAGTCACCCCAGCCTCTGATAACCAGTCTCCACTCTCTAATTCTATGAGAATGACTTTTTAGCTTCTACTCATGAGTGAGAATCACGTGTCTTTCTGTGCCTGTTTATGCCACTTAACATAGTGTTGTCCAGGTTCATCCATGTTGTTCCAACGACAAGATTGCCTTATTTTTTATGGCTGAATAGTACTCCACAGGGTATATGTACCAATTTTTGGTATCCATTCATCTGTCAAAGGGCATTAGGTTGATTCCATGTCTTGGCTATTGTGAATAGTACTGCAAAAAGTACTCAAGTGCAGATATCTTTTCAGCAGACTGATTTTATTTCCTCTGGATGTGTTCCCAGTAGTGAGATTGCTGCATCATATGGTAGTTCTATTTTTAATATTTTGAGGAACCTCCATACTGCTTTCCATAATGGCTGCGCTGATTTACATTTCCACCAACAGCGTGCTAGGGTTTCCTTTTCTCCACATCCTTGCCAACACTTGTTATCTCTTGTCTTTTTGATCATAGCCATTCTGACAGGAGTAAGGCGATAGATACCTCACTGTGGTTTTGATGGGCAAAAGACCTGAATAGATAGTTCTTAAAAGGAAACATCCAAATGACCAACAGGTATATGAAATAATGCTCAGCATCACTAATCGTGGGGAAAACGTAAATCAAAACCACAGTGAGACACATTTTACAGCTAGAGCCAGAAGGGTTTCTGATGGGTTCAAGGTGCAGGGTGAGAAAAGGAGAGGCATGTGCCCTGCCCCAACCCTGGACAAGCAGCTGGCTCTGGGCAGCTGGTCCCTACTGTGACAATGAGCTCTGGTTCCACTACCTGTCCCCAGCCTAAGAGGCGCCCTGTGGAAGCTCAGGCAGGAGGAGGAATGTGGAGCACCCAACAGGTAGCAGACTGCAAGCTAACCGCTTGACTTGTCAAGGCCGCTGCACTCCTTCACATCCATCATTATGGTCTTTTACACCAAGGCTTCCAGGAAACCTTTCTGCTGCCTCTGACACAGTATTGGCTTTGCTAAATGACTTTCTCTGTCAAAACTCAGGAATTCCCTTGAGAGATTTCTTATCTGCTCTGTGGACATGGGATGTTCTCTAGTTACTCTCACTTCCCAGGTGACTCGAGAATGTCCTTGGCAACCCCAAACACCCACAGCACTTCTCCTCCAGGAACATTTCCAAAGACAGCTCAAGACCAGGAGGCTTGTCTTAAACTGAAACATAAGGTGCCTTTAGTAGATTCTCAAAAAATGTTTGTTGATTGAATGAATGAGGTGAATAGGGGTGAGGAGAGAAAGACAATTTCTGAGGTCCCTCTGAGTCCCTTCTCTTTTATTTCCTTTGAAGTTCCAGAATATCAGACATATCCATGGTCCCATATAAGAGCAGGGAACTGTCCCAGGTCCAGGTGCTGAGGCTCAGCACCATTTTGGGTGGTCATCCTTGTCCTGCCTTCAACACAAGTGGGTCATGGGGCAGCCAGTGGTCCCCCCTCGTCTGTCTCTCCGCTTGTCCACACCTGCCCCTCAGCCTGGCTCTCTGTCCCTTATGGGCCATGCTTTGTGGCCACTTGGTTCTCTGGTGGAACAGGGTCTGGCACCTCCCTTTTTTGAGCTGGATGGAGGGACTTTCAGCTCCCAGTCCCCCCTCCCTTGAGGAGTCATAGCCAGGGAAGTTCCCTTTAGAATGCCCAAGACATCCCAGAGTGCTAAGGCCTAGATCAGAGATTGGCAAACTCTGGCCCATGGGTCAAATCGGGGCCACCACCTATTTTTGTATGGTCTGAGAGCTAAGAATGGGTTTACATCTTTAAATGGGTGAAAAATGAATCAAAATAAGAATAATATTTAGTGACGTGAAATTCTATGAATTTCAAATTTCAGCATCCATAAATAAAGTTTCCTTGGGACACAGCCGCACATTCGTTACGTATCGTCTCTGGCTGCGTTCACACCACATGGGCGGATTAGGTGGCTGTGATGCAGGTGGTGCAGTTGGCAGAGCTCAGGCACGTGCCATCCGGCCCTTTGCAGCACAAGCTGGAGGGCTCCTGGCCCAGATCACGTGCGGCCCGTGGCACCTGCACTGCCTGCTCCTGAGAGAGTGACTTGGGTTGTGGAAGTGACTTCCCTAAGCCTTGGAGGCGTGAGTGTTTTCCAGCCTCTCATCCTGCCTCCTGCTGAGGGTTTAAGGATTTCACGAGATTGGCTTTTGCCATGTGTGGCACCAGTGGCGTAGAGCGGTGCCTTTTGGAAGCTCACACTGCAACCCCTGAGACTTGTCCTTAACAGGCAACGCTGCCCCCAGGCAGGTGGGCACCTTTCCTGTACGAGAAGTCAAGTTACAGGGACCATGGCAGGTGGGGAGGGCAGCCTGGCAAGGGAAACAGAGTCACCTGGCTCATCCTAAGAGGCCAGTGACCGGAGACAGCCCCTTACCTTGGGTGGGTGAGGAGACCCATCAGGGTGGGCCACAGCCTGGCCCAAGGAGCATGGAACATGTGGTCCAAGGAGCATGGAACATGTGGTCCAAGGAGCACTGGCTTTAGTGGGCCCTGGGGCCTTGAGCAAGTTCCTGCCCTGCCCTGTGTGTGTCCTCACTGGCATCAGCAGGGGTGGGCTTGCAGCCCTGCTCCCCCAGTCTGAGACCAAGCGGCCCTCACCAGCACTCTCCTCCCTGGCATCTTCCTACCCACTCTCAAGCTTCTATCAGCCCCAACCACCCGCCCTGGGCAGGGCCATCTGTGTGTGGCTGGGCTCAGGGGCCCAGGAACTGCCTGAGCTAACCCAGGCAGGGAGATGAATCCCTCCCTCTCACCTCCCACTGTGGCTTTATTAATTGTTTATATTGGAGTCTGTTAATTGGCAATAAGCAGCGTGCTGAAGTGTCTTTTAATCACCCCCTCTCAGGGCCCTGAGGCTGTGAAGGATTGGTGGATTCAATAAAGTGAGAAGGAATTAGCACCCCCCATCCTCTTCATTATCACAGTTAGATAAACTGCCAACACCTGTCATGCAAATGAGCAGGAAAGAAAACCCAGCCCCTCCTCCTGGCCCAGCCAGGAACTTCTCTGGGTGAGGTAAGATGAAGGCCAGGCTATGACAGGCATTGCAGGCATGCGCGCGCGCGCGCACACACACGTAAATGGACCCACAGACTCACCTCCTGTGCTGTCCTGAGCACACTCACTCACTCAACAGGCATTTCTTGAGCACCCACTATATGCCTGGTGCTGTGCTCCCTGGGGATATGACAATGATCCTCGAGGAAGCTGCAGTTCATCAGGAGACCCAGACCCTAGAGGATAATGAGAGAGCAGCCTACAGTGTGCTGTGGGGTCAGAGGGGCAAGGACTCTCTTCAGGATGCAGGGAGCGGAATGAGAGGAGGATCTGTTGTTTATGCAACCTACACCCCTGAGAAGAGCCCTAACACACTGCACAGTGCCCATTCCATCTGCTAAGGCGCCCGAAGCTCCCTGGCTCTGTCTGTAGGTGAAGCGCCAACCCCACGAGGCTCTGACACACCCACACTCTGGCAGTTACCAGAGGAGCTATTGCTGGGCTTGGAGTCAGGGCAGCCAGGAGAGCTTGCAACAGGCAGGGTTGGAGCTTCTGGTGCAGCCTGAGGTGCAGGGGCTGTGGTGGGAAGTGCTGGCCCGCCGGGTGCTGGTATGAGGGCCTGGCCCCCGGGTCCTGAACAAGAGCCAGTGGCTTCCCATCACTAGTGCCTGTCTTCACTGAAGTCCCTGCCACAGCCGAGTGGGCTCTGCCTCTCCACCCACTCTCCACTGTCCCCAGTGATCCCATCACCTCCTGTAACACACACCTGAGCGCCAGCCTTGCTGGGCCTTTGCCACCCCACCCCCAGCTGCTCCTGTGCTGCTTCCACTGGCCCAGATGCCTCCCATTCATTCTGCAAGGCCTGAGTTGGTTTTTCTTTGTGTGGAGGGGTCAGTAAAGACGGTGGGTGGGACAGCAGTGGATACAGGATGGAGCTGTTCCCTGTTCAGCCTTAGATTGGGTTTGGACTTGATGAGAGGTTAGGGCCAGGCGGTGAAGGGAGTGTAAGAAGCTGAAGGACTCTGAGAAGATGAGGGCTTTCAGGTACCCACAGGAGGGTTCACCTGTCGATGAGACTATATATTTGTATCAAGAAACTGCTATGGCCGCCGAGCTCCTTCTGCATCGGAACAGACCTGCCTTGTCCTCCTGGTGGTGAGCTTCCTGGGGGCAGGGACTGAGCTTTGTTTATTCCCATGTCCAGGGCCAAAGTCCTGGGCCAGGGTCTAGCACTGAAGAGGAGCTGACAGAGCAGGTTCCACAGCTCGCCCATGTCACCTGGTGCCCAGGCAGGTTGGGAACCAACACTTCCCCCAAATGAGACTGCCTGCCTCCTGGAGGCCACCATCTCCCTCCTCAGCTCCAGCTCCTCTGGTGACCTCCTGTGGCCCCAGCAAAGTGGGAACATGACTGCACACTTGTGTGCTGGCTGAGGCAGGCACGTGGGTAGGACAGAGGCGAGGCTGAGGGACATCTCCCTGGGAGACATCTGCTCGGAGAGCATCGTGGACCAGCTGGCTGGGCGCCCTGCCCGTCCCGGCTCACATGTACTGAGAACCTCCAATAAATGAGGGGCCAGACCTGAGGCTTCCTGCCTTTAGACTCCAGTTTCCTCGTCTGTCAAACTGGGATTCTAAATCTGACCTCGTAGCCTCCCACCTGGAGAACCCCCAGTGGCCTCCACTGGAAGCTGCTCATCCTCTGTAGGGATGCAAGACCCTGGGGGCCTGGCCCTGCTCCCTGTCTTCCTGCACCAGGCCCCCCACACTCCAGCCATGGGAATTCCTTGCTGTTCCCTGAACGAGCTGCTCTCCCACACTCATCGTTGCCCTTCCCTCATCTAGAACACTCTCTCTCTTCCGGCAAATCCCGCTTGGCCTCCAGGACCCAGCTCTCCGACTTTCCTTTGCACCTTGCACACTCCAGCTCTCCCTGCCTCTCATTGTCCCCTCTACATGGAACATCTGAGGGGCCATGTCTCATTAGCTTCATGTCCCCAAGGCCTGTGTGGAGCAGGTGCACAGTACCTGTTTGCCAAGAAAATGAGTGATGTTCTCTGGGTCCCCTCCAGTTACACGATCCTGATGGTGTGGTCTGCATGTAGGTGTGAGGAGCAGGTGGGGAGGTGGGGAAGCTGTGTCCCCTAGGGCTGGCCTCAGGCTTTGGAACTCCAATACCCTCTTCTCAGAAAAGCCCCAGTGCCCCATTTTCCCCAGGGCCTTCTTATGGTGCCCCCATGGAGCTTGAGTTCAACAGGGTTAGGCTGGACTGGGAGTAGCAGAGGGCAAACTATCAATGAGTTAAACAAGATGAAAGCGGACTTCTCTCTCCTGTAAAAGTCCAAATAAAGTCTCCCAGGGTTGGCACCACAGCTCTGCCCTCGGCAGCCCTCAGCAAGCCAGGCTCTTTTTTCTTAGTGGCCCCATGCATGGCCTCCATCCCAGGCCTCACCTCAGGGCACAGCTCCCTGCTTTTGACGGGGGGATCTCCCTATTCTTCTGAATCCACGTGGATTGAGCGGGGCTGACCTCACTCCTGGCCTCAGCCTCACAGTTTATCAATGCCAGGATTTTGAAGAGGTGCCCTCTTTTTGTGGGAGTTTTCTAGCTAGTAGAGTGAGCACGTGGGGCTGCTAGGGGCCATCCCTGCCCCGTATGTGGAGCCAGCCCACAGAGGAGTTGGGACGGTCCTGTTTACAAGGCTTGAGCACCGGGACCCAGTCTCATCTGGAGATCCCAACTTTGTATTGACTTGAGTCAATACATCCACCCCCACCTTTTTATTTTTCTTTATTTAATTTGAGTATAGTTTCTATAAAATTTGATAAACACAAGAGCTTAAAATGTCACCCATCTGTGGATAATTGGATTTAAATAAAAGGAACTCTGAGATGGAGACACACTGAAACCCCAAGGGAATAAGCTAGTCAGAGGAGTGCGTGGAAACATGGAGAACAGGCCTGCCCCTCCAGCGAGCCCTGAGCGGTCGGCTCCATTCCCCTAGCTGGTTCCCCTGGCTCCTGGCCTCCTCTGTCTCTGCCCATATCTCCCTCTGGACCCTGCAGCTACATGCTGCGCTCAGCTGCTGGCTGGACGTGTCTGCTGGGAGAGCCCACACAGAGCCCACTGCCACATCCAAAACCAAACCGTTCTGCCCCACCCCTGCAACCCGCTGCCCCCTCCTCCCAGCCCAGCCCCCTCAGGGGCACCCCTTGCAGTCCTGCGTTCTTCACTTCCCGCCACCTTGAGCTGCTGTCATTCAGTGTGAGCGCGCTCACAGTCTCTCCCAACCTGCAGGCCTGCCCTCTCCCCGTCCACTCACAGCCCAGCTGCCAGGGCCTCATCCTAAATGCATGCTGGTTTGGGACGGACTCTCTCATCCCGAGGCAGGCAGGTGCTGTGATCTGGAGAAAATACTCAGAACGCCCAAATAGGGGGGTGGAGAACACGGGAAAAGCCTGGCACGTGGCCGCCTCTGAGCAGGAGAGGCCGCCAGTCTTGTCTCCTGCAGAGAGCGATGCCAATCCAGCTTCCATCTTGGGAACCCCCTGAGAGTAGAGGGTCCAGACAGCTCGTCCCACCCTGCCCGCTGTAGAATAGGTTGGACAGAGCCTCGTTGGGCCCCACTTACCTGTCCACCCTGGAGGCCCAACGTCAGGGGAAAGTCGGCCTCAAGGGCCCTGCTGAGAACAGCTCCTGCCTTCCCAAGGGGCCTCAGCAAACTCAGAGCCCTCAGTCACAAGCCTCAGGTGCAGGCAGAGGTAAAGCTCAGTAAGTCCAGGATGAGGACACCCATCCCTCATTCAAGGACTTCTACTGATTTCTAAAAACCTGACTCTAAATGAAAAGCCATTAAATGAAGAAATATTTTCATTGATTTTAGAGAAAAAATTACTGTGGTTTCTAACTAATGTCAAAGCATCTAATTTCTCACAGATAGAAAAATAGCAATTGAACATGGAAAACAAGTTTATGTAAGTAATAAATAGCAATATGAGATTAAGCACCATGGTTTGTAACTAAAATGTAAAGGGATGAGGGTTTCTCTTTCTCGGAAAGGAGTGGGAGGTGCCTGATGTCGGGATAGGAGGGAAGGGTTCGGTGTCTCAGGATCTGCTTCCAGGCAGCAGCTGTTGGGGGTCATGGTTATCTTGCATTGAGAAACAGAGTTAGAACAGAGAAGCATCACTGCAGGGCAAAATCAAGGCTTAACAGAGAGCACTTCCACCACACAGGTGGAAATGGCCATGCAGGCAGCAGCTTTCGGAGTCCTGAAAGTCGCTGCTCCCTCTCCCACTGGGTGACTGATAAAGCAAAGCAGTTTGGCCCATCCAACTTGGAACACAATTCGATGCCTTCCATGTGCTAATCTCTGCCTCGACACTGTAGAGCACACTAAACAAGTGGCAATGATGACTCTGTGTGGAAGTCATGCCAGCCTCCAGGTGAAGCGGCCTCACCGGGAGCAGTTTTACTTTGTATTTTTAAAAATGATGTGGGCCAATAAATCCTCTCTACTGTTTAAGGTGGTGTTTTCTGTTACCTGCAATTGAAATATGCACCTGCAGGTTCCTCACCCGCAGGCCCTGCATCCATCTGTGGTTTGCTGATTGCCCACTGAAGGTGCAGTGAGGCTTGGATGCTTGTGTCTGGACTGACCATGTGCAGCCTTTGTTTCCCTGCCATTATTTCCTACATAACATGTATAACAACAATTGCTTTAGGTATTATAAGTAATCTAGAGATGATTTAAAGTATATGGGAGGATGTGCATAGGTTATGTGCAAAAACTAGGCCATTTTATTTTTACTTTTTATTTTTTTGAGACCGAGTCTTGCTCTGTCACCCAGGCTGGAGTACAATGGCATGATCTTGGCTCACTGCAACCTTTGCCTCCTGGGTTCAAGTGATTCTCATGCCTCAGCCTCTTGAGTAGCTGGGGATTATAGGTGCCCACCACCACATCCAGCTAATTTTTGTATTTTTATTAGAGATATGGTTTCACCATGTTGGCCAGGCTGGTCTCGAACTCTTAACCTCATGTGATCCAACCAACTCGGCCTCCAAAAGTGCTGGGATTACAGGCATGAGCCACCGCACCCTGCTGTATGCCATTTTTTATCAGGAACATAGGTATCCTTGGAGTTTGGAATCCTCTGGTGTCTTGGAACCAATCCCCTGCGGGTTCCAAGAGATACATTTATTTAATTAGTGGGTTTGGGGATGAAAATTTTTTTATAATACAAAAGAAGGTGCGGGGGTGGGGGAATTGTCAGAAAAGTGGTATAACTTTTCGAAAGACAATAGGGTGAAAACTCCTCAACTGGGGAATCTGAAGGAGGGGCTGTGTTTTTCCAGGACTGGAGGACCTCCTTCCCAGCCCTATGAGGAGGAGGAACAGACATCCACCCTGGTGCCCACCAGACCTGGGTGTGGGTAAGTCAATCCTTACGGCCTTGTAGGGTTTTTGCCCTGGGAATCCAGGAGAAACAGAGCTGGGGGTGAGGTACTTGGGTTTCCCCTCTGCCCTGCACCGAGCAGCCCTGGCTGCTTCGTCTCCTCAACCCTAGCAGAGGCCCTCAAGAGGGGACATCCCATGAATGTGGTTGGACTCTGAGAGTTTATAAGATTCAAGCTGAGATATGGGACTGTGATGCTGTAATTTCATGGGGAGGGGCAAACCTGGAGCCAGGGAGAAAGGGCGCTGAGGGGAAGCCTGCGGTTCTGGGGGCCCTGCGTCCTGGCCCCCACTTTATGGCAATGAAGCTCCTCTTCCATACTTGGTCACGCTGTCTGCATAGGATTGGCTGCCCTCAGCCCGGGGGGCGGGGCCTGGGTATTTGCAGCCAATCAAGGAAGCTTCCCTGCCACAGGACTAGATTCGAGTTGGGCACATGACCCATTCAAGCCAATGAGACACAGGAAATTGGTACTGGGGCACTCGGGGAAAGGAGCCCCTTTGCTTTTCCGAGAGTTACCGGCAGAGTTGTGCTCACTGCTGCTGGACTGGAAGGAGGGAGCATGTGCCAGTAGCTCCACGACTGCTGACAGCCATCGGAGGGGCGGAGGGGGCAGTGTTAGGATAATGCTGATGCCATGGAAGACAGAAGAGAGAGAGGAGCAGGGTCTCCAGTGACACCACTGGGTTGCTGGAGCGAGCCTCACCTGGAGCAGTTTAACTTTGCATTTTTTTTTTCTAAATCATGAGAGCCAATACATCCTCTCTGTTTAAGTCAGTATTTTCTGTTACTTGCAATTGAAATATTCCTTCCTGACAATGCTGGTCTCTGCTCTGCTCCAGTATTGTCACACCTATGTGGATCATAAAGAAGAGGCAACAGGCAAGGTTACTGACGGCACAGGGCTGGTGGCCACACCCCACAGGATTCTGATCGATGACGGCATCTGATTCATGATGGACATCTCAGGCTATCGGCTGCTTCGTGACTCAGGGTCAGGCATTCAGTCTCCCCACAGCCCATGGTGGCACACATTTCCTCAAAGAAGAGTTACTTATTCAGAAGCTCCAGAGACTACACTGGGAATTTGGGACTGGAGGCTTGTTTCAGGTGAACTCCACACAGCATTGTGCCCTGCCCTGCACACTAAACACCACTAGCAAGGGCTGAGGACAAAGAGGCCTGGACCCCAGCTGAGACCCCCTGCAGAGCCTGCCTTTGCATGGGGCCCCACTCAAAGCTGGATGTTTTCAGATTGTTTAGAAACCCCTTTTACGTTGGTAAAAAGAATTGATCTGTGTTTTTGTTTTTTTTTTTTGAGACAGTCTCACTTTGTTTTCCAGGTTGAAGTGCAGTGGTGTGATCTTGGCTCACTGCAACTTCTGACTCCCTGGTTCAAGCGATTCTCTTGCCTCAGCTTCGGGAGTAGCTGGGACTACAGGTGCATGCCACCACGCCCAGCTAATTTTTTGTACTTTTAGTAGAGGCGGGGTTTCACCGTGCTAGACAGGATGGTCTTGATCTCCTGACCTTGTGATCCACCCGCCTTGGCCTCCCAAAGTGCTGGCATTACAGGCGTGAGCCACCACACCCGGACAAAAGAATTAATCTTAAGACTGCCTTAAAAATCCAAAGAAGTCATGAGGCATTGTGCCTCCTTTTAAGTTCTTCATTTGAAATGAACTCTCCAACATGTCTGAGACCACTGGACCTGCAGGAGCCTCTCTGAGGTGCCAGGGCCTGAATCACGGCCCAGTCTCTGTCACATGTGCATCTTACCAAGACATCGAGGAAACCTGTCGGACCCGATTAGTCTTGTGTGATCAATACAGAGCACGAGCCCATTGGCAGGATGATGCTCCTCAGGATGGGGAGCTGGTCCAGGCTGTGGGACGAGCTAGAAAGCCAGCGTTCCCCGAGGCAGAGCTGTACCATTCTGTTCCTCTCCCTGCCAGGGGCAAGCAAACCACTTCAAGTGTTTTCTGCTTGTCAGGAGGAGTACATTCTATTTTCCAGATCAGCAACTGAATGCCAAGCACAGGGCTGAATTAATTTGCTCTGCCAAGGAGCCCACATCTGGAACAGCAACTGCAAATAAAGTGGCCACCCAATTAAGTGTATAACATGCCACTGTCGTTTTCTAAACCTGGCTATTTTTCACACTGGCCAATCTGGGATAGCAGGGAGATGTGGTCAGTATTGTCCCAATTACATCTTTCTGGTGTCGGGTGGTGACACTCAGCCTCGCAGCCCCCTGGGGTTGCAGTGTTGCTTTTGGTTACTGTATTCATGGGTAGAAGGAACGCAAGTGACTTCCTCCTGGCCCTTCCTATCACTAAGTCTTCTGATCAGGAAGCTGATGCGGGTTTTCTCACCTATGAAGACCTCTATTTCCTTTCAGGAACTGGGGAAGTAACTGCTGGAGGGGACTGAAGTCCCACTGACCTACTGTAGGGAGGATTCAGGTGGGAACACAGTTATCCCTGAGTTCCCCAAGTGCCCATCTGCCATAGAGACCACAGTGTTACTGTCCCCAGGAATTAGAGCTGGCTCAGATAATCCTCTAATCACCTATTCCTCCTGTGATTATGTCTTAGTTCATTTGTGTTGCTATAAAGGAGTACCCGAGGCTGGGTAATTTATAAAGAAAAGAGATTTATTTGTCTCATGGTTCTACAGGCTGTAGAAGAAGCATGACGCCAGCATCTGCTCCTGGTGAGGGCTTCTGGAAGCTTCTGCTTATGACAGAAGGCAAAGGGGAGCTGGCTGCAGAGATCACATGTCAGGAAGCCAGAGAGACAGAAGGAAGGTGCCAGGCTCTTTCAATAATCAGTTCTCTTGGGAACTAATAGAGTAAGAATGCACTCATTACTGTGAACGTGGCGCCAAGACACTCATGAGGGGTCCACTCCCATGACCCAAGTACCTCTCACCAGGTCCTATTTCCAACATTGGGGATGAAATTTCAACATGAGATTTGGAGGGGACAAATATCCAAACCATATCAGCTCAGTAACCTAGGTAAAGGGCGGCAGCTGTCTTTGGAGGAAACTCACAGATTTATCATGTCCCATGTGTGCTGTTTTAACAGATCCTAGCTCAAAGGCCCTGTTGGCCCCTGCATTTGAGAAGCTCTGGGTCTGAACCAACCCTGGACTGGGAACTCCCTCTCAGTTACAGGTACTCAACAAGCTCTTCATTTACCAAACCTGGAGGATTTTGGTTATAGAATCAAGTAAGACCTCAGTGGGCTGCTTGCTCATTTCATCTCTTCACTGATCAAGGGATGGCTTGATCAATTACCCATACCCAGGGATCACTGCTTTCCCAGTGATTCCCTTAGCACCCACTCCCTGCCTCCTTTAGGGGATGGCCATGACCACTATTTTCACATAGTTACTTAATCTGGGCTAGGCCGCTAAAGCTCTTTCCACCCACTCTAAGATTAGAAATCCCATTTAACAGCAGCACTTCTGCTATAATTTCTATCGAGAATGGGTAGCTGAGCCCATTTTGCAGATTTGGGAAGGGTTGATATGCACTTTTATTGGTCCTGACCATGGTTCATGCATGGCCATGACAGTGTGCCTCTCACATCACCTTCTGCAGTCCCTGTAATTGACTGCTGGCCCCAGCAGCTGCACTCTGAGTCCTCCACTGTGTTTGTACCAGCACCACACTTTCCCAACCTGCACCAGGCCTGCCTGTGCCCCACAGGGATGACAGGCATGCCCAACCCTGTGAGATGCAGGGCTCCTCTTACAGGTGACTGTGGCTCAAGGACTTCCCATCAGCCTTGCTGAAACATTCTCAGAGCTGCCCAGCCACCTGAAACTCTCCTGACATGGCCTTCCTTCCTTCCCTTGGTCTTTCCCAGTGGTCAGGCCTGCAGTGCCATGAGGGCACTGCCTACCGCCTCTGCCTTTCTCCCTGTGTTCCTCTGCAGGAGTTTTCTAATCCCATCTTGGTGTCTGCATCCTGGAGGATCTAAGCTAACACATTTCATACTGTAAGTTGGATAAGAGGTTCATCGATGTTTGTTACATTATTCTTTAAACCTTTTGTAAATCTGAAACATGCTATTAATTTTTTTGATATTAAAAAGACAAGATTATTTTCATTTTTCACTGAGAGCATCCTTAAGGGAAGGAGGAAGGGAGAGGCTCCTGGAATTGATGTGAATTGAGAGATCAGTTCAGCATTCCTCTCTAGCTATTTTGATTTCTGTTCCTCTAATTATGCCAAGGATTTTCCGGTCCCTTTTTGCCAATTAGTGTGGATCATCATACTGTCCAGGTTTGCATTAGTGACTTCTGCAAAGTGTCAGAATTTCTACCAACTGCCAGAGAGAATACCCTGAATGCAAAATTTCTGGTGACTGCACCCATACCAAGAAATGCACTAAAACTGCACTTCTATCCCTCTCGCCTTGATAAATGCCCCCTCGAAATCCATTTCCACACATATTTCTCATACCTTAGGAATGTAAATTAGTGAGTTTCTGCAGTTCTTTCTGAGAATAACTCTTTCCCACCCTGATTCTGAATTTTATCATCTGGACCACGTTTAATCTGGGTCCTCAATATTTTGGGAGAAACAGTGAGGGGTGAGTCATGAGGGAGCCCGAGGGTGGTGAACTGAGGTACTTGGAGGCTTAGGGTGCTCTGAGTCCTTATAATCCTCCCAGATATCACTGTTCCAATAGGAAATTAATATTTCCTAGCCAATTCCCTCCATTTTGCAGAAGTGACCTGGTGAGGTTGTGAATTCACTGACACTGTAGTTCAGTAACTTCAGAATCAATATCCAAGTTCAGTCTTCAGCAATTTCAACTCTAAGGCTACATGCAATAAAAGATTATTTCAGCATGGTCATATAATGGCTCTGAATTTTATTCAGTGCCTCCAGGCAAGCATTTTGAGTTGAGCCTGTCATTTTCTTGCTTTAAATTATCCAGTATTGGGAACAAGCATCCAGCCTATGGTCCCAGCTCTCCTCATCCTTTATAAATTGGTCCATGGCAGCTGCTATAGTCTTTCGCTTTTGGTTGGCGTGTGGTCCCAGGTGACCAGAGGGTATAACATGATTAGTTGTTCACCACTCTGTACCATTGGCAGCCACTTTCCTATCCAGTAATATGAACCAGAGTCCTCCTGATTTTCCCCCATGGATTTATGAAAGCCAGTTCTAAGTAGCTCACATATCCCTAAGGGTTTTGCGTGAATCCCACTCCTGGCACTCATTTCTGAATCAGGGTTATTTGGTTGCAAGCACTAAAAGTCGACTCTGAAAAAGTTAAAGAAGAACAGGGGATTTGTTGAGGAGTTAGTGAAGCAGCTCACAGATTAGAAGGAGGAGCTAGACAACAGATCTCAGGACCGACAGGAACCAGGGCAGCTCTGGAGTCTTGAGTAGCATGTGCAGTCTCTTTAGGGCGCAGCCACCAGAGGCCTCCGTGCTTACCACCTTCCATCCTGTGTGTCTCCAGCAGAAATTCAGGTTCTGGAGGGAGGTTCTGATTGGGTTAGACTGGGCCATGGACCTGACCCTACTATGAGAAGGACATAGGCCCAGAGATTCGCCACCTCATGGAACCAACACAGGGCCAGGGAAACTGTGGTTCCCCCCAAGGAAAAGATGGTGACCAGACAAAACGAGTGTGTGAATTCCATACACTATTTCTTTTCAACGGTGAGCCTTTCCACATTCTCTTTCCTCTACCTGGACAGCTCTGTTCCCCTGCAGGCCTTGGCTCAGGTGTCACTTCCTCTGGGAGGTTTCCGTGAGCATCCAAGCCAGGGATGGGTGCCCTCCTAGGTAATGCCATAGCGCTTGTCTCACTGTGCTGTGGTTGTCTATTGAGTTGTCTTCTCTCTTGTTAGATGGGGAGCTCCGTAATTGTAAGGATCACGTCTACCTTGCTCACAGTTATCAGCCCCAAGTGACACCATGCATGGCACATAGTGGATCCTTAGGAGCTATTTGTTACATGAATAAAGATAAAAATCCAGCTCTCTCACTAACCTGATGTGAATTTAGAGAAGGCCCTTCCCCTCTGGGCTTTAGTTTTCTTATTCGTAAAATGCAGGGAAGCAGTATTTATTATTTGAGGATAGTTTGATGTCAGGAAAGAGAAATCCACCTATACTTGCTCAACAAAATAGGAAGGGTACTGTGAGGAATCAGGGGTGTCTCATGGAACCTGAGGGCTGTGCAAGAGCTGACACAGGAGCTGGAAAACGTTCTAGAATCAGTGTGGACCCTTGTTCATCCTGCTCCTTCTTTTGGAGCCATGTGGTCCTGCCTCTCGCTCCTCTTGCAGCACTCCAGGTCTCTGTCTGTTCTCTGTTTATGGATGCAGTGGCCGCTTCAGCCCACTTGTCTCAGGTCCTTCCAGCTGGTGTGTCCCGGGTTGGGTTTGCTGAGGGGCAGATGCTGACGTGGAGCTTGTTGTGGAGGATGTTTACTAGGGAATGTTCTCAGGCTTAACCCCTGTGGGAGGAAAGGGAAGGTGCAGGAGTGGACAGAGGGGGAAATTGAGGTGTGATGACATCCCCAAGATGTCCTCTCATCTCATGGAAAGCCCTGGACCTGGGATAGTGAGGGAACTGAGCCTTTAACCACCCCTCCACATTAGTCATCAAATTAGTCATCAAATGTGGGCTGCCCAGCAAGGAGAGCACAGCCATGGCCAAAGCAGCTTTCTTCAGCTGAGGCCATCCTTGAAGCCCTGACAGCTGGTGATATGCTTTGGATTTGCATCCCCATCAAAATCTCACGTCCAGTTGTAATCGGAGGAGAGGTCTGGTGGGAGGTGATTGAATTCTGGGGGTCAAAGTGAGTGAGCTCTTGTGAGATCTGGTTATTTAAAAGTGTGTGGCACCTCCCCCTTCACTCTCTTACTCCTTTCCCAGACATGTAAGATGTGCCTGCCTTCCCTTTGCTCTCTGCCATGATTATAAGTTTCCTGAGGCCTCCTCAGCCATGCTTCCTGTATAGCATGCAGAATTGTGAGCCAATGAAATCTCTTTTCTTTATAAATTACCCAGTCTCGGGTAGTTCTTTATAGCAATATGAGAATGGACTAATCCAGCTGAGGAGTGTCTTGTCTCCCCGCACTTTCAGCAGCTGGGGGAAGATGCCCTGCATTTCTCAGGGAGATTTTGGCAGTGCATCAAACATCCTCCACATGAGACTAAGTCCCAGGCTTGCTTCCTCTTCTTGAGGAAGAATCTGATTTGCTCCGCTATTGTTCAAGTGTCCACTCTAAAGCCAATGAGCTGCACTCAAACAGCTGTCAAGTTATGTGAGACAGACAGCTCTTCAGTTAGGGGTGGGAGGGGACCAAAAACGGGATATTCAAAGGTGGCGAGGATGCAGAGCGAGAGGAACTCTCATTCTTGCTAGTGGGAATGCAAAATGGTATGGCCACTTGGGAAGACAGCCTGGCAGTTTCTTACAAAACTAAACATGCTCTTACCACAATCTAGCAATGGTGCACCATGGTATTTACCCAAAGGAGTAGAAAACTTATGTCCACACAAAAACCTGTGCAGCATTATTCATAATTGCAAAACTTGGAAGCAACCAACATATCCTTCAGTAAATGAAGGCTAAATAGTTGTGGTACATCCAGACAGTGGAATATTGTTCTGTGCTAAAAAAAAAAAAAGCTATGAAGCCATAAAAAGACACGGAGGGACCTTAAATGCATATTACTAAGTGAAGTAAGCCAATCTGAAAGGGCCACATACTGCATGACTCCAACTAAATGACATTCCTGAAGAGGCAAAACTATGGCGACGATAAAAAGATCAGTGGTTGCCAAAGGTTTGGGGGATGAAAGGGAGGGATGAATAGGCAGAGCACAGCAGATTTTTAGGGTAGCAAAAATACTCTAAAATAGATACTACAGTGGTGGATACATGTCATTGTAGAATCATCCAAACCCATAAAATGTATACTACCAAGAGTGGACCCTCGTGTAACCTATGACTCTGGGTGATAATTATGTGTCTGTGTAGATTCATCAGTTGTAGCACATGTGGCACTCTGGTGCAGGGAGTTGATAAGGGGGGGCTGTGCATGTAGCGGGCAGGAGTATGTAGGAAGTCTCTGTATCTTCTTCTTTTGATGTGCTCCTAAAACTACTCTTTAAAATGTCTTAAAAATAAGTTATGTCATGAAGAACCTTCATATATGTCTTCTACAAACTCAGTGACAGGCAGGACAAGAGTGCTAAGATCAGGGGCTCTGGAGCCAAACTGCTTGTGGTTGAATCTTATCAGCTAGGAGTGCATTAGGCCGTAAGTAACAGGAAATGCTTGCAGGGACTTAAACAAAGGAGGAGTTTATTTGGCTTGTCCAATAAGAAGTCTGGGAGAAGGCAGTCCTAAGCTGCTACAGTAGCTCAAAGATGTCCCTGGACACCTGGGATCTTTGTTTTCCTGCTCCGTCATAACTATACATATCCACCTCATGCTCACATGGTGGCTGCTGCACCTCTGGTCCTCACATCTGTTTCCCTTAAACAAGCAGAAGGGAGAAGAAGGGAGAATCAGGAAGGGCAAAGCGTCCTCCCCTAGCTAGGCTTTGTCTTTTTATTTGGAAAAGAATGCCTGTTCCAAGAACTTTCACTTCTTGCCCCTTGGCCAAGAAGTGAATTGTGTCACAGGGCTATTCCTAGCAGCAGCAAGGGAAGCTGGAAAGATGAGCATTTCAGCTTTTTAGCCACTGACTAAAGGAAGGAAAGAAAAAGGGGGCTTGACAATGGCTTTTGGGTAGTCCATCCACTATATGTACCACAACCACTTACTGCCTGTGTGACCTTGGGCAAGTCACGTAACCTCTCCAGCTTGTGTCTCCAATGACAATTAAGATAATCCTGGTGTGTTCATACCCTGCCTGATATATCAGAAACTCAATCGACATTAGCTATTATTGTTGTTACTCTGGCAATCAATGATTCCAATAGGGGCATCACCGGCAAAATGGCAGGTGTGGGAGTGAGGCATCTGCTTTGCCCCCTTTCCTGCTGGCATTGGCCTTGGAAAGCACAGTTCACAGAGCATGAGTGTCTTGCTATGGGGAGGCAGGTGGGTGAGAATTTAGTTTCCCAATTTGAAATATTTGGGGTCAGAGAGAGGGGCCCCAGGATTCAGGGGTGTAGTGGATGTGGGTATGTCCTGATCTTCTGGGGCAGGGCAGCTCAGTCTGGGTGAACAGGGGGTCGCACTTGTCCACACTGCCTGGAGAGGGATCATTTAATGAGTCAAGTTTGGCCCTGAAGGCTGGTGCCACGTTTCTCTTCCATACTGTTGGGGAATCAGAACAAATCGATTGGGAGCAACCCTAATATGTTGATTCAATTTGGTGAACAGAAAGGCAAAATGAGGGGGAAATATGTATTGCTCCCAGCTATAGGGCCAGTGGTTAATCTCAGCTTCATAACCCTGTGCTGGTGGTGGCTTAAATAATTAAGCAGGGTGAAGGCTGATTCACCCTACACTATGCCTTCTCCCCTGCCCTCTTAGAGGACCAGTGGCCTGTGTAGTCGGCCCACTGTTTCCCAAGCACGTGGGTGCCCTCAGGGACCTGGGGTGGTATGTGGCTGGGCACCCAGGTGGGCTCAGGCAGGCATGCACTTGTCCTAGGCCTACAGCTCTGCACACACATATGCCTGCTCACATGTGCACACCCCCCCACACACCCTGCACACACCTCTGCACACCCACACACTTGCATCCAGACGAGGAGGAGCCCCTCCCACCCCAGCGCGGAAGAGGAGGAAGAGGTGGGGGGATCAAGCTAGGGGGCCGGTGGTGCAGTGGCTGAGGTGGGCGATTCTGAGGCCCAGGCACCCTCTCTGTTGTCTACCTGCTGCTCTGGCCAGGAGGGCGGTTTCCCCCAAGCTGCCTCCGCTGCAGCAGCTTCTCTCTCCTGAGCCCCGTGCTCCAGCTGGTGCCCGCCTCATTAATAAAGGCAGATTACTGCTAGGCTCGTCCCCAGCACTCCTGATGGGGCCATTAACATTCCAGGGAAGATTAACTCCACCCCTGCTCCTGCCCCTGAAGCCACTGGGCCCTGCCTGACAGATGAGGGTCCAGGGCTCAGATAGAGATCCTGGAACTTAAGACAGGGGGCTGCCTGAGATGACCTCTGGAGGTTAGGCACATTCCAGCCTCCACCTGGCCCTCTTGGGTTTCACCAGTGAAAGTAGCAAAGCAGGAATGAGAGGGAGAGCCTGCCAGAGAGTTCGGTGGAGAGCTGGGCAGGCGGATGGACCCTGGGATGGCATCTTGAGGGATCTAACTCAGTACTTTCATTTGGCTCAGAGAATACGAGTGACCTACCTACTGTCACATGGTGACAGTAAGAGTGGAACCCAGGTCCACTCAGATCCAAGTTCTAAAAAGGCAGACAGTGTCCACACACCTTCTACAGAGGCCACGGCGTGGGGCACAGGTGCAACAGGAATGGCAGATGATCTTGTTAGGGAGCTACGGGTGAGGCAGGGGCCTCAGCAAGCCCTGCCCGCTTCACTGCTGAGGTGGGGGCCTCCCCGTGCACCTGCTGGCGTCAGGGAGCCGGGAGCAGGGTGGGACATCCCCCGGATGCTGAGCCTGACTCCTCCTCAGAGGTGGTCTCTGGTAGCAATTTTCCTGCTTGACAGTGTCTGGCTGGGATCTGAAGGTGGCAAAGGCGCTGAAGGAGGAAAAGCGGGAGGCAGCAAAGAAAGGAATCTAGGTCTCAAGAACTAATTTAAAGACATGCCTGCCCTGGAATCCCACTTCTCTGACAAGCTCCAGCTCCCTCCCGTGTGCAGGCACCTTACCACCCCAGGCACACTGCATGTACCACACACATGCCACACACGTATACACACACCTGCACACACCACACACTCCCAAGTGCAAACAAGTGTGCACAGAACTCCTCTATTCTTGGAATTTTAACACTTACTTGTAATAATAAAAACTGAATATTTGGTCTTTGTCCCTTTGTCTTGGCACACAGATCCTAAAACGCTTGGAATCTCCAAAGTGGAAGGTGTCTTTTTATGCTAATGAGATGAGCGGTGGCCCTAGGTAGCTTCAGGATGGAGCCAGTCACCAAAGACCAAGGCACGACTAGAGGATTGGGACTTTCAGCCCCACTCACCAACCTCTGGGGAGGGGAGAGGGCTGGAGGTTGAGTTCAGTCACCAGTGGCCAATGATTTAATCAATCATGCCTCCAGGATGAAGCCTCTGGAAAGACTCCTAAGTGATGGGACTTGGGGAGCTTCTGGGCTGCCACACAAAGGCAGGTACTGGGAGGGGACACAGCCAGAGAGGGCATGGACATTTGCATCTCTCTTACCTTGCCTTATGCATCTCTTCCATATAGCTGTTCCTGTGTTATATCCTGTATAATAAACCAGTATTGGAAGTAAAAGTGCTTTCCTGCGTTCTGTGAGCCATTACAGCAAATTATCCAAGGGACGAAGAGGCTGTGAGAACCCCCGATGTAGAGCCAGTGGGTAGGAAATACAGGTGGGAACCTGGGACTTGCAGATGAGGGCCCCTGGCTCTGATGTCAGAAGTGGGAGGAGTCTTGTGGGACTGTGGGGTCTGCATGAACTCCATGGAGTTAGTGTAAGAATTGAATTGAGTTGAAGAATGAGTTACCTGAAAAACCAAGCTCTAAATATTTTAAAGAGATTTATTCTGAGCCTCTGTGAGTGACGGAAGTCCAGAGGATGCAGTCTCAAGGAGTCCTGAAAACGTGCACTGGGAGGTCAGGGCACAGTTTCCTTTCATACCTGTTAGGGACGCAGGAGTTACAGGCAAAGACAAAAAGACATGGGAGGCACACGTTAGTTCAGCCTGAAAAGGCTGGATATCTTGACGGGGGCTGATAGGTTACAGGGAGATTCGGAGATTCCTTAACATACAATTGGTTGAAGGGGTAAGGCTCTGTCTATCTAAACTTGGAGTAAGCAGAAAGGAATGTTCTGTTTGTTTGCTTGCGACTGGGTCACCCTCTGTCACCCAGGCTGGAGTGCAGTGGTGCGATCTCAGTTCACTGAAGCCTCCACCTCCCAGGCTCAAGTGATCCTCCCACCTCAGCCTCCAGAGTAGCTGGGACCACAGGTGTGCACCAGCACGCCTGGCTAATTTTTTATCTTTTGTAGAGACAGGGTCTCCCTGTGTTGTCCAGGCTGGTCTCAAACTCCTGAGCTCACACAATCTGCCTGCCTCAGCCTCCCCAAGTACTTGGCCAGAAAGGAAGGTTTTCAGTTAAGGATGCCACATAGTGAGATTGATGGCCTGTGGGTGTGACGTAACCCTTGCCTGGCATGGCCTTAGATCCCATTTATAATCTTGTATCTCATTGCCACAGAGAATGTTTTGTCAGTGTTGTGATCTCTATTTGAACATCAGTGCTGCTCAGTTCGGCCTAAATTTGGAAAGGGAGTGGGCATAATGAGGCATGTCCAACTGCCCTTCCCATCATGACCAGGAACTCCATTTTTTAAGGTTTCCCTGGGGTCCCCTTGGCCAAGAGGGGGTCCATTCAGTTGGTGTGGAGCTTAGGAATTTTAGTCTACAAACATCTGGTTGAGCGGCTGCAGAATCAGAGAACTGGCTGTTGAGTGGAAGAAAAACCCACATTTTCGATGTCAGTAGTATTGTGAGTAAAAACAGTCAAAACTCAAAATTTGTCTCTTGTCCAGCTGCCCTCCAAGCTCCAGTGGCCTCCTATCTCTGTGACGGCAGGGTCCCCAGTGAGCCACGCCTCCTGATACCCATGCCCTGTGTGGTTTCCTACTTTTGAACCGTGGCAGAAGTGATGCTGTGTGACTTTGGAGGCTGGGGCATGAGAAGCCTGTCAACTCCCAGCTGTATCTCCTGGAATGCTCACACCTGGGCTACTCTTTGTTGGAATCTGACCCTCATGCTGTGAGAGGCTCAGGTAGGGGCTTCTGTCCACAGCCCTAGCCAAGCTCCCAGCCAGTCCCACTTGCAGCTGTGAGATGGTGCTGCCCTGGAGTCCAGCCCAGCAGGGCCTTCATATGGGAGGCCACCACCTGACTGCAACTGCATAGGAGACCCTAGCTTAGAAACAGCTGGGCAAGCCCAGGAAATCCATGAGGAACTGTGTGAAGCCACTCAGTTTTGGGGTGGCTGGCAGATCATCAACTGCAAGGAGAGCCCAGGTGAGACTTAAGAAGAGCTCAGACTTTGGAGAATCCTGGCTGTGACTTCTGTGGGTTGCCCTGTGCGGCCACTGCCAGGGACAGGGTGGGGTTTCTCCTGAAGTTAGTCAACAGTCACTCACCCTGGGTACAGATGGATCTGGGCAAAGGAAAGGAGGCCCGGGACCAGGTGTTAGATCAGACCTGCAAATAACAGAAAATCCTCAAAGGGCAGTTGCTCACAGCAAAGTCGGATACTCGCTCAGGCTGCAGGATGTTCAGAGGCAGGCAGCTGAGGCTGATGCCTTGCAAGCTACAGGGGTGCCCTTCACATGGTATTCTGTGACTGGCACCTTCTGGAACGCACCACAGAATGCCAAGTGAAGGGTGTCCCCTGGAGTGAAGGGCACCGCCAGGCTTCTATCTTGTTGCTCCATTGTGCATGGCTTCCATTCCAAAGGCACAGCCCTACTCCATGAACCAAGGTGACTGTCAGAGCTCCAGCCATTCCATCTGTTTTCTGTCGAGAGGGAGGAACGATGAAGGCCACACCTCATTTTTTTAAAGACAATTGCTGGAAATGACACATCCATTTATACCTTACTAGTCAGACTTGGGCGCATGACCACATCTGACTGCAAGCAAGGGTGGGGAATAGGGTGTTCTGAATGGGAACGGGTGCCTACCCAGCTTCATATCAGGAGCTCATAAAGGAGAGTGGATACTGGGGGCAACCAGAAGAGTCTATGGGAAGAGGAACCCTCGCTTTCCAGGTTCAGGGATCAGCCTCAGACACCAGAGTATGGAGAGGCAGGGTAGGAGACCCACAGCTATGTGGAAAGACTTGGGGGATGAGGCTGGGAGCGATATGGGGAGCTGGTCTCAGAAGAGACCCTTTGGGATGATCACAGTATAGTATTGTGTGAAGTAGAAAAGTTCTTTTTTAAAGTTTCTTTTCTTATTAAATTATGAGTGTGCTAATAACTGTGTTAAGCCCTATTCTATGTAGCGTTAGATATGCTGTGCTTACAGGCATGTAGTACATTCTATGTCCTTGTACTTTAACCAAGACATCTATGCTGGACCTGCTCACAGGCATGTCCCAGCTCTCCATTGCTTTTACCTATTTAAAAAAGAGGGAGAGGGCAGAGCACAGGGAGGAGTGCTAAAGGGCAGAGGGGCCAGCTTAAGGGCTGGAGGGGAGCAAGTGAGAGATAGAGTGTAGTGTGCTCCAGGTGTCTGTCTGGGGCTCTGCAAGAGTGGCTGGCCACACCAGAGAGGTTGAGGACTGGGGGCGGCAGGCTTGGAGGAGGGAGAAGCAGGGAAGGAGGTGAGTGTTCTATTTGGCCATGCTGGGTTTGAGGTTAGCCAATCAGGTTTTAGTTTAGATTGTGAGGTCTGACTCCAGCCAATGGAAATAAGACACAGCAGTAAGGACAACCCCAAAAGCATAAGAAGTAAATGTGTGTGTTTTCCTTTGTTCATTGTACTCTTGTGGCAAGATGGCTAGCAAGGGAACCTTTCCTGCAGTCCAGGAAGTAAAAATTGCATTGCTAAAACATCCTTTGTCTCAGTGCTGATTTTTATTTGTGGCACCAAGCATTACTTCCAATAGTATCACTCCTAAACCTTCAAGGCCTTTTTAAAGTCACAGCTAAGACCATACAGGGAGGTGGGGAATCAGGGAAGGATCTGTCCCATGCTCAGGACGAGACAGATGAGAAAAGAGAGGGGACCCTCCTAAAGTCAGTGGTGGCAAGAAGCCCCAGGGAGCTGCTCCTGAGGACAGCTGAGTCTGGCATCCTGGGGCCTCCCAGAGACGAACCTCTCTTTTCATGATCTGCCATGGGGCCAATGGGGTTTCTCCACAGACGCCTCAAACCCAGCATGGCCAAATAGAGCATTCACCTCCTTCCCTGCTTCTCCCTCCTCCAAGCCTGCCGCCCCCAGTCCTCAACCTCTCTGGTGTGGCCAGCCACTCTTGCAGAGCCCCAGACAGACATCTGGAGACACACTACACTCCATCTCTCACTTGCTCCCCTCTGCCTCCGCAGCTGCTGTAACCTGGCCTGGATTACTGTAATCAGGGACGATAACTCAATCTCCCGCTCTACCCACTTGGAGAATGCTGTGTGATCAGCGACCTGACCCCCAGTTCTAACTTCCCTCCTTGACCTTGGCTAACTCCTTGGCTAGCTCAAGAGTCCTCCAGCCACTTGCTTCTCACTGCCTCCAGTGTAAAGTTGCAGTCCCCGTGAGCTGCCTACTGCCCTCCTCAGACCAGCTCATACCTGCCCTTCACTCCTCACACCAGCTGCCCTGGACTGTGGCGTCTGGCCCCTTCGGGCGAAAGTCTTGATATGACATGCATATTGCAAGTCCTCAGTTCTTCACCCTCTTATGACAGGGTAAAGTCGGTTCCCATTTTACAGCTGAGTAGACTGAAGCTCAAGGAGGTTAAGAATCTCACCCAATTGGCCGGGCATAGTGGCTCACAACTGTGCACTTTGGGAGGCTGAGGTGGGCGGATCATGAGGTAAGGAGTTCGAGACCAGCCTGACCAACATGATGAAACCGTGTCTCTACTAAAAATAGAAAAAAATTATCCAGGTGTGGTGGTGTGCACCTATAATCCCAGCTGCTCAAGAGGCTGAAGCAGGAGAATTGCTTGAACCCAGGAGGTGGAGGTTGCAGTGAGCTGAGATGGTGCCACTGCACTTCAGCCTGGGTGTCAGAGTGAGACTCCAGCTCAAAAAAAAAAAAAAATCTCACCCAACATCCCAGAGGCTGAGCTGGAATTCAAGCCTAGCGCAGCCTCACTGGGAAGTCGGTACTGTCTTCTCCAGCTGTGCCCAGCGTGGTCAACCTCCCTCAGGTCACGCACATTCCTACTGTCTCATGTTCATCAGCATACAGCCCAGTGCTCAGACTGCCCTTCCCTGAAGTCTGTTCTACAGACTCGTTTTCATATTCTTTCAGGTGGCTCAATATAAGAAATCTTACCAGACAGAGCACAGTGGCTCATGTCTGTAATCCCAGCACTTTGGGAGGCCAAGGTGGGTGGATCACCTGAGGTCAGGAGGTCAAGACCAGCCTGGCCAACATGGTGAAACCCCACCTCTACTAAAAATACAAAAAATTAGCCAGGTGTGGTGGAGGGCACCTATAATCCCAGCTGCTCCGGAGGCTGAGGCAGGAGAATCACTTGAATCTGGGAGGCAGAGGTTGCACTGAGCTGAGATCGTGCCACTGCACTCCAGCCTGGGCAACAAGAGCAAAACTCCATCTCAAAAAAACAAAAACAAACAAAAACCTCACCAATTTCTTTTAAGAGTGCCAGCTCCTCTAGCTAACAAAGCTTTCTCCCTTTCTGGGCCTGAGGGCTTTACACGAGCTGTTGCTCCCTGTCTGCCCCAGGAAACTCTTCCCCATTCATCTTATGACTGGCTCCTTCTCATCTGTTAGGTCTCAGCTTAAATGTCAATTCCCCAGAGAAAGTAAAACAGTGAGACTTTGGAGAGAGGCACAGTCATTTTTTACAAAGTTAAGCATAAATTCACCATATGACCCAGCAATTCCACTCCTAGCAATTTATCGAAGGGAAATGAAATCACACGTCCACACAAGACTTGCATGTGCATGTTCCATTGTGTGGATGACCATGTTTTCTTTAACCATTCATCAGACATTGGGGTTGTTTCCACCTTTTGGCTATTACGACCAATGCTGCTATAAACATTCATGTATAAGTTTCTGCGTAGACACATTTCATTTCTCCTGGGTATATACCTATGAGTGGAATTGCTTGGTCATATGGTAACACTAATCTTTAATCATTTGAGGAATTATGACTACTTTCCAAGGAGGCAATACAGGGAGATTCAGACCCTTCCACATCCTCACCAATACTTGTTATATGACTTTTTTATTCCCGCCATCCTAGCAGGTGTGAAGTGGTGTCTCCTTGTTTGGATTTGCATTTCCCTGATGACTAGTGACCTCAAGCACCTTTTCATGTGCTGATTGGCCATTTGTATATCTTCCTCAGAGAAATGTTTAATCAGATCTTTTGCCCATTTTTGGGTTTTTGCCTTTTTATTATTGAGTTGTGAGAGTTCTTTAGATACAAGTCCCTTAACAGATATATAATTTGCAAATATTTTTTCTTTTTTTTTTTAGCGAGTCTTACTCTGTCTCCCAGGCCAGAGTTGCATGATCACAACTCACTGCAATTGTTTGAACCACCTCCAGGGTACAAACAATTCTCCTGCCTCAGCCTCCTGAGTAGCTGGGATTACAGGTGTGCACCATCATGCCCGACCAATTTTTGTATTTTTAGTAAAGTAAGGATTTCATCATGTTTGGCCAGGCTGGTCTCAGACTCCTGACTTCAACTGATCCACCCACCTCGGCCTCCCAAAGTGCTGAGATTACAGGTGTGTGCCACCACACCTGGCCTATCCCATTCTGTGGATTGTACTTTTACTTTCTTGATAATGTCCTTTGAAACATACAAGTTTTTAATTTTCATAAGGTTCAATTAATTTTTTTGTCGTTCATGATTCTGGTGTCATATCTATGGATTCATTGACAAATCTGAGGTCATGAAGATTCTCCCTATGTTTTAAGAGTTTTATAGTCTTAGTTCTTATATTTAGGGCTTTGATTCATTTTGAGTTAACTTTTGTATATGGTGTGAGGTAAGGGTCCAACTTCATTCTTTTGCATGTAGCTAACCAGTTGTCCCAGCACTATTTGTTAAATACTATTCTCCATGGAATGGTCTTAGCACCCTTGTTGAAAATCAGTTGACGGCAGATACATGGTTTTATTTCTAGACTCTCAGTTCTAGTTTGTTGATCTCTGTGTCTATGCATTGATCCAAACCACATTTTTTTTAATCACTGTTGCTTTTCTTCATCATCACCATATTTCATGGAACACTGTGGTTCAAATATTTGTTGACTGTTCAAAGCCCAACAACCAAAAACCACCAAGAAAACACTGCTGGCATTTATTTAGCTTGCTGCAGCAAGGGGAAATGCACCCTGGGGGACTCCCAAGCATCTCAAAAGGGGAGTTATGAAAGGTACCTCTTCCTGGGTTGGGGCTGGTGCTGAGTGATTTTAGGGAGACAGAGGCCAGTCTGGGGTTGGGTGCTTCCAAGAAGTGAGGCAATTTGGTGATAGGGAAATTAATTTTTACCTAGGAGGTAGGAGGATTAAAATAGGGCCAGAGTTGTCATAGTGGAGAAGCATTTGTCACTCAAAGAGGTTGGTCAGTCATTTTGTGACCTGTGGAGCAGTCTTGTCTAATATGCTGTCCTGAGCACTCTGTTTCTTTGGGAACTCCTTGGTCTGATTGTCAGCAAGGCTGTTTCCCACATTCTACGAGTAAACAGATGGTCTCTGCTGTGGAACAACTAGAGATTCAGTAGGCCAAGACAGCCCCCATCCATCCTATGACATCTGATCCAATGCTTGCTTTAGGGACTAACACATTGGCTAGGGTTAGCTGGGGATAGCAGGAGGTGCCCTCAGTGTGTGATGGCCTGTGCCTAGACCACTAGCTCACTGTGTGGCCTGGGCCTGTTTCCTCATCTGTAATATAGAGAGATTAGAGGGATCAGCACCCCAGGCTCCTTCCAGTTCTTCCTCCATGATCTACCTGTCTTCTTGTGCTATTTCAGAGACAGGGAAATCTCCCATGTTGAGTGTCCCTATTTCACCGGCCAATACCACGTGTGTGTGCTCACACACACTCCTCCACGCACAGGCAACTGTGACTCACCCAGCCTCAAGTCTCTGATTCAGTCTTCTAGCTCAGCAGCTCCAGACATTTGAATTTCATACGCTGGCAAAATTTCCAAAAAATATTTTTGGGACCAACACAGGGTTGCCAATGTTTTATTTTGTCAAATAGGACATTAAAAATAGCAAGTACTACCACCTGCTGCAAACATTGAATCATAAAAGGATAATACTTTCAAAATTTCCTGTGTTCTCTTCATTTCTTGGACAAGGGTGAAACTCCTGCTGGAACAGACAGTTGCTATGTTTCCTGTGTTTAGGAATGGCTGTTTTATCTTTTGACCTTGGCTCTTATTAAAACGCAAATGCTGTCTGAGGGCCAGCCTCAGTTGGCCACAAAGGAGTGAAGGGCTTGTGGGGAGCTGGTGTGGCAGGCTGAAGGAGGGGACAGGAAGGGTCCCACCAAGCTGAGCTGTGGATACCAGGTCTCCAGCAGCTGAACAAGCCAGAGAGGGAAGAGCTCGCACCCGTGTCCCCAGGCATATCTCGACAGCCTCGTTAATTGTGAGGTTCGAAACACAGGCCTCGGAGAAAGTGTTGGGTAACTAGTGAAGCTCTAGTTAACGGAAGGCTGAGCTAGAACTCTCACCTCTGGCCTTGAAGCTGCACCCTTTGCAACCACCATAAGTAGTTATGGCAGAAGAGAAAAATTAGCGGGAAGTAAGTTGTCCGACCCCACAACAATGGTGTGAGTCTATTTTTGACTCTTTTGAGTCACCGGACAACACAGAACATTGGTGGTTCACTCTGTCTGGACTGTGCAGAGCCAAATTCGAAGAGGAAACCCCTCCTACTTCCTACCTATTCTCCCAGTGCCTAGATATGCACTGTGCCACTATTCCTTTTTTTTTTTTTTTTTAAAGAGAAAAAGAAGGGGAAAAAAAGAAAAAGAGGGAAAAAGGAATATTACTTCATTCCTAAAATGGGTTTCAATAATGGCCGATCAATATTTTGAGTGTTTAAAGTGGTTAATGCATATTTTATGTGTTTAAAATGGAGACCTCTATTGTGTTTATTTGTTCTGGCTCTGAGTTCAAGTCCTGGATATCATTATCAATTTGTTGTCTCGTTGAATCTAAATCTCATTATGTGTCTTATGTATCTGGGTGTTAAGATCTCTTATTGTTGCATTAATCCTTTTACCCTTGTATCCTTGTAGCTTTGAAATCTATTTTATTAAATGTGAAAATTGCAACTCCTGCTTTTTATTTATTTATTTTGCTCTCCATTTGGTTGGTGAGCTTTTTTCCATCCCCTTGTTTTGAGTCTTTGTATATCTTTAGATATATCGTTAGATTTTGTGGATAACGTATATTTTGTGTGTTTAAAATGGAGAGTTCTATTGAGTTTATTTGTTCTGGATCTTAGTTCCAGTCCCGGATATCGTTATCAATTTTCTGTCTCGTTGAATCTAAATCTCATTATGGGTCTTATGTATCTGGGTGTTAAGATCTCTTATTATTACATTAATCCTTTTACCCTTGTATCCTTGTAGCTTTGAAATCTATTTTGTCAAATGTGAAAATTGCAACTCCTGCTTTTTATTTATTTATTTTTGCTCTCCATTTAGTTGGTACGGTTTTTTTTTTCCAACCCTTTATTTTGAGTCTATGTATATCTTTGGATATACCGTTAGATTTTGTCTGTATCTTTTGATTGGGAGATTTGGTCGATTTAAATTTAGGGTTGCTGCCGTTTGATATTAACTGGCTATTTTGTCCTTTCGTTGATAAAAATTCTTCTTTATGTTAATGCTCTTTACTTTTTGGTGTATTTTTAGAAAGGGTCATACTGGTTGTTCCTTTCTGTGTATAATGCTTCTTTTAGAAGTTCTTGTAAAGCAGGCCTGGTGGTAATAAAATCTCTGAGTACTTGCTTGTTCCTAAAAGATTTTATTTTTCCTTCAAATTTAAAGCTTAAATTGGCAGGATATGAAATTCTGGGCTGAAAGTTCTGTTGATTAAGGTACATTGAATATTGGCCCCCACTCTCTTCTAGCTTGTAGGGTTTCCGTTGAGAGATCTGCTGTAAGCCTAATAGGCTTACCTTTATGGGTAACTTGATCTTTCTCTCTGGCTGCCCTTAATATTTTCTCCTTCGTTTCGATCTTGGTGAATCTAACGATTATGTGTCTTGGGGTTGTTCTTCTTGAGGAATATCTTTGCGGTGTTCTCTGTATTGCCTGGGGTTGAATAGTGTCCTGCTTTGCTAAATTAGGAAAATTTTCCTGAATAATGTTCTGGAGAGTATTTTCCAGCTTGAATTCATTCTCTCCGTCACATTCAGGTACACCAATCAAGCGTATATTAGGTCTTTTCACATAGTCCCATATTGCTTGGAGACTTTGCTCATTCCTTTTTATCCTTTTTTCTCTATTCTTGTCTTGTTGTTTTGTTTCATTAAGTTGATCTTCGACCTCTGATACCCTTTCTTCTGCTTGATCCATTCGGCTGTTTAATCTTGTACATATTTCACTAAGTTCTCGTGTTGTATTTTTCAACTCCATAAGTTCATTTGTATTCCTCTCTATATTGTCTATTCTTTTCAACATTTCATCTAACCTTTTTTCCAAGTTCTTAGTTTCTTTACATTGGGTTAGAACAAGTTCCTTTAACTCCCAGAAGTTTCTTATCATCCACCTTTTAAAGCCTACTTCAGATAATGGAACACAGTCCTTTTCCATCAGGGCTTGTTCCGTTGCTGATGAGTCCTTTTCCATCAGGGCTTGTTCTGTTGCTGATGGGTTCTGACCTTGAGTATACTCAGCCTTCTTAGGCTGTTTTTTCCCCTTCATTGTAGATGAACCGCCTTTCTAATTAGGTTTCTGAGTCGACGTCCGACTTATTGATTCCCAGTGCTGGGATCCGAGCAACCCACTGTGGCGGCCTAAATAGCAGCGATAAGACTGATGGTTCTCTTCTGCCCGGGAATCTCTGGTCTGGCTTCCCTCTTGAGTCCACAACAAGCGGCTCTGACTTCCTGGAGCTCCAAACTCCGGTCAGTAGGGGAAGCAGTCCCGTTGGCTCTGCATGAAGAGCTGCTGCGCCGAGAGGCTGGCAAAACCGCTGTGGCGGCCACAAGAGTCACGCTGGTGACCCGTGGGGCTCCTCTACTGGGAATCGGCTGATTGGTGAGTGACGAAAATTCATCTAAAAGTGTGGCGTCATCTCGTTCTCTGGGCTTTCACTGGGAGCTACAATCCTGAGCTGTTAGTGGTCGGCCATCTTGGATCGATCCCACCACTATTCCTTTAAAATGTGCTCCTATGTCACAAGAGGGGACCAATCAGCATACAGGGGGAGGAGCTGCTTGGGCCCTGACCACCAGTTGTGCCAATGAAGTAAGAGTCTATAGGGACTGCCCTAAGAGTGACAGCTCCCTGAGGAAGCCTGGAGCAAACCTGTTTAAAGGGACGGTGTATCAGACAGGCCGCTCAGACCACTCAGGTTGGTATAAAGCGTTCAGAGTCCCTGAACTGACTGATGCAGCCCCAAAGTGGCTGCTGTCCTTCTGGAAGATGATAATTTGCTGGAAAAGACAAGCGATTTATCTGTCTAATTGGGCTTTTATTTGCATTTTAAATCATGCTCTTTTGCTAAACTAATGGACCCCCTATTTATAGATGACTCCAACACAAAGTGACTACTAATTACTACAATTAATATCACGTTAAGGGCTTGCCAGCCAACTTCACAGCAACTTGTATCGCCTACTCATTTTCAATTAAGGCACATTGACAGGGAGAATACGTGGTTATTAAGAGCTGGCCCTGGGGTGTAATTACTGCTCACAAAGGTCATTAAGCAACTCCCCTGCAGGGTTGGCACCTTGGTGCCCAGGGGCTGGGGGCCCAGATCCCCGTCCTACCCGGGGCCATAAAGGCGCAGTGCCCCAGGCTGCCAGGCAGATGGCAAGCCTGGCTCTGACTTGCCTGGAGGTGGAGCAGATGATGCCAGGACACTGGGGCTGAGACAGCAGAGGCAGGGAGGCTGAGGGGCCATTCCTCCTCTTCCTGAAAACAGCAGTTGTGGCAGCCACTGGAGAGCTGGCAGGATCACACGGCCTCCCTGGAGTGGCACACAGCAAGTGTCTATGAGGCCCCTCCGCGACAGGCAGGGGGTGACAGTAAGGGAGCCAGGTTCGGGGGAGCCTGAGATGCAAATGCTTCATGACTGGGAGGGGTCCTGGGCTGCAAATGCTAGGGAATGGCCACTGCTGAGGAGGAGGAGGAGGAGACCTTGGGGTGAAGAGAAGCTGTCAGAGAGGAGGAAAAGGCTGGAGGGGTGGGGTAGTGGTTGGAGAAGCCGGAGAAAGTGGGCATTTCAACATTCAGGGCCAAGGTGCTTGTGACCGACTGTCCACTGATTCTTCCTGACCTGGCAGCTACAGCCTACCCGGCACCATCAAGGCATGGGCTGTCGGCTCAGGGGCCAAACCCAGGACCCAAGCAGGGGAAGGCCAGGAACCTAGCGAGGACAGGGCCAATACCTGCTGGTGGTGAGGTGAGGACCGGGGACAGGAGGTGAGCAGCCCCTGGCAGTGGTGGGCCTGGGATCCAGGCTGGGGCCTTCCTGACTTCAGGGACTATGTGTTTGCAGCTTGGAATTGGCCAGGGTGGATAATTTAGACCACAAATCACTGCAACCCACAGATGCCACAAACCAGGTTTCCCCTTCAGAGAGCTGGGTGTCCAACACTCCCCAGCACACCACCGTTTGGGGAAGCCTGTCGGGGCACTCTGCCCTGGGGACTGCAGTGTGGGGCCTTGTTTATTTCCTTAGCGCCTGAACCCACTTGCCTGTAGTGTACACTGTAGGAGCTCAGTAGGCATTGACTGAGTTCTATGGGGATGGAGAGGAAGCCCACTTCTAAGATGTGAAATAGCATGGCTTCTCAGAAATCAGGCAGGGCTGTGTTCACCTCTACACCTGGGGTCTTAATTTGGGACAAACCTATAGGTCTGGATAGACACTCCCTCCCCTGTGGCCTCAGTCTCCAAGGAATCCCTCTCTCACAGAGCAACACCCACACAACACCAGCTGCCTTGTCCAGGAAGGGGGTTGGGCCTCCATAGGGAAGTGGGGTCTGGGCTGAGTATAGGCAGGGAGGACTGGGCTGGGGGGGCCCTGGGGTCGTGGGGAGGCCCAATCATGGCTGTCAGGTTCTGTTGGCCCCGCTCCTGGGAAGGCTCTGCCTATCAACCCTGCACTAATGAGTCCTCTCCAGGCTCTGTCCTCCCTCCTCTGTCCTAGTTACCTTCATTGCCTTGTTCTCGGATGCCCTCATCCTTTCCAGATCACCTCCAGTGACCTCTATGTCCCTTCTCTACCCTCTCTGCATGGTAGGTCTTCGTTGGCACTGGGAGGGAAGGGAAAGCCAAACCCAGGGCCCAAGGCTAAGAACCTATGGGGCACAGGGTACAGGAGGCGGGGTTGTGGTGCGGAGTGTTAGGATCAGGTTTGCTGCTCGAGAATGACAGTGGCTCCAGTAAGACGTTTCCCTCTCTCCTTACCGTGGGACGTCCAGGGCTGGAGATTGGGGCCACCACGGCTATCTGGTTGCTCTGCCATTCTCCCAACGTGACTCCCACCTTATGGTGCAAGGTGGCAGCCGTCACTCTTGTCTGCCCCCAGCCAGCAAAGGAGGAAAGGGCCGGAAGAGGAGCATGCTGGTCCCTTTGAGGCACTTCCTGAAATCCACAGGTGGCAATTATTCTGGCTCTCTTCTTCTTCCTGAGCTATGGCCTCCCTGAGCTCAGAGAGGAACTTTTTTTGCCTCCAGGTCCAGCCGTTGTCCCAAAAAGGCAGCACTCCACTGGCAGGGGACCCCAGCAAGCCCGGTCCTGGTGCCAGGGGTGCATGGCTGTGGGCTGGCTTTCCTGCCTGTGGCCCAGGAAGCACTCCCACGTGATCGCAGCCTCTCCAGCAGGATGCCAGGCCCTGAGGCGCACAGCAGATGCTGGGATTGCCATGGAGCCCATCCCTCCACGGGAGGACTTTCACACGTGCAGCCTGGCCAGGGCTGCTGGTGTGGAGGGAGCAGGACACAGTGCCTACCATCCTGTGGGCTGGGTCTTGTGCCCTTAGTGGCCAGCCAGACTGTGCCTGGTAAACCATCTCTACTTTGCTTTCCTCTTTCCAGTTTCCTCCAGGAAACTCTGAATGTTTGCTGGGCTAAAACTTGAGAATCTGGGGAGGTGATCAGAAGAGTTTTAGGAGCCAGGCACCCAGGGAGGCAGGGCAGAGAGTGACCTCCTTATGTGGCTACTGAGAGACTCTCCCCAACCTTCCAGGGCTGGGACTCAGCATGTTTCTCCGAAGCTCTGCAGAGCCCATGGCCATCCACTCAGCAGCCGGCCTCACTGGGCTCAGCCCTTCCAGGGGCTTGGCCTCTCCTCTCCGGGGGTGACTCTTCTTCAGGCCCCATTTCTACCTCCCTCAGGCACCCTTTCTCTCCCCTCCCAAGCAGCCCTTGCCAGCCAGCAGGGCTGGTGTCAGGCCTCTGTGGATTAGGAATGAGGGCAGCAGTGGGGTGTGACTCTGGGTCCCCCAGGTGGGCTCACAGGGGCTCACACAGGCTCCCTGGCCTCCCACGGCTTTTTTGCCTCCTCCTCCACCTCTGCTCCCCGGGCTCAGCTCTACTGGGGCTCAGTAGGCAGTTTAAAGAGGGATGGCACCAGCCACCAGGACTGCCCCTCCACCCTGGGCCCAGCAGGGGACAGGTTGTGTCCCTGGGCAGAGAGCATCCCCAGTGGCTAGTTATTTTTCTCAGCTTTCTCTTCTCCTGCATAACATGAAGTGCTTCGTGAAAATTTCTGGCTACTCATAAAAACCTTAAATACCCCTCACTTATGAGCGTTTAAACAACTTAAAAATGTAACTCCCCCTCCCCCCCAGTTTCCTTTCCATGTTAGTTGGGACTGTGTTTATATACACGGTTATGCTGCTGAAAGAGACTCCTGGTAGCCACGATGCCACAAAGCCGGATGCCTGGGGTTTTGGCAATTGTCGTAATGTGTTTTGTGTTGCTTATAATGTGATACCTGAAACTGGGTAATTTATAAAGAAAAGGAATGTCTTCTTACTGTCATGGCAGCTGAGAATTCCCAGGTCCAGGGGCCGCATCTGCTGAGGGCCTTCCTGGGGCAGGGCCTCTGCCCAGTTCCCAGGCAGGCCGACTCAGGTCTCCCTTACTTTTATTATAAAGCCACCAATCCCACTCCAGCGAAAACCCATTCATCTACTAAGCCAGTAATCTGTTAATCCATGAGTGGATCAATCCATTCATGAGGGCAGAGACCTCATGACCCAATCACCTCTTAAAGGCCCGCCTCCCAATACTGCGGCATTGGGGATTAGGTATCAACAGGAGTTTGGGAGGCGATCGACATTCCCACCACAGAAGGAAGGGCAGCTGGGTGCAAGGGTGGGCTTCATCTCTTTTCGGGCTGGCCTCCATGTTGACTCCCACTGCTGAGGCCACCCCCTGAGGCTCCTCCGCTCCCTGATCTTGTCCCACCAGAAAGCGACCCACATCCACCCCTCCTCCTGGGTCCTTCCTCTTTCTCTTGATTGGGGCTCCTGACCTCACTCTGGTCCTCTGTGCCTCGGACTGCTGGGTCCACCTTACCACCACCCTCTTGGCCATAGCCATACACCCATCACATCAACAGTCCAGCTACCCATTGAGCTGCCTCCGTGGCCCAGTCCCAGAGCTGCTGGGTACATAACGCGTCCTGCCTGGAGCAGGACTGTGGTCACCTAGCCGGCCTCTAGTTATAGCCCCTTCTTATCCCCAGAGCCCTCTGCCTTTTTGGCAGAAACCATACCCCCTACTTCACAGAGAAAGGGAAGGTACTGGAGAGGAACTCTGGCCTCCCTCCCATTATTGCCCCTCTTCCTCTCCCCGACACCTGCCATTCCCACCAGCATTTAAACATGTGAGGCCACCCTTCTGAACGGGAGCGTTTCTCCCAGCCCTCACAGGGCCTAGGCATCGAGGCTATACTGAGGTCTAACGCTGCCATCTCCCCCGCCTCTGCAGGGCCCACACGACGGAGGCAGTGAGGCCTCAGCTGGCTGTGGCTCTGCTCTGCTGGGATGTCCCCCTCGTACCCACATGGCTCCCTCTTCCTCGTGGTCCAGCTCAGCTCTGCCTCCTCCTGCATCCTCTGGTTTTATTTCCTTTGCCACACCCGCAGCTCCTGGACATGATATTAATTTGTCGTGTGTTTGTTTTGTACCCCACCGTCTCAGCAGAGCGCCCAGGAGGGTGAGCACTTGTCTGTCTTGTTTACAGATGTGTTCCCAAGGCCTTGGGTGCATGACTGGGTGTCACAAAGGACGTATTCAATGAATGAATGCATGAATAAATGAATGACCATGATTCTGATTATTGGGCTGCTCTTCCGCCTCTGTTTGCACACCAGCTCCAGGAGGCCTGCCCATGCTGGGCTTATCTCCTTTCACTGAGCTTTTCATCCATAGCCAGCTGGGATTCTTCCTCTGTGCATTCCATTACTGGTTACGGTTCCTACCAAAGCTCCTTGAGTTGGTGAAAGAAAAAAGGGGATTTATTAGAACAAACCCCAGTAGCTCACCTGCTTTCAGGACTGGCCAGGGTGTCTCAGATGGGCTTCTGAGCTGTTTCAGGACAGGCCGTGTGCTGCAGCCGCCCAGAAGCAAGGCTTCACCCCACCCCTCTCCCCTCTTGGCCCCTGGGACACTCCAGGCTGAACCCCTAAAACTCTAATTGCCCCTCTACTTGATTCCAAGGTCCTTTGTTTTCTAGAAAACATAATGCCCTGGGCAGTCTCACAGGAGCACAGCTGATGAAGAAAACCCAAGTCACTGCCTCCACCCAGTTCTGCAGGAGCCCGGCGAGAGTTTTCTGGGTTAGCCCTGGGGGTGGCTGAACTCACGTGGGAAGTGATCCTTAGAGGGGCACATGTCTGTGATGGGCCAGAGCACTGGGTGGTGTAAACTGCCCCAAGCCCACTATGAGGAGAGTCTGAAAGACTCCAGGATTCCACCACCTTCTTCCCTGCTAGCCTCAAGACCTTCCAATCAGAGCCTGCTCACAATGAAGCCAGGAAGGTGCAGTGGGTCAAGGAGATGGGATGGGGCCAGGGAGGAGGTCCCTAGGGCGGGGCTCCAGACATCCACCTGCCAATGGACTCTGCCGGGCCGGAAGGTGGCTCAAAGGAGAGCTGAGACTCATTTTGCATATTTCTTGCCCTTCACCTGACTTCCTGGTTCTCAGTGGCAGGACGTTTCCCCCCTGGCAACAGCCCCTGTTCAAACTGCATAACTAGGTGGTGGCTGGATCTTCAGGGACCCTTCCAGGCTTTTGTGCCGGATACCCACATCTTCCATCTCTTCCTCAGGGACCTCCAGGGTCTTATACGCAACTTCTGCAAATGGACACGGCCTCTTCTGCGTGAATTTTCCCCTTCTTCCATCCTCTCCCTCCGCGCAAGCTACCCCTGTGCACCGGTTTCCCGGCTAGCCTTCTCTCTCTGTCTCTGTCCATCTCTCTCCCCATGTCTGTCTCTGTCTCTCACTGGCAACCTCTTACCCCTCATCAATTTTTAAGCCTTGTGGGATCTGTTTTCCAAGTCTGTCTCCATCACAGTTTTCTGAGCTCAGCTTCTGTCATCCCTGCCTTATAACTGAAATAGTCTCTGAATCGGCCCTCTACCTCCAACCTGGCCTGTGCCACCCGCAGGCCAAGGCCTTTCTCCAGCCCACACCAGATTCTGCCTCTGCTCACTCCTCTTTGCTGGGCCCACAGAGCCCTGTGTACACAGGCCTGCCTGGCCCCCAGTTCTCCAGGCAACACCCCAGCTGGTTCTTCCCAGCTCCTAGTATTGTCCACTGCCCTCCCGAGTCCGTTCACTTGGCTTGCTCCTGTCCACCCTGGAGGTCTTAGTTTAGATGTCTCTTCCTCCCCCCATTGCCCTCTCTAGGCTGGGATTTGCTCCTCTTCTCTGTGCTTTCCACTGCCCTGTGCAGTCCCAGCCTGAAACACAGCACAGCATGGCCCACTCTTAATGGCAGGGATTATCCTTCTGAATCCACAGTAACAGCCCAATTGGCAGGAAGGTTGGTGAAGCCACAACTCTGCTCCCAAAGTGAGGGGCCTTTCAGCGAAGGAGGAGGGGCCAAGGAGGCCTGGGGAAAAGCTGATTGGGGAGGCAGCTAAGTCAAGATGTGGCCAGGGTGCTGTGCCCAGGACCCCTCCTCCCTGGCCATCTGTAGTGATTGTACACAGGGAATGCCCAAGGTGGTGCTGGCAGAGGAGATGTGAGCAGAAGGTGCCAGGTCTAAAAGGGCCCAGTCTGCCTGTTGGCCTCTATCTTTTACCTCTGGGCATGGGCATTGCAGAACGTCAACACTTATGACCACAAAGATGGAGGTGATACCCTAAGGAGAGCAGAAAGATGGAGGGGGTCCCAATGGCCTGGGCCCTAGCCCTGGACTGTCTACCTTCATATAGCAATGGGCATGGCTGCTGTGCCGGCTAATGGGGCAAGCCCTGGGAGAGATTTTCCACCCTCCTGGAATGTCTTGGCTCCCCACTGTAGACCTGAGGCATCTCCTCCCCACCACCCCCACACCTGTGCTGGAGACCCCACTCCAGGCACAGTCCTAGGCCAGGAGCCCAGTCAGGAGGTTCCCAAGCTCTATGAGCTCTGTTATTTGATATTGTAACCCCCAGTCTGGATTGAGACTCCCTTAGTTCTCCCCAGCCCTGGAGGAAGGGGTTAGAGTGTGATCTCTGACTCTCTCCTGTCTGGCCCTACTGCCCTTGGTTGAGGGCTGCCATGGAAACCCATTGCCCACAAGGCTCGTCCCCTGACCCTGAGGAGGCAGTCACCTGACCCAGCCTCCTGGGATCACCTGGACCCTGAGCTGGGGGGCATGAGCTGGGGGGCGTGAGCCAGGCTCAGCCTCTAGAGTCCAAGCTCAGAGGTGCATGTTTGGCTGATCCACCAGACAGTTGGGTCCTAGCCCATCTGGCAGGACACAGGACTTACAGCCCAAGGCCTGGTTGGGGCTGGGCCATGTTTGTGGGGTGGGTCAATGTCAGCACTTTGCTCCCTGTTTCTCAACACTAAAGACCCTGTCAGCACCTTGGAAAAGAGCAGGGGATGCTGGCAGCCAAGTAAGCCTCTTGGAGCTGGAAGAGCTACATCCCCTGATAATGATGGCGGACACTGGGGCAGGCAGTTCTGCAACCTTTAACCAACACAATGACTGGGTAAAGAAAATGGCATGCCTTTATTTGATTGACAGCTTTTAAAAAAATTGCCCAAATGTATAGTCTGGTTTGAAGTTCAATCCCATTTGGAATCAGGAAGCATCTCCCCAGGCCCCAGGTGTGGCTGGCTCCTGTCTGCAGAGTGGGACTCGTTGTCCTCCTGGGTGCGGGGTTGTGGCTCCTGTTTCTGGCTGGAATAACACTCTGGCTGGCACTCTAAAGCTGGCTGTGGGTCTCCGTGGTCCAGTCTAGTGTCCACACTGAAGTGACCTTGGTGGGCACCTCTGTAGCCACACAGCCTTCTGGGTGCTGCTTACAGCACGTGGAATCAGGGTAGGTCAGGAAAACTAAGCCTCAGTGACCTCCTCAGCCTGCCCATGCAAGCTGGCCAAGGGGCAGGTGCGTGTCCAGGTGGCCATAGGGCACTTGCCCTTCATTTGACTTTACTTAGCTTGTGATGGTTCTTCCACTCTGAAGTGGAAGACTTAAGAAGGAGTTTTCTCTTTATTCTCCTTCCCAGAACCCCTTGATGCAGGCAGGGCCAGCTTTTCCCTTCCCTTTTCCTACCCAGACCTCACTTAGTAAAAATTCCATACGGAATCCAACTCACCTGTAGGGAACTAGCCCTATGTCACCTGTGGGTACCCCGAGTTTGTGGGACAAAGGAATGAGAAAAAGACAGATTAAGAGAGAAAGTGGGACCAGGGGACCATCATTTTATTACTCTGGAAGAGACAGTGAAGGCCCCGAGCTCTGATCATCCACACTATTTTGTGATTACAATCACATTGATCTACAGGGTACAGGTGGAGTGAATCAGTGAGCCAGAAGTGAATCAGTGAACCGGAGTATTCCTGGGTTTGTTCCCTTGCTCCCAGATGGCTTCTTCACATGGAAGTTCCCAAGGATTGATAACAGTGGTGGTTTGTAAGTTTCACAAAACAAGAACATGTGGTTTTATTTGGCTTATTATCTATGTACAGCTGATGGAACTCCGGCCTTACAAGGAGCCTACAAGTCTGGCTACGTCATAGTGCTACGAAGGGGTTTTACATCCTTGAGCACAATGTTTATGTTAACGCAGCCTAGGTTACCCTGCACCAGAACGTGAGGTATGGAGAGGCCTTCCTCCTCAGAGGCCTCCTGCAGTTTGTTGTTCCTTGTTTATGTGTTACTCGTAACCATTTTATGTAGGCACTCTGTAAGTCCTTTCTCTTTTGCTGCTTTTCCCAGCACTCACCAAGCCTGGCCCTCAGCAGACTCCTAGAGATATTTCAGAAAGGTCAATCCTCTTCTTTCAGAATCAAAGCCTAGGTTGCTACCTCCTGGAATTGCAGCAAATGCCTTGCTACACACAGAACCAGAAGCTGATGATTATCTGCACCGCCTTTTTCACTCTTTCTAGAACAAACCAGAAGCTTCCATATCAACCTAGCCATAATGTCAGGCCACCTCTCTCTCCGGCTGTATTCCTGGGTTTGTTCTCTTGCTCCCAGATGGCTTCTTCACATGGAAGCTGGCTGGTCCACCATATGGTGAATGTTACCCAAAGTCCATGAAGACATCAAAGCCCTCTCCCACACCGAAACCACCTGTTCCTTGCTCTTACGTATGGATTCAGAGCCCTGCCACCAGTTCCTCTGTACTGCCAAACTCTTCAGCCAGGGGCAGCATTTTAGTCCCCTTCCTGTTCCCAGCCCAGTCTCCTGGGAAGCAATTCTTGCCCTCTCTGTTACTCCATTCTGCTAGTAGGGTACCCAAGTCCCCACTGTCATTCCTCTGCCTTCCCCACTGTCAGGGGCCAAAGTGCCACAGGCAGGTTTCTGCATTGGTGACTGTTTTGAGCTAATTCTTAGTTTCCATCCCCCACAACTTCACCGGCTCTAATTTCCTAAGCCTGTGTATCCCCAGAAACCTGAACAGCCTTAGCTGTTAACGCATTAACTAGGATATTTTGCATCTCAGAAAACGTAATTCCTGATCCTTACAAACACAGCATTTCTGAAGACTTTCGCAGTCAGACACCTTAGCTTGGATTCCATTAGCCCCACCCAGGGGAACCTGTGAACCAGACCATAAGGAGGTAAGATGGGTCCCCACGGGTCCCTCCTTTGAAAGCCTTTGTGTAGGCATTTCTGCTGGGAAAACTCCTTCCTGCATCACACACTGAGGTTTACATAAGGCCCTCCACCAGGTCTTCTCTGACCTATGGGAGTCCTGTGGCTCTGGGGAGTCTGAATGACCAGTACGTGGACCGAACCCTGTCACTGCCTCCACCCATCTGCAGCTCTCCACCCCAGCTTCCAACTAGGATAGGGGCCTCACTTTCAATGGGGCCCAGCTGTGCTGCTTGACTCCTCTGGTTTTGGCCCCCATCCAGCCCCTCTGACTTCTTGCAGCTTGTGAATCCACATACAATATTTAGGACAAACAAGATTTCAGGTAACCTTCAGGAGACTCCAGAAAATCCAAAGTGAAGAAGAGCCTGAAGACCCACGAACTCACCTAGAGGAGAGGCCCTTCCCACCCATCGGCGTTTCTGGTTGGTCAGAGGCAAATGTTTTGTGATCACTTTTGAGATTTCTCGAATCTCTGGAATATCCTTATGCGATCCCTTTCTCTGTTCTTAGCTGAGATGCATTTAAGTGGCACAGGGAGATAGCAAAAAAGCAGGAGCCAGAGCTCCCATCCGCAGCCGCTGTCGAGGGGCAGGGAGAGGAACCTCAGAAGGGTGGGTAGGTGGCGGCAGCTGTGAACAGAAGAGGAAGCTGTGATGCCAGGGTAGACAAGCCCCCAAAATTGGGGCTTATCCCAGGAAGTTTCTTGAGTTCACCCAGGAAAGAATTCGAGGGTGAGCCAGTGGTAGAAGAAGAGAGCTTCATTAGGCAGTTTCAGTTCAATGACTGTCCCGTCCCTGCAGATCAGGGCTACCCTGTAGGCAGCATGTCAAGAGTAGAAGCTCAGGGACACTTCTGCAGTCATCTTGACCCCACTTTTAATCACATTCAAGGAGCAGGTAGATTATGCAGAAATTTCTGGAAAAGGGGCGATAACTTCTGGGCATTGCCATGGCAGTGGTAAACTGTCATGGTGTTGGTGGGCATGTCTGATGGAGGGAGAGGTGCTTTCGGTGCCTCTTCTGTGTCAGCCAGTCTTCAGTCTGGTCTGGAGTTGAGTCCTGCCTCCTACCTGAGCTGGCCCGGGATCCCAAGGCACAAGCAAGAAAGGGATCATGGGGAATGGACCCAACATCAGAAAGGAGGACAGGGCCTACCTGGCAGGAGCCCTGTCACTCAGGGAGACAGGGGACAAAGAGTGAGAAGTGAGTGGGATAGGGATCTGGGGTGACATGGGGGCAGGTTTGGAGGATGGCTGGTCCATGCAGAGGAAACCCCAATAGGGCACCTTGCTCAGAACTAGAGATGCTTACCAATTCCGAGCCTGATGGGCAAGGGTGAAGCGTCCAAAGTCATGGCTCATTCTCCATTTCCTGGATCTAGACACCGAGTCCAAGAGGTTCCTTGAGCCTCAAATTTGAATGTTCTTTGGGGATGCTATGGGAAAAGGATGGAACTTCCATTAGTGATGTGGGCCCCAGCTAAGGCTGGGCAGGCAAAGAAGACACAGAGGTGCATGAAGGGCAACCTGCTATCCTCTGCTCTTTCTCTCCTTTGTGAAATTCTGCTCAGCATTGCCCAGCAGATACATTTGCACGGGAAGGACTCCAGCCCCAAATATGCCCTCTCAGACCAGTGTCAGTTTGGGGTTCCTCTTTCCCAAGCCCATAAATTTTCTCTCTTAAAGAGAAACGATTCAAACTCTCTAGCAAGTATAGAAAAGGGGTAGGCACTTAGATGTCTTAGAAGAAAGATACGGGTATTATCAGCTCATTCCATGGTGAAATTCTGAAGATCTTCCCCGAAGATCCCTCCCCAGTCCTGGCTCCATTTTCCATTATTTCCTGAACTCTGAGGTGGGGGAAACCTGTGGCCTGGCCGGTAGAGGGGGATCTCAAGGTGGCCTCTTTTCCTTTAACTCCTCATTGTGTTGGGAGCTCTGCTGTGGCAGTGATGATGCAGTTAGGAGAGACGATGGGGCTGGGACTCTCGTGCTAAAGCTGGAAAGGGGTCAGGGTAAGCCTCCATCCAAAATCCCCAAAATGCTCGGGGGCACGGGCAAACAGGTGAAACAGCCCTGCCTAGGCACAGCACCACACTTTCCACGCCAGCCGGAGGCCTGGGACCACGCCTCTCCCTCCCCAGCCCTCAGAGCCCCTCGGCACTGTCTGGCCCTCAAGAGCATGCCTGTACCTGGGTAGGGGAGCAGGACTACACATTCTTGGTCCTTCTTCTCCCTGCCTGTGGGGTTCAGGCTCAAATGAAACTGGAGTTGCATCCCACTTCACAGACTGCTTAGCATACCATCTGTTAGGGGCAAGCAGCGGCAGGCCCAGGCCCAGGACAGATTATCTACCAGGGCCCAGCAGGCCCTCTCCTCACCGAGCAGCTCCCCTACAGGGAATCCTAGGATGAGAGACAAGGAGGTTTGCTAGGACCCCACCCCACATGAGACTTGGTGCCTTTCCATGTGCTGTCATCCAGCCACTCATCCATTCAACACATACTCCTTAGGCACTGTTGATGTGAGCCCTGTTCTGGAAGCTGCGGGGCACAGCACAGTTGAGAATGACCACGAATCTGCCTGCTGAAGCTTCCCTTCGAAGGAAGCAAGAGAGATACCAACAAAGAGAAGAAATGGATGAGATAAATCCCGGCAATGATAAGTGCTGTGAAGAAAACACGGGTACCACTGTGACAGAGCAGACTTGGGGGTGGGCCCAGGAGCCACAGGCACTCAGAGACGACCTTTTCAAGGGGGACGTCTAAGCGGAGCGGAGGCACGAAGACGAGCCAGTAGTGCACAGAAGAAAAAGTGTTTCAGGAGCAGCCAGATGGTTTCTATTCTGGGAGTAAGTCTATACCTCCTGCCGTTGCAGGAGCGTAAGATCACACAGGGAGAAAGGGAGAGAGGCCCAGGGGAGGAGGAATGGAGGGTGGAGCAGAGGCCTCCTCCCAAGGGAGAAGCAGCTGGCTGTCCTGGCCTCCTGAGATGCCTCTCTGGGCAGTGTCTGCCTGGCCTGTCTCTGATAGGGTTCCTGCCCTCATCCTCTCACCCGGAACCGCCCCTGCTGCCTTTCCATCAAACTAGTATCACAAGAGAAGCATAACAGTATAAACCAAGCCCTGGCTAAAATCACATCTGAGTTCCTCTCCCCCACTTCCCACTCTGTTCTGTCCCCTCCTAAACTGTAAGACAATGCTAAGGATAATCTAGGAATCCCTCGTTGTTTAGTTCAATCCCACAGGTCTTTATCGACCACCTGGAATGTGCCATTTCCAGGCATGCCAGAGCCTGGCCATGGACCCCAGCTCCAGGCCCTGGAGGGAGTATCCTACCTTCCCTCCTCAGTTCTGTCCCCTGAGCTGAGCTGGCAGGGATGATGATGGATTCCATGTCTCCATGGTCTCATATGCAAAGCAGTGACTCCAAAGCTCTCATCCTGTCCAATGTAGATGAGAGGTCTGACTTAGGAAGCCTCTTGGATCTGTCCCCTACAGTGTCCAAGCCTACACCCTTCCTGAGCAGACTTTCCTCTTCTTGGTTCCCTCAACCCCCACCCTGGGGTGCCTGAGCCTTCTCTACATTCCCTTGGTCCCTTGAGGGCTCTAAGTGCCCAGTCTAACCCCTTCATCACCTGGGGGTCTCATCGCTTACATCCAGAGATGCCTGCCATCACCCTGTCATCTGCTGTGAGAGCAAATGTCATTGCTGTCTCCAGCAGGTACCAGGCTTATTCAGTACCCGTTAATATTGAACCGTCAGCCACCATTACATACGCAGGCAGGTAGCATGTAGGCCAGCTTCCCCGAGTGCCCCCACAAGCCTTCATTTATCCCTCAAGTCAGGAAGGGCAGGGCAGAAGGAGTTTATCATCTTGCTAGACAGAAAAAGATGCCGAAGGAACTCTTTGAAAGTAAAACAGAGTGACGCCTAAATAGAGCATGATAAAAGCTAAATGAATACGGGCTGCGGAAAATGCTCTATGTTGCCAGAGGACTGGGGTGACAGAGGGCTGGAGTGAACGAAGGGGGCTTCGTGGAGGGTGAGGGCTTCATCCAGGCCTTAAAGAGCAGACAGAGAATGAGAAGGAAGAATGGGAAGTCACAGAGTCCTAGATTCCAAAAACAAAAAATGTCACAGCACTCTTTAACGATGCCGATGCCTCAGATCCATAGCACCTGGAGAGGGAACAGTCACAAGACAAGCAGGGCTCCCCTCCTGCAGTCCTGCCCGAACAGCCTTCACCTCTCCTTGGACCGTTCACACCAGCTGAGAGCTGCTGGGACTAAGGAAGCAGGTGGGGAAAGGCTCTGGCTGCAGGAGCTCAGGTCACTGGATTTGGGGGCAGGCAGAGGGAGGGAGGGAGGCTAATTTCCAGATAAGTGGCTTTACCACCTGCCTGGGAATGGGCTGCCATGGACTGTGTGGTTGAGGCAGGCAGGACAGACAGCAGGTAGGCAGGGGAGGGGAGGGCAGCAGCTGGAGCCACAGCCAGAGACAAGCCCCCCAGAGTAGGCCCGAGGCAGCCTGCAGAGCTACAAAGAATGGCTGCAGAAGAGAGGTCCCGACTGCATTGCTGAGCCTTTGCTCACCAGTGGCCCAGAAGTGTGGCATAATCTCCCAGGCACCTTTCCCTGCTGTTCCCCAGGCCCAATGCCCACCCACAGCCTCCCTGAACTGGCCTGCACCACCATGGAGGTCTGCACGACCTCACATCTCTCCCTCTCTTCACATCATGGGAGTCTTCCCAGGCGGCTCCTCTCAGCCTCCCCCTAGCCCTCTTCTCAGCCCCTTTATTCACTTGCTCTTGAATTCCATGATCTCCAGCTCCAAATCAATCCGTACTGAGCAGCCGTCGCTGCCACCCTCTCCATAGGCCCGAGGCTGTTTCAGGCTAAACCACGGCTCCATTCTATCCCTCCCACTCCAGGCCTGGAGGTGTGCATTTCAGCACCAGTGCTTTCATCCCAGGCTCCTGCGCATCCCCAGTTCCAGTGCAGACTGCAAGACGCAGCAGGACTCTGAGACCAAACGCAAAGGCTGGATGAACAGCTCTAAGCTGCTGGGAGTAAAGCGCAAATCAGGGCAGTTTTTCAACCAAAATAGGAAAAAAAAACAAAAACAAATCAGCATCAAGCTGCACAAGATTCTGATGGGCACCAACCCTGTGATAGTCAGTGATCAGGAAGCCGTGGAAAGGGATTTGAAGAAAGTGGAACAACGACAAAAGTGACCCGCCGAATCTGACAACTGACAGGCCTGGGGAGGGGTAGAAAAGCAAAGTGTAGAACAGTTTCTCCGCAAGCACCCTCGAACTGGAAAAACAAGGGCTGGCGTGGAGTGATTGGTGCGGCATCTCCACGGAGGCGGGCAGGAGAGGTTGGGCGATAGCCCTGCTCAGTGGTGAGTGGCCACGACCTAGCAGAAACTCTGCAGTAAGACAGAGAATAGGAGGCTGCCAGGGTCTGGTTAAGCACACAGTTCTACTGTACACAGAAAGCAAACCGCTAAGGCAAAGCTGTGTCTTCCTTAATCCCAACTTCCCATCTTCCTAACTGCCCTGAAATATCCCCAAAGCTTCTTAGAGGGCTGTCCCTGCAGACACACCACTTGTGTGGATGATGACGAGAGCAGTGACTCCTCCCTGAGTGAGGCCACTCCCGCCCTCGGGAGGAAACGCCCTTCTCTTGGCTCCGACTACCAACTCTCTTATCTGGACGAGACACCTAGGCACGGCTCTTCTTTAAGACACCTGGCAGCTCCCTCAAATACAGAGTTTCCAAATCCACAGAGAGGGGAGAGGAAGTGGGCTCATTCTCCAAAGTGACAGGCCCTGGAGTAGGAGGGCTCCGTGGTGGGGCATGGAGGCTCCCGATGCCCATGTGATGATATTGAATGCTCTGGTGGCAGAGGGGGCCCCAAATATACCCCCCTAAAGCACCTAATTTCAGGAGGAGGAACGATGATGAAATATGGTCACTGGTAAGGGGAAAAATCAAAAGGAGCTGTTTAAAGAGCAAAACCTCCACAGGAAGGCTTGGAGAATATTTGAAAAGAAAAAAAGAAGAAAGCTGTGTCCTGTATAACAAAAAGACGAGGCCCATGACCGGCTGTCACAGGCAGCTAAATGTAGAGCCTTAGGGGCCGTTGTGAGCAGGAGCCTGCTGGGAGGGAGGGCCGGAGAGGGGGCCTCAGCTCCCCACCTGTACCTGAGGGGCTTCTCACAGACTCAGAAGCAGGCACTAGAGAATGTTCAGGGCTACAGAAGGGTTCCATCGGCCCAGAATGAGGGTGGGTGCGCAGAACCCCAGAAACACATATTTTGCAAACGAATGGCAGACATCCATCCAGTCTGCCGATGACGCACAGAGGTGGGGGAGAAGGACTGTTGACCACCCTGTCCAAACCAGCCCTCTCACATCCAGAGCCTGGCCACCCCGAGTAGACACTCTAGCCAGGAGTGATGCCTCTACCCTTCTCACCAGAACTTGGGCAAAGCCCTGGTCACAGATGATGTACACCCAAGTGCTTCGAGCACAAGAAACTTCTTTGCCCACCATACGTACTGTGATTATTGTTAGTGTGACAATATCACGGAACACTCAAATTCCTTTTTCCAGTCCAGACGTGCAATGTATCAGCAGCGTTTGCCCCCAATCCCCCAGTAGGGCTGTTTTGAATCTGCTGTATATCATTGGACATATTATAAAAAGGTAACCCCTCTGGGCGGAACCTAGGGCAGCTGGACCCTGCTCAGCCTGCTGCCTGGGGCTGGGTCTCTGCCCCTCAGATGAGCCCCCGAGTGCAGGGTACAACTTGCAGAGCTGCAGGTGGAGAGCAGAGGCTTCAAGAAGGGAAATGGCCTCTTGTGTTTATGGTGTGGTTGATCATCTGAATGGAGGACAGGGGACCAGGACAAAGGTCCCTTCCCCTGAGCAGGGGACAAGAAGGCTTACCACTACTTTGACAGTTGCCATTTCTGGCTGGACCAACATCTACTAGAGGTGACTGCAGAAGCAACTGGCCTTAAAGCCCAGTGGAATTGCTTCACGTTAGTCTTTTTGGTTTTAAGTCAACTTTTGACGGAAATTGAATAAACACAGGGAAAAATACACACACGTGTCATATTTCCAGGCCAGTGCATTCCAATGACTGCATGGACCCATGTGACCAGCATCGAGGTCAGCAACCAGCCCCCCTCCCTGGACCTTCCTGTGACCTCCCTCGACAAATGTAATCCCTGTCCTGAATTCTAACCCCACGGCTTACGTTTGCCTGTGTTTTGAACCTTACACAAATGATTGCTAATAATATTTAGCCATTTTATGTGTGACAGTTATGTTTGGAAGCTGCATCTTGCTGTTGTATTCCATTATAGAAATACACAATTTATTTATCCATTACACTGTTAACTGGCATTCGGGTAGTTTGACTTTTCAATGGACTTTTTTTTTCTGATTACAAAGATAATCATATAGTCATTGCAAAAAAACAGAACTTCCCATTTTCCAATCTCATGGAAAGGTTCCAGGGTCCCTCTGGGTTCTCGACATCCAGGCTTCCCTTCCTTCCTTCACCGCTGAGCTCCTCTCACCAGCATCCACCTCATTGGGCCTTTGTCCGTACAGCTCAGCTCAGCCTCCTTATCAGCCCCGAACCAGGGCAGTGTCTGCTCTGCCTTTCCACCCCAGCTCCACAGGCGCTCAGGCTGCAGGAAAGCTGATCCCGCACAGCCACTGTGCCGGGAACCTCTGCCTCCCTCCCTCCTCAGCTGGGCCTCAGGGCCTGCCCTTCCACTTGGCTTTGATCAGCTGCCTCACCTCTTGCAATCTCCTCTGGGCTTTTTGCAACTGTTAGCCAGAAACTCAGAAAATATTCTCAGCAGCTATTTCACTGAGGAAAGGAGGGCTCAGAGCCTAGCGGCCTTCGTCTGCCTCCCAACCCTCCCACATGCCCATTGACAGGACCTCTTCTTTCCCAAGGTCTGACTCAGGACCCTTCTCCCCAACCTCTCCAAGACTTGACCCCTGCAGTCTTCTCCCTCTATCCAGAAATCCCAGCCCCTCCCGTCTCTAGGGCATCTTCTCCTCAGGCTGCCAGTGGCCCACTCCTTCCTTCCCTCCTGGGGCCACCAGTGCGCCCTCCCCTCACCCCACAGCAGCAGTTGGAGCTGAGCTCCCCAACAGCCTTACTAAATCCACAGGACACTGCTCAGGCCTCCAGCACATAATCTCTAGGTGGCGTTTGACATTGTCACCCAGGCTCTCTGTTGAGACGCGTCCCTTGACTTCCTGGAGTGCAGTTTTTCCTAATTGCTCTCTGTACACCGGACCCCACCCTCTTTCCCCCGCTTTTTTTTTTCTTTAACCAGTTCCCAGTTCCTTCACCTGCCTCTTAATGACAACTTTCTCCAACGTTCTGGGTTAATCTCTTTCTTTCTGGGGCTTCTCTGTCAAGACAGAATGTGGAAAACTCACACCTGTCCCATCCCTGGTCCCACCCTTCTGCCAGAATTCAGGCCTCCTATCTAACCACTCTACCTGGAGGTCCCAGAAGAGCCTCAGAATCTCAGCAAGTTTCCTTTTGAATCAAAGCATATTAGAGTTTTTGCATTTAGGAAATAAGCCAACAAGTGTTTTTCGCAATACAAGCCACACACATTGTGTAGAGCGCAGCAAAACCTTGGCAGGTGGGCTGCAGAGCAAACAGTCTGTCCTTCCTGAGCCTCCAGGCTGCCAATCATCCTAGGTAGGGTGTGTGCTTCTCTGTCAGGGAGCCAGCAGGAGCCAAGACCCTACCAAGCCAGGTATTTTGGATGGAGCTCAGTGATCTATCATGACAAAATTTGGGCCTGCGGCAGTGAATAGAAGACAGCCTAAAAGAGCAAAGGGTGCGCAAGGTGGGTAAAGAAGGCTTCATATCCAACGATCAGACTCAGAAAGGGCAGCTGGGCCATGCCCCCCAGTGGGAGAGACCTGGAGAGATGTCCCTCGACTTCATTTTCCTGGTGCAGCCAGTGCCTCTGCAATGCACATGCAAATGCAAGACATCGGGCACGAGGATCTCACTGGGAACAGACCCTGGAGAAGAACGTGAGAAAGAGCAGAGACAGTGGGACTATATCAGCACCATTCAAGACATCCGAGACAGACTGAGGATCTTCATGGACATTGCACTAGAGACCAGAGAGTAAACTGAAAGGAACCAGTGACACTCCTGGAGTCTTCGTCCCCTCCCCTGTGGACCCTCCTTTGGTATTGTCTGGACAAATTGCCAATGAAGCCCTCACTTGAGAGGGTCTATGTGTTTGTACCAACCTAGGGAAGGCTAAGGCAAGGCAGGCGTGGGCAGGGTGCAGCGAGCCCAGCTTCCTCCCCCTCGATGCCATCCCTAAAGTGTCAGAAAAGTATCTCCTAGCTAAATGGGAAAGCCAGTAGGGGGCTGGGGTAAAGATGAAACAGGCAAGTCCCTGGGGGCTGGGTTTTTAAGGAGGAAGAAATCTGACACAGAAAGATGCAGTTTCAAAAACTAAGGATAAGAGAAATGGTTTATCGAAAGCAAAACCCTGAAGCAGGGCTGAGCATGTGTGATTCCGAGTGCAGAACCGTTACCAGCGGGTTGGTCACGGGAGGACTGCTGGAACCTGTCTTATTGAACGCTATTTCTAGTGGGGAAATGGGCTGCACCAAAGACAAATGGCAACTGTGGGTGGTTAGATTTCCAGCCACAGGGAAGGAGGCTGCAGGAGGCCCAGCCCAGGGTTCAGGGAAGTGGACAGAGTGGACAAGCATAAGGTGTGGCCTTGAGATGAAGAGGAGGATCTGGACGCTTGTGAGAACAGGAGAACACAACAGAAGGGTGGGGCCACCAACTGAAAGCAAAATAGAGCCTCATCTCATACTTCACACAAGCAAGGCGCTTCTGCACAGGACATCTGCTCACTGTGTCGTCGGTGAAGCAAGATGCTATGGGGCTTTTTCTAGTCCAGAGAAGGTGCCGGGAGCTGGGGGTGTGGAGAATGGGGGTGTTCCAGAAAGAAGAGGGCTGGGCTGAGTGGTGTGTAGCCTCTACCCTGTCTTTTAAGGATATGTCAGCAGGGATTATGAATCAGCCTACGAATCCTACAGTATCATGGCTAAGGCTGATACTGGGCTGCAAGAACCCATTGAATAAAGCAGGTAAGCTCTTCGCTCTGGAGAGTTTTCTATGCTAAAAATAAATTTGAAGTAGGGCATAGATCCACTCAGAGAGAGCCCTATAAGGGTAATGGAGGGAGCAATGGGACCCCGCTGGGGACTCAGCAGCAGAGGGGCATCGTCCTGCAGCTGACCTGTGACTGTCCTCAGTGGCGCTGCCCTGGCAGAAGCTCTAGCTGTGGCCTTTCTCACGTTCCAGGCCACACAGTGTGCACAGCATTGCTAGCTGCGGGCTCTTCCTGTGTGCAGTGAATGAAAGCCAGGTGAAGAGGCTTGGTTTGTAAGACACCAGAATGGTTTCCAAGCAACCATGAGCCTACTGGTTCCCACAGAAAGCAGTGTGCACTCGTGAGCTGAGCCCAAGGCTCCAGCCCAGGATGGGGTGGCGGGGAGGCGTGGCCAGGCAAGAAGTCACTCCACACTTCCAGTTCATGGCCCAGGCTCCAGGCAAAACGCCCCTCCCCCCCCCCCACACAACCCTGGAGAAACCACTGTCTGTGAGGCCCTTCTGAGAACCCTAACTGCTCAGACCCCCAGCATCTGCACAGTGGGGAGGTGGGGAGGAGAAAGGAAGGAAGCCCACTCTCCACAACGGTGTCCCTTCCTTCTCCCCAAAGGAGGCCCTCGGAGTTTAACTGAAGGTGAGGTGAGCACACATCCACATCCCCGCTCCAACCCTGGAAGCGAAGGCACTGCCAGGACTTTCTGCTTTCTGCTCTTCCACCCTGGACCCTCTTCTAAGCAGCTTTGCCCTTTCCCCCCTGTAAGCCTGTAATTATCCCCTACAATGACCTACTACAGCTGCTCCTCGGGGCCACCTGCAGACTGGAAGAGTAGATCTTCCTTCCAGTATCCCCGTTCCTTCCAGTGTCCTCTTTTCCCATCGCTCTCTCTTTCTCTCCCGCACCTCACTTCCTGCTCGCCTTCTCTCCCCTTCCGTTCTGGGAGAAGAAAGGGCAACACTCCATCACCTTCTGGCTGGCTGACGGGACATCACCAAGCCTTGAGGCCATCTCGAGGAAAATGTTTCCATCAATGACTTTCTACACAAATGGCTCCTGCCTCCAGCCATTCCAGAAAGAACATTCCAGACTCAGAGCAGCCTGCCTGCCCTTGCAAGCAGAAATCTTCTCAACTGGCAGGGAAGCCAAAGGCTCCACATCATCCACAGCTCCATTTGGAATCTAAAAAGCAGAACTTGATAGCAGCTATCACACTGATGGGCATGAGTACTTGGGGGATCTGCCCCACCCACTCCTCAAGGGACAGGGAATGAAGACCAGAATAGCCAAGCCAAGTGACGGAGACCAGGACACTCAAGTCAAATGACGAGGTTGGTGGTAGAGGGAACGGGACTGGTAAAAAAGCAGGTAATGCCAGAAAAAGGAGCTCAATCTGAAAAGTCAATGTGGGAGAGGGCCAGTGTGTCCAGGTGGAAGGAAAGGCAGCCTCCCTGAGAGCCACAGTATGAGCCAAGGCCATCATGTCATCACCACACACCTCCACCCAGGCTCTTCTGCACCACTGACCCCACCACTGGCGCCACCACTGGCCCCTGGACCTCTTCCTTCCCATGCTTCAGAGTGGCCCAACGGCAGGAAGAAGCCATCAGAGGGACAGCTGCCGTCTAATGGGATCCCTGAGACTTGGTGGAACCAGATGTGTCTGTGGTTGCCTTGCAGTAGCCGTGACTTCCATGGGATCACATTTCCCGCTGTGTATGACTGTCCTCCAGCCCTGCCACTGTGTGCATCTACCCCTTCCCTCAGGAATGTCCTGGGGCTTCTGCTCCTGTGCTGGCCACGCCTCGCTCCTCATGGAGCCCTGTATCTTAGCACTGTATCTCCTCAGTCCATTCCTCTTTAGCCTTCTTGTTTCTCGGCACTTTCATTCAGTGGGCGAGGACCAAAATCCAGAGCTAGTCACAGAGAGTGCCACAGCCCTGGGGAAGGAGCCTCGTGCTATCTGATGACAGAGGTGCCCTGCTCCTTGCCCTGCCCTTCCTTTTGGCCTGGTAGCAGCCTATGAGCCCCAGGGGGCTTGGGAAGGCAGCCCACATTGCAGGAGGAAGCGGAGGACACTGGCTTCCTGGTGTCTCTTCCCCTCATCCAAAATCCACCCTTCCCTTAGGGTGGCTCCTCTTCCAAATCTTCTAAAACAGCAAGGCTCCTTTCTTTAGCATCTCCCTCAGGTAAGGCCTCCAGGCCTGTGGTTCACTGGCATCTACTGGCATCTACCCCGTCCTAATGGTGCCTCCTCTTCCCTTGGAGCCCTCTCATGCCACGTGACTGTCTTCCCATCTGTCTATCAAAACCTGCTGTACTTCCACATTCATGTCCCCACAAGAGCTTATTAGAAGCATGCCTGCACACAGTAGATGCTCAATAAATATTTGTTGAATGAATGAATGGAGATCTCCAGTCTCAGACTCACTAATTTCGTCTCTGCCCCAGTGCTGCTCAGCCTAAATGACATTGACAACCCCCAAGGAGGCTTGTCACTCATCTCCACTTCTGCAGCCCGCCCCCACAGCCAAACCCTGATCCCAGTGTCACCTACGCAGCACCTCGGCTTCCTGCCACTCCCTTCTCCAGCCAACGTGAAGCTCTTCAGTTCCACATCACCTTCTTTCTCTAGTCAACCTGTTTAAAACCCTTGGTTTCCTTTTCTTTATGCTGGGCTTGCCTTGGTGCTCTCCAACCTCAGAACCATGGGACCTTTCATTTTCTCAAGACTTGCACTTTAGCTCTGCTAAGAGAAAAATGGATAACCACCAGTCTTCCATCACAAATGTATGATTCTCAGCTCAGCTGGGCGGGGCCCTCTCTGCTGCTGCCTAGCAGTCAGTTTTGCTAACTCCTGCTGGCCCTTCTCCCCCGAGTTCCCGGAGTTTATCATTGCCCTCAAACCCTTGTCCCTCTCAGTTGACAACATCCACTCTTAGTTCACTGATAAACCCCTCGGCCATCAGTTGTGAACTCCCCCCGTCCCCATCCTGCCACTGGCCCTCCTACCTCACGTCTCCTGTTACCTCCAATGTACTCCTCGCCCTTCTGTAGGGTTATGCCTCTGCCTGGGCTTTGGACGTGCCAGCCTTTCTGCTCACCCAGGCTGGCCCTCCAGCCAAGTATCCCTCTCCCCAGATTTCTGTTAAGTTCCCTCTGCCTTCACCTCCCTCCCCTTAGCCTGCCTCTCATTAGATTTAAACCCTCCCTCCAGTACCCCGCTTGCTTAAGCTCGCATCCTCTTTCAAAACTGCCAGAAACCTCTGAAGGATGTTCGCAGCCTGTGGAAGGCCTGTCACCCTTCCTGTTCATTTCATCTGGTGTCATTGGTCTCTTTTCGCCCCAGCTCATGGGTCTCATCCCCCTAGAGACTCAGCCCCCTCTTTGTTGCCACATCCTACAACCTTTCCTTTTTCTTTTTATTACAGAGGAAATACATTCTTATCTCAGCAACACTAAAGAGACAGTCGAAAGCATGAATCCCTCTCACCCTGCCCCGAACAGTGTTCAGGGTGGAGCCAGTGTTCTCCCAGACTTTACGACACACAAACATAATGTAGTTTTATGCGCACACGCAGAAGTGGGTCTCAAAAACATAAATGAGATCCCAGTACACGTATTATTCTGCAGCTCGCATCATGATTTTAAGCCATGCACTAACCTGGTTCCACATCAGATCAGTACGCACGCCTGGCCACACTCTGTGAGGCTGCACTGCACCCCATTCTGTTGATGTGCCATGAGTTGAAAGATTCCCCAATTCGCAGTCACTCAGGTTGCTTCCCATTTTTTTAAGAAACGCTGCCAGGCTGCCACAACTGTCCCTGCATGCTTATCCTCACGGAGTTCTGTATTATTTCTGTTGGGGAGAATCTCGAAAGCGGCTCTCCTTTTTATTTCTATTTGATTTTGTTAGATGGCCCTACAGAAAGGCTGCACCGGTTGAAACCCTCAGTTCCCTTTCTTTGTGCTGTGCTGGGTGTGCACGTTATCTCAGCCCTCGAGGGTGCCTCTGCCCACTCCTGGGCTGGCACCCAATAACAGTTCCCTTGTGGCATCTGCAGCCACAGCCCTGCCTGCCCCTTCCAAATCTGCCCCCGGCCCCCCATGGCACAGACATTTCTCATTAAGTGACTCCTTTGGTTTTCTTCTCCAGCCTCCTCTCACTCCCGCTCCCCCTGACACTAGGCGGTCTTCCTCTGCCCGCCCTTCACTGTTGTTCTCCACCTCCACCGTCCTCTTTATGCCCCTGGCTGTCAGATGGATCTCCTCCTCCCTTCTCCTCACCTGTCTTGTCTCCCTGGGCCACCCTGAATGTGGTCAAGTAATAGGACAGCCAAGTAATTCAAGCAAATTGCCCAATGAACAAGGGCTACATAGGTGAATGTGTGTAAGAGGAGGGAACTCACATTGTCCCTGGCATTCATGCATTCTACAAATATTTATTGAGTATCTATTAAGTGCCAAAGGCAGGGAAAGATGTTCAGCTGAATTGCGTGAGGTCTGTCTTGGAGGCGAGAGAGAGATTAATCAAACAATCACCCAAATCAATGTTGGGTTTCAAGTCGTGCTGGGTGCTATGAGGGAGTGATTCACAGACACGTCCCTGGCAGTGGCCTTGCCTGAAGGGGCAGGGAATATGTTATCCAGGGACTGGCATTGGAACTGCGATCTGAACAGAAGGCGGGGTTTGACCAGATGAAGCAGGGAGGAGGAGCTCTCCATGTGCTGCCGCAGGCCTGGGCCTCAGGGCAGTGAGGCACTTCACAGAGGCCTGGGAAGCCTGGGGGAGGATGGCAGGCAGTGGGGGAGAGGAACGTGGGTTTGTGAGACGGCTGCTCTTGGCCCTGCCTGCATTTCTAGCCAATCTAGAAATAAAACAGGAAATCACTTGCTCCCCACGCTGGCCCTTCTGAGACCAGGAGACCTTGGGTTCGGCATTCACTGATGGGGAAGAAGCAGGATGCAGAGGCCTTCACCCTGCCTCTTGCTGATAACCGTGGTTAAATCCCTACACTCTGTCTTGCAGATGCCATGCTTCCCCTCGGCTGGATGATCAAAAGCCTCCTACCAGTCACTGGAGAGTGAAAGTCACCCTCTGGGCCACAGCAAGCAGGACAGGCGAGGGTCAGGACCATTTGGCTTTTGACCAATCCACTCTTGCGTCACCAAGCCTGCCCCTGGCTTCCAGAGGCATGCCCTCCCTTTCTGGGAATGTGTGCCAGCTTTCTTGCTGGATGTGTAGGGAAGGATTCGATTTTTCATTCACTTAGTGTGCTCCATTCTTGGAGTGTGGATACTTCTCAATAGAGGTTAAGGAATGTTGATCCCTGTGGATAAAAGAGAGCCACTTAACTTGGCCATCAGCCACTGGTCCTATCATACAACTTAAGTCTCTCCAAATGCTGGAAAGAAACCTCCCCTGGCTGCCCGGAGGTTTCCATAGCCGTCATTCTAAGTGGCAGGACATGCGACAGAGTCTGGAGCCCCATCCCAGCTACGCTTCAGCCTTTCAGCCAAGAACCACTCACTCTTCCCAGAGAGACCAAATTGCCCTCCAGCCAAGAAACCCCTTTCTTTCCTCCCTAGGAAAGAAGTTCTGTCCTCTATCCCCAAGGAGACTATATATCCCTCACCACCTCCACTGAAGTTCCTACTGCGTTAGGTGGTCCTTCTCCTCTTCCCAGCACCTGCCCAAGTCTTGTGTTTAGATACTCAAGCCTTACTCAGCTTATCTTGAAATGTAAAGACCCACATACCTCCCTGGCCATCTCATACCCTTGTTGAAAGCCAGAGGCTCATGGACTTAAAAGTTCTTAAACATTGAAGCCAGCTAGCTTCCACCCCCATGCCACAGCACCCTGCACACATTAGTGAGCCCACTGTGACTCTGCTGAGTCTACCCTCCTGCCCATCCACACTGATCATCAACCACTAAGCCTTGCCTGCGGGAATCCGAGGCACTCACTAGGTCTCTGACTCAAGCTAGAGTGAAGAGGGGGTTCTTTGGGAGTGAAGTACCTATTTGGGTTACTGCCCCTTCTTTCTGGATTTTGGCTCTGAAAGTGTGGAATTCGAGAGAGCCCAGAGATGATAACTTCTCAAACTGAGAAGCCTCCATATAGTTCCATTTCATTCCAAAGACCTCGATCAGGAGGAAAATGACTGTTGCAATAACACAGCACTGAGAGATTCAGAGAGAATTAAGACAGGCCCTTTAGGAGATCAAAGCCTTCAGAAATTGAACACTCAGGTTAATTCATGGAGAAAATGACATGTGGGTAATTTCAGGAATCTTTTCACCTGGGCAGACACGTGACTCCCCCAGCGCTCTCCCACCTGTTGCTTCTGATTCTAACCAGAGGCATTGTCTGAGCCCAGGCTGGGTTCTAGCCCCGGGTCAAATAGGCTACAGTCCCAATGAAGATGGTACTCAGCGACCTTGGTTCACCAGCAGAACTTGGCAAAACCTCTGGTGCCACAAAGAGGGAGCAGCCCCTCGAGGTCAGCACCTGCCAGTGAGTGTGGGAGCCAGCCTTCCAGCCAAGAACCACCCACCCTGCCCTGAGAGGTTCTTACAATACTTAAATCTCCAAAATTTACCTTCTGCTAAAATGCTTGGTCCTTACGAAGCACCCTGTCCTTACAAAACTCTTACAAGATTTGATAGCGAGGAGGCATCGAGTGGATGAGGTACTTTTCCTGTGCTGCTTCTCAGTTCCCAGGTAGCCTCACTGAGCTCCAGCTATTCACCCAGGAAGGCAGTATGAACTAGCTTTACCCTGGCCCCTGACCAGCCTGGCGCTGGCAGCTCCAACTCCATGCAGACAGGAGCTGGGCTGCCCTACCTGGAGAAGCTAGCCACCCATTCTGCCCAGGAAAGTCTTGGGTGTCCCCAGAAGCCCTGCTCCTTCCAAAGTTGAAAGCAATGGTGATCTGCTGAAGACACTCCACAGGAAACTGCTGAGAAAAGGAGGCAAGGAAAAGGAGATTCTTGGAATATCCAGAAAACCAAGTAGGGAAGAGGATGCTTAAAGGAAAAGAAGGCACTGTCTCCTAGGGTGTGGTCTAGGCTCTTCCTGTCACTGACATCCAACTTATGCCCATTATCAGAGGTGCATATGTCCCTTGGTGAGGGGCAGGTAAGGACTCCAGCAGAGCCTCAGCCAACAGAGCCATCCACCTGCTGCAGGGGAGGGTGTGTGTGTGACAGGGAGGGCTGGAGAGCAGGCTGCCTTCCACCACTTGTAGTTCTAGGAATCCATGGACACCCTTATTGTGGCTGCAGGCCGGTGTTTCCAGGGGCGCTGTTGTCCTGGGTGGGAGGAAGTGACTGTGAAGATGCCAGCCTACTGGGGACAGGGGTAGGATCAGGTGTGCAGCTTGGGACAAGGGGCAGAAGAAGCAAGCAGCACTATGAGTACTTTTTCCTTAACACCTGGGTGTGGGTTTGCATGTGCATTTCTTAGCCAATAAGGCATCTTAGTGCATGTTTTAAGCTGCCATCTCCTCCTTTTAAGCTTCCTACTTAATATCTGCTATGTGACTATTGACTAAGAACAGCTGTTTTGAGTTTAAAGAGCAGAGATCCTTTGCTAACCAATTTATTTTAACAGGTTTAAGTCTTTACTACAAACCCAATTTCTCTGCCACTGGAAGCCTGTGCCCTTACAAGCCTGTGTTGCCCAGATTCCCAGCTCGTCCCAGCTTGTTGCCTGCTCTTTAGCCCCTCCCCATTCTGGCCAGAGTGCCTGCTTCTCTTGGTGTTTTGGTTTATTCTGCCTAAGTCCAATCTGATCTGGCGAAAGAATCTTTCCTTCTAACGTCACTCCTCAGGATGAACTAAACTGATCAGTGAGTAAGACCTGGCCATGTCCTTCCAGGCCTTGAGTCTCGTTTGCTAAAGCCATGCCATTAAAATATTTCTGTCATTGAGAAGTCAGCCTGACATTTAAAACAAACAAGGGCTGCAAGACTAAAAGCCCCCCGTCCTCTGCCTCTTGCCAGGGGGTGCTTCTTACTGGATGGGCAGGGAGGGGTTCCAAGCAGCCTGTGAAGTGCAGGGCAGCTTGAAACACATGGGCAGCAAATGATCCAAACAGGCAAAGACCTCGCTGTCCACGAGAATGGGGTCTGGGCGATGGCCAAGCCCTCACCCCCATGGTTTTCCGCCTGATTAGGGCAAAGAAAGGAAAGGTGAGCTTTGATCCTGGAACTTCTTCCCTGCCCTCTGCTGGCTCCCACCTCACCGCCACCCTGGGTTCTGGAAGCATGCCAAGCAGGGCAGAAACCGAAGGGCTTTTAGAAGTCCACAGGGACTTCCCACACTTAACCATCGCCCAATTTCATCTGCCCGCAGTTGCTCCCTGAACTCAGGGGCTCTGGCACAGCAGGGAGAGGGTCTGAAGGACAGGCATGTGGCAGGAGAAGGAAGTCATGGCAGGGGGATGCGCCCCACTACTAATCTCATCTCTCCAACATCAACTCCACCCAGGGCCATGGGCCAAGAGCCCCTGGTGGTTCCATATCATGAGGTTTTACAGTTGCAGGGTGTGGTCTCCTCCTGCAAGCCCATCTTTACACGGAATGCTGAGGGAGAAGGTGGCCCAGAGGCTCGCTTTTGTTTTCTGCCTGTCCCCGCTACGGTATCCCTGCCTAGGACCCCTTTTCAGATGAATTTTTCACTTTCTTAACCTTTGGGACTAAGGTTCGTCTGTGGGTCCCACTGTAAATATTTATTACAGACAAGTATCTAAAGGAGGACGAAAAGATCAATAACTGGATATGTGGTTTTGCCACCCACAGGATGAGGCCAGGGAGCATTTCTGTGCAGGAATAGGTAGCTTGGGCTCGTAGGAGTCATACCAGGAATCATGCCTTCAGACAGCTGACCCCCAAGCTCCATTTTCCCCGCTGCACAGATAGGGAACCCTCTATCACATACTTGACTTTGCCTCCTCAGAGGCCAACTCTCGGGGAGGAATGTGCTTCCCTCACTTCTTCCCAGGCAGAGCCGAGATAACTCTCTGGGGCTGAGGCCTCTGCCTCTCACTGAAGTCCAGAGGAAACCATGCCTGTGTCCTCAGATGTGACAGAGTCTCCCTTGGCCTCGGCCAGTATTTGACAGTCGTCAATCCCACCTGCAGAGGTGCCTGTGAGAAGGGCTCCTGTTCCCAGCCCCTGTCCAGAATTCTCTGACAGTACTGGAGGGTTTTGGAGCCCTAATCCCATTGTTCCTTGTCTGCCCTGCTTGGAACAGAGCTTATCTTTCGGGGATCTCTTTCAGTGGGCACAGCAAGGGACCGTTGTCCGAGTGGGGGCCAGGGCCTGTGCCACCTGGGCCAGGGAAAGCTCCCTAGGTCCTTCTGCCCAAAGGGAACTTGGCCGGGCAGGAGAGGGAAAGTCTGCCTCCGGAGAGGGTCTGAGAAGCAGTCATAGTGACCCCAACCTTTGCATGTGGCTTATCAACAGCATCAGCACCCACATCCCTGATCCCTGTGGGAGACGCCCCACTTCAAAATTCTTAAAGCCCTCATAGCGCACGTGAGTTCCTGTGGTCCTGGGGCACCTAGTTGTCTCAGGTCCTTGCTAGGCTCTGTTTCCTGGGCCTTGTCAGAACCAAAGTTTCTGCCACAGCTAATGAAACAAGACCAAGCAGAGAACAGCACAGAATCCAGGGAAGGAGGGGGCCTGGAGGCCAGCAAGGGCCCATTGCCCCTGGGGACAGGGCAGCTCCAGAGAGCTCCAATAGCTGAGAGGCTCAAGTCCCCAGCAAGGCGGCAGGCCCTTCCCTTCTTTCCAAACCTAAGGCCCTATGCACCATCAGGACCATTCGATCCATGTGCTTGGTTTCCACTCAGAGATGTTTCCCTTTCAACTCTAAACTCTGGGCCGGGCAGGCAGGCTCAGGGCCCCTTTACTTTATGAATTAACCAAAGCTGACTAGGCAGGCAAGAATATATAGTCACCATATATTTTTGCGGGGAGCAGGAAGATATTTTGGTCTTAAGCCATGGCCTATAGACAATCAGTGCCCATCCAGAAACCCTTTGTGTTTCAGGAGGAGGGGAATTTCCCACTGGCTCTTACATTCCTGGAAGGTATATTCAATTAGCGGTAAGTATGAACAAATGGGGCCTGCTCAGGTGCCATTCTGCAGTAGTTAAAGCTCAAATCCATCTACTTCCTTGGATGCATTCTAAGATGTCACTTAGTTTCCCACCCTTTCTCTACCCCACTGCTGATACAGATCTTATTTATGCGCCTCTGGTTCTGGTTCTGGCCTTCTTTAAGATCTAGTAAGTGTGTGCATTGCCAATGCCAACTATGTGTCAGTTCCATGCCAGGAGCCACAGGGGGGCCCAGTGGGGAATGAGGCATTCCCTGCCCTATAGGGAGTCTGCCCTCGAGGTTGGGAAAGCAGATGAATGTTAAGGGCACAGCACTGCCTTGGCGACCTTGCACATGTGCCATGCAGGCAGTCTTGAACCACAGCTAATCTGAATCAAGGCCATAGGAGTAAGGCCTTGACATCCTGTGATCCTCCCAGGCCACCAGAGGATGGGAGGCGTGACAGTCCCTGCTTGGAGCCCACTCCCACTCGCTCTTTCTCCCCTGGGAAGCTATCCTCACACACTTTCTTATCCCCTCTGGGTTCCAGCTAGAGAATATCTCAATGGAAAGAGCTCATTTCCACAGCTCAGGATGGAAAAACTGCAGCACTAACAGCCATGCTGCTGGATTCAAGCCCTCGTACCCAGAACCTTTGGAACACAGGCTCAGACTCCAATTTTCCTCTGGTTTATTCTATTCTGTGAATGAAGGCATTTCTCTGGGTATCTTAGTAGGGAGCCAGTTCAGCGTGGGGTGGGAGGAGGTAAGTTACGGAGGGTGATGCGCCTCACTACTTCTCCTCCTCGCTTCTTTGCTGACAGACAGATGGCCTGGTCAGGAACTCTCCCCTAAATGTAGTTGAGGACTGATAGCAAAAAGCTAATGAGACTGCTGTGCTGGGTGGCTTCTTGGAGCACGTCCCCTTCCTTTTCCCCTCCCCACCCTCCTCCTTCCTTTCATCTATGGTGGCCCCTCCTGTTATTATTTAATAGCCCTGGCTGGCACCTGCCCCCCACGGGAGTTGTCAGTGTTGTAAGCTGATAGAAGCCCATCCATTTTTCACTTTTCTCTACCCTGGGGCCCCTCTCTGGTGAGCAGCCACTGACTTCTGCTCTGTAAGAACATGCTTTAGTGCATTCTGGGTATCACACATTCTCCTTTTTGCCTCCTGCCACAGATCCCAAAGCATCTCCTCAAGATGCTCACAGTTGTCCCTGAAGAGGCAGTGACAGCAAGCTCACTTCACAGGAACCAGGCTGTGGGCTGACCCTACAGACTTGAGAAGACAACCCCAAAAGGCATGAAATTGTCAGATCCTCACCCCCAAAGTGTTGCCCAGTATTAACACCTCTAGGTGGGCACCACTGCGTGCTTTCCATTTGGGGCGTAAATCCTGCCTCCCTGGGCTGAGCGGCCTCCATGCCAACATGCTCTGATGAACGTGATGCTCCCGCAATGCCTGCAACCCTGCTGAGGCCCAGCCCACTTCCTCTCCCTTTGGGACCAAGGAGTCCAGAACTGAGAAGCTTTGGGGGCCTCCCTCCAGGTTTCCCAGCCTCCAAAAAAACACCCCTGGGCCCAGCTTCATCCCGCGTCCCCATCCGAAGACCCATCTGGTGATCAAGGTCTGTTTTCACGCTCAGAGAGGGAGTTGCGGTTCTGCCAGCTCCACCGTCAAAGCACGCAGCAGGACGGAGGCAGCCTTTAAGAACAGCAGTTAACGCTGAGGCTGCAGCGCGCGGACAGTGGGCACGTGGGAAGGGACCTGGTGGTCTTCAATCCCCGCGACCCGCCGTGCCCCGCCCCGGCCCCTCTCCCCAGCTCTTCCCGCCCGGCGCCAGGCTGCCCCTGTTAACCCCGCGGGGCGGCCACGCTGCTCTGAGGTCCACGCTGCTCTGGGTGGGGAGGGGTGGATGGTGCGGGCCTCCGCCTTCCTAGACTCCTTCCCATCTCCCCAGCCGCAATCCTCCCAGGGCCATGGGCCAGGACCCCCTGGTGGTTCTGCATTCTGAGGTTCTGCAGACGCAGGGTGTAGTCTCCTGCGAGTCCATCTTGATTTGGGAAGCTGCGGGAGGAGTAGCCGAAACCCCTGGTCTGGACCGCGAGGCAGGATGAGGCAGCCGAGGCAGCCGTTAGGAACGGCCCCATTCCACCAGCCGGCCCGCGGGGCGGTTCATCTGCTCCTGAGGTCCGTGCTGCTGGGGTGGGTGTGTGGGGACCTCGCCTCCCTAGACTTCTATGCCAGGGGCAGGGCCACCTTAGAGGGTGTCCCGAGATGTGCCTGATTTCACAGGTCCTGTTCTGCGGGCAGGCTGCGCCTTGCTTCTGTGTTTGTGTTGGAAAATGGTGCCTTCAAGGCTTTGTAAAGGGTCTGGGACTGAACTGAAGAGAAGTGAGTGACGGTTACTGTGGAAAGTCTCAGCTAATTCAGGTGTCTTGACCCACCAGATTGTCTGTGGGGGTGGAAAACAGCTCTGGAGGGGGCTGTAGAAATTACTTTCTCAAGTCTTTGGGCTGGAAGGAAGGAACAGTGCCTGGCCCAGGACTTTGAGCAGGAGAGAGATGGGACAGAGAGCAGCCAAGCCTACTATTTTCACTTCTATTAATTAGATCAAAGCCCTGCCTAGAAGTTTTGAGCACCTTCAAGTCCCATTCCTCCCATAAACCATCCAGGTTCCATCTGCCTTGAAGTCAAAGGGTCTTCTCAGCTTCCTCAAGAAAAATTCAGGCCCGAGTTTCTCCACCGGCACCCTCCTCTCCCCCACGGAGTGGGTGGGCTGTATTTCTCTTCATATTGTTTCATTCCAGACTGTCTTGGACAACCAGCCTGTCCTCCACCCCTCCGGACCTCCTCTCCTACTCTGCCCTCCTTGACCGCTCAGGCCCCAAGCTGAGGAGAGGAGCAGAGAAGTGAAAGAGAGGAGGTGAAAAGCAATGTCCTTTCCGTCTTTTAACAGGTGCCCCACTAGGAACTTGCAGGAAGTGGACGTTGATAGGCTGAAGGTGGCCACAACCAATCTCTACTACCCTCCCCTACCCCAAATCATTCCTTTGAAATAGCGAAAGACCTTTTTAAAAATGTAACATGAATTGGCTATTTCTTGAGGCAAACAAAAGGTAGTTCTGAAGCGATAGCATTTGTACTGGTATACATTCACGAAAACAGAGCTTATCACCATCCAGGTTTCATTGTCAGCCCCAGTCCGTCTGTCTACATGCAGAAATGGTCCCCCCCAAAACCATCTGTGACAATTGTTCTCACAGATCATCATGATAAACTATAAGGGAATATTCCGAGTAAGAGGAAAGGAGAGAGGAGGAGTCCGTTTCTCATCAGTGGTTGGAAACGAAGCAAAAGTTAGCGAGCCTTACGTTTAAAACGCAGATGTGCGTTGTGATGGTCTGAAGGAGGAGCTGTTGACAGAGAAACCAAGGTGGTGAACTCTGCCCTGGGCCTGTGACAGTCAGGTGAAGGTGGCTCACCACAGAAGCCAGACAGGGACAGTCCCACAGGAAACGGGTATCAGGCTGGAAGGAAGGGCAGCTTGGCCCTGATGGAGTGGCAGAGCAGCTGGAGGGACTGCCGGAGGAGGGCAGATCTGGAAGCAGGTCTGGGCTGTACTTTGCTCTCAGCCAGGGAGCCAGAGAAGGAAGGCTTGGGTTTGAGGGGGGAAATTCACTCTACCAGACTGCTTTCTCAGGAGTGCCAATTCAGATCACCTGAAAACAAGGTCACGGCCCCATTACGGCATGGTTTCCAAATGGGGGTGTGCTTGGAAGCCTTGGTGATTAAAGGGTGTTGACAAAAAGAGTCAAACTCTGTAAAATATTTAGAGATTTATTCTGAGCCAAATATGAGAAAGTGAAGAAGAGAGTCCGCTTTTAGTTAGCGGTTGGAAACGAAGCAAAAGTTAGCAGACCTTAGGTTTAAAATGCACATGTGCCTAGTGATCATCCACACAGCCCTCAGGAGGTCCTGAGAACATGTGCCCAAGGTGGTTGGGGTACAGCTCGGTTTTATGTATTTTAGGAAGTCATGAGAGATCAAAGACATTTAAGAAATGCATTGGGTTGTTTCAGGAAGGTGAGAACTCAAAGCAGGGGCTTCAGGCTATAGATACTTTTTTTTTTTCTGGTTGACAATTGGTTGAGTTTATCTAGAGACCTGGGATTATGGAAAGGAATGTTCAGGTTATGGTAAAAGATTGTGGGGACCAAGTTTTATTGTGCAGAGAAATCTCTCAGGTAGCAGGCTTCAGAGAGAGGGTTATAAAATGTTTTTTTTTTTTTTGTAAACAAAAAATTTTATTTTTTTCAAATGGGTCAAATATGTTGTTACTATTACTTTTTTTTGTTTTTTGCCAAATTGCAGGGTCTTTATTGCCGGTGGCCACGGAGGACTCTCGTCTCTCCAACCCATCGCCCCGAAAGGAGGGTGTCAAGACCTTTTATACCCATAAAACCACCTTGGGAGTGAGGGTGAGGGGCAGGGAGTGAGGGGCTTCAGATGTTCTGAGGGCTAGTGGATTCTGTAAATCACCTCCTGGGCAGAGAGGAGTGTGAGGGGCTCCAGACATTCCAGTGGATTCCTGGGTGAAGATGAGGGTGAGGGGCTCCAGACACTCCGAGGGCCAGGGGACTTTTGACATTCTGATTGTTACTTAAGTGGTTCACAAACGTCAAGATTGGCATTTGTTTACACATTGTCTGGGTAGGGTGGAAATTACAGTCCTTAATTACTTATTACAAGTCGAAGAGGCCAAGATGGCATGGATTTGGACTGCTTGCCTGTCACATTTTGGTTACAGAGAGCAGTTTCAATGTTACTATTACTTTAATGAGATACAGGCCCATGCAATGCTCTCAAGAGTAGGAGAATCCAGTTCTCCCTCACATTATTTTGATAAAAGAGAATAGTAATATGAAGCCTGAGAATCGGACCTAAAAGGGTGCCTGGCTTTTAGTTGATGATTTCTTGGATCTGGGAAGGAAGGAAGGAAAACAAAGGGGAAAGAGGATTCTCCATAGAATGTGGGTTTTTCTCACAAGAGGATTTGCAGGGCAATTTCAAGGTATGGCAAGGAAATATATTTTGGGGTAAAACATTTTGATTTCCTTCCTTGTTATGCCAGAGTCAGGTTGGAAAGTAAGTCACGATATAGAGGGTCAAATAAAACCCATCTGATGAGAATTTATGGTTTGTAGGTCATGATTCCTCAGACTCCTTAGATAGGAATCTGGGCAAGATAAAAATCAGAGCTAAGTCCTCAAGGGAAGGGGTGCAGCACTGTCGGAGGCTAACCAAGCACCAGTTACTGGATTGCCAACTACGCTTGGGAGAGTAGGGGTGTCAAGGGCCCCAAGAACAGGGATGGCCTTGGCCCCACTAGGAGGACATCAGAAAGCAGGAGGCACTTGTAGCTCCCCATGATTCCCCTCAAAGCCTTGGGCCAGCTTCCTGCGGGGAAGGGCAGGAAGGTGTCCCTATAGGGGCATGCTTGCTTTTTTGGCCAGCCAGCCTCTTCTTATGAGAAACAAAGGTCCCCACTCCACTGGTGCTGCCAGAAGGAAATCAGAAGCTCTAAACCAGGGACCAGAACCTGCAGAAGCTTCGAAGAGTCACATCTTGTCATTTCTAGATGTTTCTACTTTGGTTGACTCTTTTTATTTTTCTGCAGTTAAAATCTGTAAAATTGATTTCCTTCCTTGTTATGCCAGAGTCAGGTTGGAAAGTAAGTCACAATATAGAGGGTCTTATCAGGGGACAGGAGGAAAGCCCAAGTCTCTCCCAAAGAAAACGAGAAAGGCTGAGTCCTCAGGGCTTGCTGTACAAAGGAGCGGTGGGTTGGAGGAGTGCAGGCAGAGACCGGGGTGATCTGGGACTTTAAGTACAAGGCCCTGGGGATTTCATGGGGGCGAGCCATGCGCAACAGAGAAACTCAGGAACCAGGGGGTTCACACAGAAGTCTGGGTGCTGTGAGGTACAGGGAAAGAATTAGTGGGTCTGGACCAGTGGGTAGGTGAGTCACGTTGGAGCATTGGTTTAATCTAATCTCTGATGTGTGTTTAGTGAATTTGTGTGTAGTCCAACCAGCCCCTTGGGAGCTGGGACTCTTTTTCTATTCCTCGTAGCAGGCTCAGTACCTGGCACTCTAAGTTGAATTTTATTGAACACGTTGCATTTACATTAAATGTATATTTGCAAGTTTGTTCTTCCAGACCCCCATTCATTCTTTTATCCAGTCATCTCAAAGGGATTCTCTCAGCCCCTCCACTGGCTGAGGGAACCAAACTTCTCTTCCAGAATTTTCAGGAAATGGGACTTAGTGCCTTAGCTGCTTGTTTTATCTAGAATTGACTTTGTCTAATAAAATGTATATACACTTTGGGAACGGGTGAGGTGCTGCACAAATGCGAAATGGTGTCATTCACCATACAGTGTTTTTGATTCAAATAGATTATCCTCTGCCAAAACCCAGAGGGGCTAGGTCAAGCCAGGTTGCTGAAAGGGGAGGAAGTCTCAATAGCAGAATCAAACTTTCCATAAGTTACAGTGGGGTATGGACAACACTCAGGAGACCAGCCTTGAGCACAGCAGCAAGGGAGTCACCTCCTAAGTTGGGGCTGAGTAAAGACCTACTCCTGAGGCAAGGCTTTGCCAAGGTAGGCCTCCACTGAAACATAGCCCCATCGTTCTCCCGGCCCAGCCACCCCACCCCAGAGGTGCCGTCTAGAAGCTGCACATCTGGGTTGTTCACCTGGCTCGCAGCACTGGAAGCACCTGAGCAGGATGATTTTACATGAATGATTAAAAATTGCTCTTCTAGATATAGCCTTGCCCAGGGTAGCCATTAAGAACATTACTTCCGAATTTAAGAAGCTCAATGTAGGTTGCTTTGAGCGTTTAAAAAGAGGGACCTGTACTCATATCTTTATAAATTGTAAAATGTCTCCCACCATCTTCTTGGTCCGTATTTCCTCTCCTGCTTTCTACCATTGTGCTCTCTGGCACATGATCCTTTTAAATAATAAAAAAGAAAAAAAAAGGAATAAAATGAGAAGCCTATTGTTTCTTAGTGTCCCCCAATGTTAAACACACACATGCACACACAATTATGTATTTTGTGTATTTCTTCTGGGGGATGGAGCCATAAGGGGTTACACATTGGCATGTGATTTTGGAGCCTACACTTGAAATGGGAATTTGAATGTAGTTGAACAGACTTTTAACACTGCCCTGAGAAGAATGACACTGGCTGGTCTGCGGTTTCACACCCTGGAGTGTGGAGGATCCTCACCAGCTCTGTGACTCACCCTGGAAATTGCACCTTTCTTGGGGGGAAGGGGGAATTACTTTTTATAAGCAAACCCCAGAGAGCAATGTTTCAGTATCAATCAGTTTCTCAGCAACTTTGAACGCAGATTGTGCCTCAGTCTCTATCATTGGGGTGCTCTCTGAGCTCTCTGGGGTGCCACTGAGCCAGGATCTCCTATTCTGATGCATCTTGGATCTCTTCGTCCCTTACCTGCCTCTTCCCTGCTCTCCACTCTGAGCCAGCTAGATGGGTGAAGCAGAGAACCTGTCTAGTCCAGACTCCTTATTTTACAGATGAGGAAACTGAGGCCCAGAGAGGGACCACCCTACCTCCTCCTGCATCCCCTCCTCCTCCTCTTCTGCCTTCACTCCAATACCTTCCAGTGTGAATGATGCCCACCTTGTCTCTTTCCTAGTCCCGTGTCCTGCATTACTCTTTTCACAATATTTTTGAGTAGGTGGCCTGCCACAGTCTTATATTTGGCATGGCAAAGGCAGACCCCTTTTCCTCCCTCCAGACCCCCAACTCGGCCACTGTGGGTGCTGTAAGGCCAGTCCCCACCTGGGTCCAGTCTGTTCATCACAAACTCAGCACGTGTTACTTTATCTTTTACCTCCTCATGTCCACAAAACAGTCCACAACCCGTGAGAATGGTAATTTAACAATTTACACTAAAAATTGTATTGAAAAAAAAACTCTCTTCTATTTGAATAATGACAGGAGATACAAACTTTGCCATTATGTTGCTCTCTCCTCAATCGGGACGCAAAACACTCAATAAAAACGTTATATCAAAGTCTCGCAAACATCATTCCAATCTTCCCTAACCCATTGCTTTCACTTGAAGAACCAGCAGGACTGTTGAGTGCGACGCTTGACAGGACGTTAATTTGTGGGAATCTGTCAGTTTGCGGACAAGTACTTGCACGTTTTGTGCAGATGAGGAAACCGCTTGTAGAGTGGCCACACCAGAAGGCATTTGGGTGACCTGCTTTGGCCTTTGACTCTACAGAAGAAGAAACTGATGCCTGTGAGAGGAAGGGACCTGCCCAGGGCCACTCACTGGTAGCAGAACTGAGGCTAGAAGGAGACCCTCCCTACTCCCAGCTAGGGTCCTTCCTTCTCACAGTGGCAGAACCACAAGATGTTGACAGTGGAAAGGAGTTTGGACCAACTGCTTCGAGAGAGAGCTAACTACACTGAAGAACTTGTCATTACCTCCTGAGAGCTGCTTGAATTGGAGGCCCAGGTCCCAGGAAGAGATGACTCCTCTTTAGAAGCTGGGTCTGCAAGCCCATGCAAACACAGGGTGCCTGGTTCCCTCCCTCCGCTGGGGGAAGCTGCTAGAGGGCAGACACTGGCATCGAGATTCTTTGCTCTCACCCTTCAGCTGCCAGCTCCGATGTTTCCTCAGCCAACAGGTGACTGTGGAAGTCTCCCAGCTGCTGGGTCAGCTGCCAGAGACCTGAGGTGTCGACAGAGAAAGAGAAGGACCAGGAAACCATTTCTAACATAGTTGGCCCAGAGTAGAGAGTGAATTGCCAGAAAGAGCCTGGAAGAGGCTATAAAACGAAAATAAAACAGGATGGTAATTTATGATGAGCAGTAAAAAGGTCTGGGAAGCTGAGCAGCCAGCGAAGTTTCATTTCCCTCTACCCAGTGGATCTTTAACCATGCTGAGCATTTCCCTGTCCAGGCTGGCAGCCCCCCAAATTTGGAAAGTCTCCCGTTCCCCACCTCAAGGTGAGAAAGTAAGGGTGTCTTGACAGCCCTTGCTATGCTGGTTCTCTTCTGCAAAAGCACCTGCCCACTGGACTCCAAAACCCTTACAATACAATCCATTTCCATTGTACACACCGTATATATGATGAGGCACTTTCCCATTCACTGTCTCGTTTGATCCTTACGGAAACTCTGGGAGGGGCCTTTTGTTGTTGTTGTTGAAACAGAGTCTTACTCTGTCGCCAGGCTGGAGTGTGGTGGTGTGATCTTGGCTCACTGCAACCTCCGCCTCCTGGATTCAAGCCATTCCCCTGCCTCAGCCTCCAGAGTAGCTGGTACTGCAGGCACATGCCACCATGCCCGGCTAATTTTGGGAAGGGCCTTTCATGAAGATATAAGGGTAATGAAAGTCATGCACAGCGAATCAAAGACCCAGGACCTGACCAACCCCAGACCTGGACTCTGGACAACCTATTTCAAGGTCAAAGTCTTTCTCAAACCCACCCCAGGAGCCTTGTTAGGGGCAGAAGACTTTGAAATTAGAGATTTAAGTGAAGGCTGTTTCCCATTTTCATACTTCTCCCATCCAGGAAGCCCTGGAGGCTGGAGACCAAGTCCAGGACAAAGGGCCCCCAGAGACAGCCTAAAGGGCCTCAAGGTGGAGTGGGCCAACTTGAGAGGGAGGCCACCAAACCTTTCTGATGTCAGACACAGCCTTTAGGCAGTGATTAGGGCAGGTGGCCTCTCTGACTCTCCCTGGCCCCATCAGCGTGGTCACCCATGAGTCACTGCAGTTTGTGGAGCCCACAGGCTGTCCCTGCTCTGAGGAGCCCAGCTGGGTCTCCACAAGGCCTGGCCAGATGTCCCAAAGGGCTAAGCCAGCCTCTTCCTCACTTACTGGCAGATGTGAATTGCTCCTAGCGGCCTGTACCTCTTGTCCTGTGCTGGGGGGAGAGATGTACCCCCTCAAGCTCCCAATCAACAAAATTCAAAAGTGAAGGCATGTAGCTGCTGGTGAGAGGGCTCCCTCACATCCCTCCAAGCTGGGGTTGGAAGGTGTCTGAATGAGGAGTGGCTGGAATCCTGGAAGCAGAGTGGCTCTGGACACCCTCACATTCATGTGGCTTTTTCTTGGGTTGACCTGGGTGTCTTCCTATGGGACTGTGCCTTTGTAATTTGGTGGAGGAGGAGGAAGAGGGTCAGAGCTGAGATCTCTGGTGGGGGCGGTGGGCAGGGGGGGTCCAGTGATGGTCCTACCACTGACTCATCATGTGTCCCCAGAGAAGTCACCTCTCTTGGGACCCAATCACCTCTGCTTGTGTATTTCATAGTACCCTCGGAAAGCTCCAGTGAGATAACGGGTGTGAAAGGGCCTGGTCAATAAAGCAAGTGGCCCTGAGTTGTAGGGTGCTGTAATTATCATTGGCTGAGCAGGGAGGTCATCAACAGGCTCATTCCAGCCACCATCCATCTTGGGGCTATTTATGGAGAGTCCCCATCCCTGCTACTGCCATCATAGCCTCACCACATCAGGGCCTGCATGTTCAAATACCCCTCCTTGCGTGCAAGCCTGAAACTCAGCGAAAGCAAATGCAACTCCACATCAGGCCAAGGTGGAGGACCTGAGGGCCACTGATCCCGAATATTCCCAAGCCCACTCCTTACACCCACAGACATCCTTTCCCTTTATTCATCCTCTCTCCATGATTCCACAGAGGAAAGAGGAAGCCATCCAGCTCAGAGCCCTGCACTGCTCTCTGCTCGTTTACCTGAACCTCAAACTGTCCGGATCCCCATTGCTTTTCAAGAACAGGTGTCAGCAAAGACCTCAGGCATCCTCAGCAGAGGGCCCTCAGGCTATGGTCTCTAATTGAGGCTGCTCCCCTGATGCTGACTTAGAGGTCTGAAGACCTCAAGACCCAGAAGACCCCTTCTAGTTACTAAGCTGGGCAGCAGCTGCCCTAAGCCTCTCTTTGGTGTTAATTTCATAATCTGCCTCAGGAATCTCAGATTCTTCATAGGGCGCATTCTCCTGGCTGTTCCTTTTTATTTAACCCAAAGTACCCCTTGGGTCACTTGATATTTAAGAGGAAAATTCTTTGTTAACTTAGAGCACAGATTTTCAAACATGATTTTTCAGGGGCATGGAAGCCACCACCAGGATCTTAGGGGATGGGCTTCCCTTGCTCCCCAAACACCCCAATTCTCCTCCTGCTGAACTCTTGGGTGTCCAGCCCCACCCAGCCAGTCTCCAAAAATGTCTTCTCCTTCCTCTCTCTTACTCTGCAACACCTCCTGGCCCCAACAATGCCTCTACTTCTTGAGTGGTTTGACGTAACTAACGGGTATAAAACAATTGAGTTTTGAAGTAATTGACATAAGAATTTGGACTCTAGAGAATTTCCCAGAGGAATTAAAATCAGCAATGTGGTGGTCTCTTTGGAAAAGACCTGCCATAATGAACAAACCCTAAAATGCTAAGCAGGTCTGTCTGCTCCCTCCAATTCCTTTTTTAAAAACGCTATCAAAGAATGTGTGACAGAGAAGCCACCCAGACCTGATGATCTTCACCTCTTCAGAGGAGCTGTGCTATAGAAACCTGCAAACTGCTGGTCAGGCGCAGTGGCTCAGGTCTGTAATCCCAGCACTTTGGGAGGCTGAGGTGGGCGAATCACCTGAGGTCAGGAGTGTGAGACCAGCCTGGCCAATATGGCAAAACCCTGTCTCTACTGAAAATAAAAAAATTAGCTGGGTGTGGTGGCACATGCCTGTAATCCCAGCTACTTGGGAGGCTGAGGCAGGAGAATCACCAGAACCCAGGTGGCAGAGGTTGCAGGCCATTGCACTCTAGTCTGGGCTACAGAGTCTAAGACTCCATCTCAAAAAAAAAAAAAAAAAAAAAAAGAACTTGAAAACTGCTTCTTCTTGGTCTGACATATTCTCCCAAATTCTCTAGTTTCTGTGGCCCAGAGTCCAGAACTGAGCATCCTGGATCCCCTGCCAGTAGGCTGTTGGCATCCTGCTAAGCATTCCTTTGCACCCCTCCCCCAAAGTTCTGCAGAGGAGACCTCATCCAGGTGCTCACCACGCTGGCTGTGGGCACCAGGCTGATGGCCTTCCAGAACGGATGCCTCAGAGATTTCCTGAGGCTGACTGAAACCAGAGTTAGTTCCTATCACTTGTCTCGACATGGAAAGCTGGACTGCTGCCCTTGCTAAGGGCCTTTCGTTCTACACCCAAATCCAAGGGCTTGCCCTTCTGCTTCTTCACCAGCTGCTTGCTGCATGTCTAAGCTGCTCGGAGCTCAGCCACCACAGTTCTTTGGGCACTTGCCAGCTACTTGTGGCTCCAAGGTACCATGCTTGGCTCAGAGGGCTCCCACTCCCAGCACTTATGGAGCCCCAAGAAAGGAATAGCTAGGAATCCCACCTACAATGCTCCTGTGAGGCCAGCATAGAAAAGGCTGCCTTCAGATGAGCCAGCCCGCCAGACCTAGAATGAAGGCAGAACTGAGCCTAGGCCAATCTGAAGGGGTTTTGTTTGTTTGTTTTTGAGACAGAGTCACCCAAGCTGGAGTGCAGTGGTGCGATCTGGGCTCACTGCAACCTCTGCCTCCTGGGTTCAAGCGATTCTCCTGCCTCAGCCTCCCGTGATGGTGAGTCTTAATTAGCAGGGCCTGAAGTAATGAGCCTGTCCCCCTTCTTTAACAGCTCAGGTGATATGTTCTCGGGAGTGCGGATCCTGATGGGACTGTCTGGCATTTTTCTCTGCAGAGTCCATTTATCTCCTGCCCCTGTTCCCCTCAACCTCCCTCTGTTTATGTTCGAGCTGACATATCTATTGATGTATTGATCTCTGCTAGCCGAGGAACATTTCTGCTGAACACGCTGACTGCGCAGTTGGGGGTCGAGCAGAGGAGCAAGCTCTGCAGGGGTGCCAGGGACAGCAGCCTCAAGTCTGGCTTAGGGTGGGGAAAGGTGCCTGGGATGGAGATGTTGATGGGAAGCAGAGGAATGATTCCTTGTAAAGACAAAAGTGGGCAGAGGGGAGAACTATGATCAACAGCTGTGGCCTCCCACGGATGACCTGGGGCACAGGGCCTCGTGTGGGACGTGGAGACAGATTGGCCTGGAATTGTTTTACTCCACTTCACTTTTGAGTGGACACGGATCAGCCTTCCTACCTGCATCGGGAAGCTTTTTTCTCCTTACTCTTTGTCCATGGTTAAGAGACTTGAAATAAATGGGAATGTGTATTAAAACCTGTAAACTGCCAAAGGAGTCAATGTGAGCTAGGATGCCTTGTTGCCATTGCCCGAGGACCTGTGAGGTGGTTAACCACCTGTGATCTGGGGAGCATCCTTCCCCACTTAGCAGTTGGACCCAGACAGGTCGGCAGGACAGGCTCATAAAGAGGGCCCATCTGCTGTCCGGAAGAGACTCGCCTGTCTCAGCTCAACAGGTCACAAAGCGCTTCTGTAGCCACTCTCTCCTTACTGCTGGAGCTCCAGCCCATTCTCCACTCAGTGGAATTTGGAGTGATCCAGGGAAATCTTTTTGCAAAATCCCAACAGGCATTTAACCATAGGCAGATTCGGGGGGAGGGGAGGGGAGGGGAGGGGAGGGTGAGGCACACAAAAACAGGCAGCTTCCTTATCTTTAGCTTGCTTCACTCCCTTGAAACGTTTCCTTGTTTTGCCTTCTAGCTCTAGGTACCTGCTCACAGAGCCCCTGCCCTCATCACTGTGGTCTTTCCATGCAAGGAAGCCTCCGTTGGCTTTTTGTGGGGTGGTAAGACATTGCTTGGTCATGACGTGGGATGTAATGGGACATCACCTTCATTCATACTCACTGCTGTCTGGTAGCCCAGTACATTCACACACATAACCTGGGAAGAGGTTAGCAAATTGCATGTCAGGAAACACCTGTTCTCACTTTTGTGGCATGAGAAGGAGGCGGCAACACCTGGGTCCTAGTTTCAACTCTGCCGTCACTGAGTAGATGAGCAGTTACTTAATGCCTCCAACCTTTGGTGTCTTTTCTGCGGCTCTGGCATCCGGAGTTTTAAGAGCACTCAGCACCCACTCATCATACTTCAAGTCAACTCCATGAAGAATCAATCAGTCAGAATTATCACAGAAGGCTCGGCTAGCCCCCTGGGCAGGTCTCCCACAGCACTCTCACTGGGTCCTTGCACCTGTTAGCCCAGAGGACTCATGGTTAACATCCAGGCAGCGAGAGAAACCCGGGATGCTTATGATTGGCAGATTAGCATTGGGAGGCATGGAAGTCTTGATCAAAGGACAACCTTGGGCCAGGCTCAAAGCAAGAGCAATTGGGAGAAATAATTAGGCAGGGTCAGAAAGAAATTTAAATACACCCGGACCTGCCTCTCCCACCCACTCGAGTCCTATGGCAGATGCCTGCACATATCTATGACCAGGAGCTGGTCACACTCCCCCATTCACACTCCTGACCACCATCTGCATCCTGGGCTGGGCTGGGCCCTCCTCCACACACTGGCATCCATTAGGCACACCTTTACACACTGCACCCCACCCTCTCCATGTGAGATGTCCTCAAGGTCATCTGATTCAGCAGTCTTGGAAGGAGGCCTCTTCACATGGCATGGTTCCAAACCCCAGCACCTGCGGGTTCACTTTCTCTGAACACTAATTCCTGGTGGGTGTGATTTAAAGCTGTTCAGAGCTCCAGGACAGTGTGTCTAACCAGCAAGGGGCCAGGAAGCCAGCCTTCCCCTTCCTTATCCTGAGGCCTGCCCCCATTTCCCATATCCCTGCCCCTGGCCCCCAGCTCCTCCTTCCCAGGCCTGGCTTCAGCAGCCTATTTTGGCCCTCTTGCCCTTACCGCAGCCCACGCCCACTTTCTGCAAGAGAAGCTTATTGGACATGAAGGATGTCACCACAGAGATGAACAGGACTAAAATTCTTCAGAGAAGAGCTCACGGGGGCTGATCCTTGATCTGGGTCAAGCAGGGATAGGAAGGGGTGGGTTCCACTTACTGGCTCAGCCAGGTCTGCCGAGGAGCCCTCCCAGAGAGCTGCGGTGGGGGCCGGCTCCTTAGAGGAGACTGCCGGGGAACACCCCGCCCTGGCCAGGGAGCAGATACAGCCCGAGCTAGCGTAGTGCAGCAGCCGGCCAGCCAAGGATGGGTGTGAGGGCTGGTCAGATGAGGGAGCAGAGAAGGCCAGGCAAGGCTTCATGGAGCTGGGCTGTGGCCCAAGTGAGGCCTGGATAGACAGGTCAGCACAGAGCTGGAAAGGAGCAGAACCAGCAACTTTTTTTTTGGTTTGCAGATGACTGCCCCCCTCCCCTGCAACCCCTTCTTTCTGTCAGATACCTGTTATGGATATCTTCATGACAAGCAAGCCTCCCTTAGCCTGTGGTGTGGGCTGGGGGCTCAGTGACCCCAAGAGGTGGTGGCAGCAGACCTGGGGGAGAGGCAGGAAAAGGGAGAGTTAGAGAGGGCAAGCTGGCTCTGCAGGGGTGGTGGGGCTGGTGGCTGTGGAGGCTGGAGGAGCGAATCTCTGGTGTGGGGGAGGGGAGAGTACTGAGAAACACCCAGGAGAGCAAGGAAGCTCCCCTCCCCACCACTCCCCACTTTCAGCACTTTATGACATCATTCTGGGAACACTACCATCACTGGTGTGGACAGCAGCCGAGACTCCATGGCAGGTCCCCAACCTGGTCCTGGTGGTTGGACTTCACCTCTGGAAGGGAGCATATCTCCCTCTCCTTTGCTTCTGCATGATGGAAGACACAGTCCCAAACCTTTTCCAGCAGTCCCCAAATTTTCGCTGACTGCCCTTCTCACCAATGCCCCATCCTGACCTTCCTAGCTGTCCTCTTCCCCACTGACAGCCTCCACTGTGTGGGCATGCAGCCATCAGGGCCTCCTGAAGGCAGTTCTGAGGAATAACTCCAGACAGAAGAGGGAAAGGTACTATGTGACTCATTGTGTCCCTGAGCTGTGGCCAGCCGGGGTTTGGGTAGGGGGTCTATCCTAGAGCACCAGTGCTGCTCCATGAAGGTGGTCTTCAGCCTTGCAGTCTGGATTCCTCCCTCCCTAGGCAGAATAGATTAGGGTGTGGTGCGTGATGATGGAAACTGTGTCTGTGGCTGAAAGTCACTTAGGAGAGGGCCCTGCAGTCTGGGTCTCTGGAGTGGGTGTGGGGTCAGTGGAGGAGCTCACCTTCCTAGTTCAGACACAGGTGGTGTGTGGTTCCTGCCTTCCATCCCCATCAGCCTCCCTGGCCATGTGCTCAAGGAGGTGCTTTTCTCTGACAGGTGAAAGTCCAGGTGGGTTGCTCCATTTGGGTACGGCTGGGTTGTATGTAGTGTTCTCAGGTCAGACAGACCCAGTGTTGCCTTGTTCAGCAAAAGTGTCAAGATGCCATTTCATCCTGCGCATAGGAACAAGAGTGCCCATTCATTCCTCAGGCTTGCTGAGTCTCTACTCCCTGCTTGTTACCACCTTCCCCCTATTTTCTCAACCCCCTCAACTCTACCCTGCAGTGGGGAAGTTGTCCTGGCAATTAACTTTCCATTCTCCTACTGGGGCCCTTCAAGTAATGTTTGGAGCTTCTCCCTAATTCCCAGCTTGGATAAATGGTTCCCTCACATGTCCCCAGATTATTGTTTGGTCTCTGAAGTTGGTCAGATGCTGCTTCCCAGCTACGGGAAGGTACATCCACACCCTGCCTTGGTCATTTCAAGCTTGTCTTTTCAGGGCTTGCCCCGAAGGTAACAGAGACTGTAGGGAAAGATTTCTGCATGGGGAAGGGGCTGCCAAAGTAAGCAATGCAGGATGCTGAGGGCAGGCAGACGTTGAAGCAGAGGGCGTCCCCGCCCAGCGCACCGGATTCCCTCTCCACTCAGGACTGCTGCTCCTGCCTGCTCCCTGCTCCGTCCTCATTTCCACCTGCCTCAGCCCTTCATTACTCACCTCTCCCTTTTCTTTCTGATGATCTTTTTAGCTTCAACGCCGGACGTTAATCACCTCATGGTCAATACTTCCCAGATCAACCTTCTGAGAAGCAGAACCCATTTGTCCTATGTCATTTCTTATCCCAGATCACACCTCAGGTTGATGTGCCTTGATGGGCCACCCTTAGGTCAGCTGGGACCAGCCACAGACAGAGACCTGGGGGTCTCCCTGTGGGGCAGAGCGGCTGTCTTTAGAAGGAGCCATGTGCCTGGCAAAGCAGCAACTGGCATGTCTATTACATTTTCATGAACTTGACAGATGCCTGTTGAGCTCCCTCATCACATGGCAGGCACTGTTCAAGGCCCGAGGCAAGGACAGGCCCAACAGGGTCCTCCACCGTCCCTTCCCCAGAGCACGGTCCTTCAGAGTCTAGTGGACTGGACTCTGCGCTAGGAAATGGGAGAGGGTGAGCCTGGCAGAGCTGGATGAACTCACCCAGCTGCTGCCAGATAAGGAGACAGATGCACAGAAAGGAGGTGTGGCAGAGCCAGGCCAGCATGCAGGCAGCGGGGGCTTCATGTCTGTGATGCTGGGGCCAGCCTGTGTCTGTCTGCACACTTTCAGGGAAGTGTCCCTCAAGCTTCTTCTTCTAGTTGGAGAAAGGGAAGCCCTGATGTCTTGATTCTGCAATTCTTCTGCCCTTGCATCTTATTCCTCCAACCCATCCCCCCAAGCCCTCCTGGATTGCACCCAGCCTTGACTGACACCAGTGAGTGTGGTGGGGAGGACACTTCAGAATGAAGGCCCATGGGACCCAGCTTGCCAGCTGAGAAACCCAGGACTAACCCTCAGCCCTCTGGAAAGCCAGATGGGCTGCCTCTCTGATGGTTCAGACTCCTCCACTGTCAGCTGTGGGGCCATTTCTCTCAGCATGTGCTGATAACTGAGTTTTCAACTCGGTGGGAGGTTCCCTAAAACAGGATACCCTCTTGCACGAATGTGTATGAAAGATAACTGTGCTGGAGGCCTAGGCTTCCAGAAGTTCCTCAGCTCAGACGGATGCGAGCAGAAGTGCTTCCCAAGTGAATCCACTCACTTTGTTCTAAGCCCCCAATTCCAGGTATGGCTTCAGCCCAGCGAGTTCACTCCAAGTTGCTGCTGCTTGTGCTTCTATTACAATTCTTCCTGCTTTCCGTGCTCAGCTCCCCAAAGCTGCCTCTGCCCTCATCGTGCTGTAGGGCTATCCCTTGGCCCCCCCAGCACCTCCTGTCGTCCTCAGCAGCCTAGTCCAGCCAACCCCACTGGCCTCCAGGACGGGCCAGCAGAGGGGGATGGAGGAAGAATGAGAGTCCCTGACAGTCCCGTCAGCAACATGGAGGCCCAGGTCTGTGTTTCTAACCAGGACTGCAGACCAACCTCACAGGAAACTCTTTGAATACACGCACGCACGCGCCACCCCTCAGAGATTCAGATCAGTGGGCCTATGCTGCATCTATCTGTTCTAAGTGGTGGATGAGGGGAGAAAAGATAAGGCCCCCCTCTCAGCATACAAATGGCAAAAAAAAAAAAAAAACTCAAACACAAAAAAAAGAGATGCAGAGAGAAATTGCATTAGGAAACAGTTGCCTGTAATTGTTACCAAACTTTTGAAAAACAAGAAACAACAAAGAAATAAAAGCAGCAGATAATTAAGTACATAATTGTACACACCACTTGTTAATTAAGCTTTTACTCCTAAAAACCTGACAGAATCTGCTTACAAGGTGATAACATGCAGGAACGTGGCATATGGCGAGCCATCTGCAATAGAAACGCTTTGTCGATGAAAACTTCCCTGCCCCACAAAAAGAAGGCGATGCTAAATGTAGTTTTCCGGAGCAGAGTGATTTATCTTCATTCCGTGCAGAAAATGAGTTGATGGTACAGCGTGCAGATGAAAGAATTGTCAGGAAGGGGCCACACAGCTTCCTCTGTCCTCACGGCAGCTCTACGAGTCTGTGGCCCATGCCAGGCATCCTGGGAATCACTCGGTTGACTTAGCTGATGCCTGAGAGCAGTGCCTTCAGAACACATGAAGAGCAACCCTTCTCTTAAATGTTCTGGGTGTTCAGGGAGCCAAAAAAAGACCGACGAAGGTCTGGAAAAAAGTGGGTTGAGGGCAATCATGGTGCCCCTGTTTTTCTCCACTGTAGCCTGCTGACCACCATCCCGCCACTGGAGCTATGGTCTCCAAGCCTCCTACCCTCTTCAAACCTTCCCCGCCTGTAAAATGGACATAAATTACTTACCTTGTCAACAGCCCTGGGTTGATGGCAAGGCCTGCTGAGATTTTTTCCTGGACCAAACTGAGGGCTGAGCTGCTATTTCTCATGGCCCAATAACGAGATGCAGATGAACTGAGGAGGAAGAGGTGTTTATTTCTAGAGCCAGTTACAAGGAGAAGTTCTGGAAATTAATCACCAGACCAACTCCAAATTACAAAGTTTTCCAGAGCTTGTATACCTTCTAAGCTATATGTCTATGTGTAAGTGTATCTTCATCCAAAGACAGAGTGATGAACTTCTTTTAATCTGTAACTAGGTCTGAGTCCTGAAGACCTTCCTCTGGCGCCTCAGTACATTTACTTAATCTTAATGGGTCCAGGTGCTGGGGTGATTACCCTTATTTTGTCCCTTGCTAAATCACAGGAGGTTTGGGGAGTTCCTTCAGACCCCAATAAACTTGTCTGTGGAGGCGTGGGAGGTTTCTTCAGACAGACCCCCAGTAAAACTTGTTTAATGCTAAATGAGTCCCATCAAGATTCGATATTTTGTCATGCTTTAAGGCCCAGGAAAGGCCCAGGCAAAACTCCTGATGGGCCTTTATTACATTCCAGCCTTTGTATAAAGGCACTGGCCTTTTTAGCTTTTAATATTTAACTTAACCACTCATTTAGGACTCAAACAGTTGTGATGGAGGCCTGCGTTAGTGAAACCTGGCCTGCCACAAAACAAAGTAAAAAGCAGCGTCTGTCCGGTGTGAGATTTTACACCGGAATTATTACGAATAATAAGCCCTTGAACCCTGAGCACGCGTGCCGTTGCTTTAGTTTCATCTTTAACCCATACCCAGACCTGCACAGCAGCAATTCCAGGGCCACAGGCTCAATCCTTGATCCTCCTGGGCTCCAGGGGGCACTGGGGAGGGCTGCTCTTTGGGAGGTGTGGCGGGATGGAGCACGGGTTCGATGGAAAGAGGCCCTGGGCAACCACGGTTCCCGCGTCTCCTTCATTTGGAGTGCCTTCCTGGTTCTGCTGCTCGTGTTCTAAAGAGTCTCACCAAGCAGCCCTGCAGAAACTGTGGCAGCTGCAAGAGGGGAGGGCCACCTGGGGGGTGGACTGACCTCCTGAAGACAGCTTGCTGGGAAAGCAGTGGGGGCAGGGAGGCCCTGTCCGCACTCTGGGCCCTCCCTTTGCCCTTCCTCTGTGACTCTGCTTCTCCCTCCCACTGCTTCTTCCAGGTCTTCTGAAGGAGGGGTGGGCTCTGCTCTGCCTGGCCACACCTGTTAAGGAAACGTCATGCCCACCTGTGGGCCTCAGCCCCTCCCACCCCAAGAGGGCTGCCTTTGGTCTCACACTCATCCTTGTCCGCATCAGTGGGTCCACATACTCCAAAGCACAGTGATTCATGTGCATGGGATCCCACCCTCCTCCTCCTTCCCACCCTCCTTTTGCCCTGGGGCCCCCCTTGTTCAAAACTGCCCTCTGCTCAGACTCAGGCCAGGACCCCAGCTTTTTGCTTCCTGGTCCCCAAAGGGTGGACCCCTCCGCCTCTGCTGGGGGGCATCCATCATATTCACTGATGATTTTTTTCTCAAGTATTCCATAAAATCCCTTGTCGAGCTATGGAGAGAGGGCTGCCTTGCTCCTGAGTGCCTTACTTCCGCCCCTGCCTGCCTCTCCTGCGGGGCCCACTGCTCTGTACTCCACGTCAGGCCCACTGTCCCTGTCCTGCCACTTCCCTGGCCCTTCATCCAGTGATCAGTGCTTTTGCAGGAAGCCCTGGGAGGCCTCCATAGCACCACGCCTGCTCCTATCGCAAGAGAATGGCAGTGCAGACAGTGTCTACTCCCTGGAAAGCAGGGCCATGTCATGGTGGTCAGACCCACCAGGTAAATTGAATGGGACAGAGGATAGTCCCCAAGTATCTTCCTGGGCCTTCCTGTGGGCAGGGCATCTGGAGATTGAGCATCTGTTTCTTCCTCTCAATAGCCCTGGAGGGAGTCGAGGCAGGAGGGAGCAGCAGGGATGTAGGGGGATGGGCACAGGCAGCCCTGGGTCCCAGGCTGGGATGTGTCCGCACATGGGCGCTGCTCCCTCAACCAGGGCACTTTCTCCCTTGGAAGGGTGGGTAACAGTGCACATCCCAGAAAAGACAGAGAGGGAGTGCTCTTAATACTCAATACTTCACACTTCTACGGGTTTCTTAGTCTCCACATCTTGTCAGTAAAGGAAGCTAGATCTGCGCAATCCCCAACATCAACACAGAAACAGAGTCTAAAGCTGGAAGCAATCAGAGATGATGAGGTCCACTCCCCTCATTTTACAGAAGGGTAGCCGGGTCCCCAGGGCAAGTGTAATTTGCTGACAGTCATCAGGGCCTTGCCTTCTGCCTTGGGGCCACGCTCCTGCTGCTCCAGAACCCTGGGATACAATAGCAAGAGAGAGCAGGTTGCCTGGTGCAGCGAACACCAGACAGTGGAGATGGTGGCTTCGGCAAGGAAGTAGAAATGGAAGAAAAAGCCAACTTATGGCCCCCACTGGGAGGGCGGTTTCCTAGGGCAGAACAGAAGGTCTCCAGGGACAGACAAATGGCTGCTGTATTTCTAAGAACAGAAGCCTTTTTCTATTCTAGGGGAAAGGGCTCCTTTTGGGCACACTCTTCCAGGCAGTAAAAGGGTGGAATTAGAGCTTGATGTGGTGGGGGGGCAGTGAGAAGCGGGCGAGGGTGGGGTTGTTGCAGCTGAGAGAAGAGTCTGAGGAAGGCTCAGGTTTTGGTTCAGGATCCAGAGGGTGGCCCTGGCCTTGAGGAATGACTCAGGAGAGCCACGGAGGGCTCCAAGGCCCTGTGCTCAGCTATGGGCAGGGCAGGGTTTGCAGGCAGCATCCATCTCAGGGCTCTGCCCAGCTGTGGGGGTTGGCATTGAATCAGCACAGATTTTGGGCCGAAGCACTCGGGAAGTTCCCAGGAGGCCCAAGGGCCCCACAGACCCCTCAGAGGGGAAGGGAGGGGAGGGGAGGGGCACACCTGCTCCAGAACTTGGAGCCTCTTGGCTGAAGGGCCCCTGGGAGAGGAGCCCCTGGTACAGGCTTTCAAGTGAAGGGAGGGCCTGGAGAGAGGAAGGAAAGTGATGTGAGAGTAGGGATAGGAGCAGCATTCTGGGAAAGTGTCCCCAAGCAAGGAAGCGGAGGAATGGACAGGCATGGCCAGATTCCTGCTCCAGGCCTGGGACCCTCTCCCCACCCTCCAGCTCACTCCTGCAGTTTCAGCCATCCTCCGGAGAGGCGGGGCTGCCTGGTGAAGGCCTGAGTTGGCCACAGCAGCACAGTAGTCCCACTGACCTGTCCACCCCTACCCCCACCCCCACCCCCACCCCATGCTGGGGAAGGGAAGCTCCCCTAGGGCCATTTCACCAGCTAGCCGGGCACTCCTGGGAGGCGAGGACAACCCGCCGGTATCCCCATTTGGAATAGACAGCAGAAGTATTTGGTGCTCACACCCGGAACTGCTGCCACTGATGCAGCTGGGGGCTCACCTGACAAAGAGATGGCCCTTGCCCAGAAGCTAGAAAGCCAGGCCCCTCTCCCCAGCAGAAGGGTATGGGGACATTCTCTTTGGAGCACCTGCTTGCTGCTCTGGGCCACCTGCCAGGCCCTCTCTCCCTAACCCCAAGCTCCTCCTCTTGCACTGTTCCAATAGTCCCTCCAACCCAGGCCTTGATGAGTGGGGAGTGAGCTCTGCCCCTAGCAGGACCGCTTGGCCGCCCTGTAGCTTGCCCCCCCCGCCCCTGGCACAGGGAGGCGCAGGTAGGAGGCGCAGGCCGAGGGCTGTGTTCGAGACCCACTCAGCTGCCAGCCCTTCCCAGCTTCTCCCAACCCCACCCCCAGGTAACTTCTTTCTCAGGCCAGTTCTAGAACAGAGAAACACCCTGGAAGCCCTGCGGCTCCTCCTGAGCCCCGCAGCTGGCCACGGCCCACCTACCCTCCATTCTCTCTCCCTCCCGCTGTCCTCCTGTGGCCTCCCTACCCATCTCCTTCCTCTCCCCTCTCCCTTGCCCTCTGTTGCCACAGAACAGCACAAGCCTGGCATTCCAGGGTGCAGGCTCACTCATCCCATGGCCCCTCTTCATGCTGTGGGGCTCCTGCAGGGATTCCTGGTGAGATGGAGAGGAGGAGACCTGGAACAGGGGTGAAGCAGACAAGGTTGAAATAATGCAACCGTCAGAAGAAACTGCTTGACTAAATTTGGAGATTAAAAACATTCTCCAGCATAGCAAACGTACTCACCCGAACCCTGGATGGCAGAGATTAATGAACTATGGGATGGAAAGTTAATCTCTAAAGATCTTGCTCAGGAATAATATAAATTGGTTGCCCTGGGTATAGTAATCAAATGGACAGCTAGCTCTACAGTACAAATACTTGTATCCTTTGTTTGTTAGAAGAAACAAAATTTGAAAAAAAGGAGCTTTCAAATGTCCCTCCCTTCTCTTCATTCATAAAGAAAAAATAATGTGATGCCTTTGTTAGGCCTTTGAAAGCAATGCACACAGAGGACAGGAGAGTCCCGCCACCTGCTGCTTTAATCAATTCTATGTCTGTGCCCCTTGTTTGACTCCAGTCATAAATCTTTGGACATCTTCGGAAAAAATTCCCAGAAAGGGACCCAGGAAATCATCCCGTTCATCCCCTACCTGGATTAGCCTCCCAGCCCTAGCCCCGGCAAAGGAGCAATCATCTTGTGCTCAAAAGTCTCATTTACCCATGAATCCTCTCCTCACTCAGACCGTTGGACCCCTGTCTCGGGCTAGGAGGGCAGGCTCTTC